TTATTTGGGCAGGTTTTATTGTAATGCAACTGTGTAAATGTAGATTGAATAAACAATTTCCTAATTGCAAATTCCAAAATGGTATGCCATGTACTTCAACATTTGGCATCATTAATACATTGCTCCACTGAGGAGTACTTAGTTAACCACGGTAAAAACCACTAAAACGAAAAACCATATATTTTCCGAATACTTGAAGTGAAGGCACGAAAATGTCAAAAGTTGCCAGGTCAAATCAAATGCAGGGAATAAATTGAGTAAAACAGATAACATAGGTCAACTACAAACCCTGGAAAATGAAATAGAAAAATGGAACTACCTGTATTAAGAACTGAACACATGCTTCACGGTGACCAAGAGTTAACAGTGCAAATCGGCCCGGTCGTGTTTTTTTAAACTCTTTAGTCGTGTTTTTTTGAAAATTTGAGAGGTAGGTTGATAAATTTGGTCATGAAATTGCTGTCACTTGACTTTATGTAAAAGTAAGTAATTTATATTGCTTTCCATACTATATATCTTAACTTCAGGTATTCGTAAACGTGTTATTTGCACGAATCGTATGCTATAGTCTTGTTATATCGGGAAATGAGCAATTCTGTCAGTGTTATACATATTTTTGCCTGAAAATCACTTGCCTGACTTGTATTCAATGAATACATCGATTCATAAGGAAAGCATTCACAATATGTGCGAAAATCAAAAGTTAGAAGAGCTTAAATAAGTAGCAATTGACCGAATAATATTTTTTAGATTAAACTCTTTAGACGTGTTGAAAAGATTGCGGTTAATGACGTTGACCTGTTAGTGAAACGTTCTAGACGTGTAGAGACATTGAGGTTTAACGATTTGGAAGTGGGAAACAGCACACTTAACATTATGTATTTCCCAAAAAATGATCACAATGTGGAAGAAGTTGTTGTCTGAGTGACACTATCTTAATTATAAATGATTAACAATAATCAAATGTACGACATAATATGTCAAGATTGATCTATGGGATCACTACCGAATTTGATACTTAAATCAAAATGGTTAGAATCAGACACGCATGGTTAATGCAAGCGAGCTTTGCCTCGTCGCTCGTCATTTTGAAAATTTTACCAGTCATATTATTTTTTAATTGCCCTGTCGCTCATTAAATGGCTCGTTGCTATTTTTGAATTTGCCTCAAATACGTTTTAAAACGTCCCTATTGGCCTTAAACTCACTTTTCCCTGACATGAACGTAAATAAATTTATTTAAAATGAGAGGAAATGTTTAGTTTGTGATGCACTACATGTAAATGCATATATATGATCACCTAATGTAAGGAATAACTTCACCGTTATTAAAATCGTATGCTCAATATCTATTAGGTTTGCCTCGGGATTTTTAACAATTTGATTCGATGTTATTCCCTAATTCGCCTCACAAAATGCAATACAATTTCAATTTTAATTTTCAAATTGCAATAGGTAAAAAACGCTACATATGCTGCTATCGTTCTATGAGTGATCTATGAACTGTACTGTAACATAGTTTTCTAGCGAATTAAATTACAACATCTGTTGATCTTGTTAAATCATATATCTGTCTTTTTAAATATTCTTATTTATTCATATCTTGACTACAAATTACAATAAACGGGTGACACATAATGTATATTCCCGTGTTTTATACTAATACATGAACAGATGGTGGGGATCTACTTGTGTAATAATGCATACTATTTGTTTCTGGTTAATAGTGTGTGTCGCACTAGGCCCGCAAATTATTATAAAACCAACATAAACTATAAATTATATTATTGATTAAGAAGATACCTTTTGAGTTTTAACTTCTAGCAGAAATACGAGATAGTAAGAATTTAGTTTTTCAATTTATTTTAGTACTAGATCGTGGATAGGGATGTCAATTCTGAACAGATCAGTCGGATGAACCTTCTCATAATGTTCAAGGAAAGTGTTCTTATGAGCGCTTTTGAAAGAGCACGCGTGGCACTTATTCCGAGGAACTGAAATTACAAAATATGTGAATAGTCATGTAGTACAAACACTTATCTTCAAAGTACTAATACGATTATTTTCAGAAGCACAGACAAATTATTAAGCAACAAAACATGGTCAATGTGAACAATATTACAAGACAATTCAAAGTCGTTAATTTTATCACGTCTAAAACGTTATCTTTACAATTCCAAAACGTTAACATGCTTATTATAAGACACGTCCATGACGTTATATTGTCCCTTCTCCATAGTTAACTCCACTTTCTACATTTACGGTCATTTATGGCAATTTTAAGATAAATACAGTTAAAATATTTACACGATCTTTAGAGTAGTGAATATTATTCCACGTTGTTGAATGGATTGTCTGTTTAAACTTGATTAAATAACACTAAATGCAAATTAAGTACATATTTCTGGCACTTTTGGTATATAATTGCGATTGATATGAAGTATGATGGATTTATCCCCAAAATAGATTCGTGGGTATGAAGAAGAACATCTTAGGTAGAAGTCAAGATATGTAAGTTTGTAAAATATAGAATATTCTTACCATTTTGCTCCATTCTATCGAATGTCGCATCCCATGTTCTTACAAAACACGACTAAAGAGTTTAAAAAAACACGACCGGGCCGATTTGCACTGTTAACTCTTGGTCACCGTGATGCTTGGTATATACAAAAATATCTGAAATGAGAACAAGCTATTTCTGCTTAAAACAATTCAAAAAAGTCTTACTTTTTCAATCAGTGTTGTCTAGTGATTCTATCACTTTTGTGACATATATTTTATACACAGTCCCCAAACTAATTTACATTTCCAATTTTGTATTTCATCCATACACATTTCCAGAGTCACATAGCATTAGTACTACATAATTATGTAGACGAAGCTCTCTTTTACAGATCCAAAATCAAATTGCTGAAAAGTGTAGAATATGTACAGGTTTGGAATTCACCCATCTTATAATAACACTTTGCTTTTATGGATGATACAGTATGTTTCTTGCATGGGATATTTATAGTATAACAGGCTCAAATGTGTGATAACTGTTGTATATATTATCTCATGAATATGAATCTAGTATGTACAAGCATCTTATTTAATTAGAAATCAACAAGATCAGTGTTCTCCCAAGGATTTTCTTGATTGATTGCATAATTGTTTCTTAACCATTCCCTACTAAGAAACATTCAAAGTTGGTCAAAGTGTTCTAATTTTCATGCTTTACCAAATTCTCAAATGAGTGCAAATGACTTTAAAGCCTTTCAACTGGGCCCAAGGAAATGTTTTACTTCTCAACTTGGTACAAAACACATAAGCTGCAATCAAGAAACTACTGATACCTCAAATCCTAAAATTGCAGACCATAAGCAGCACTTCTCTTGAATTACCATGAATCATGTGCATTATCAAGAAGCTAAGAAATTCCAAGTTTTGTAGTTATCCTGTTAGAAAAGATGCTGAAATAGTTTCTCTCAAGCGGCATGGTGTTCTCTATTGATAGTTGCCAGGTATAGGCAAGAGCTAACTAAGATTTTACGGTACAAAAAGAATATTTCATTTTTAAGCTACAGAAAGCTCTACTCTTGTCTTGGTCTTATCAGAATATGCACCTGATGAGCTCATATTTGGAAACATTTTAAGTTATTTGTGAAGTTGGTTCTATCCCAAGGCGTTGCAGAGTGGATGAGACCTTGATACACCTGTTAAACTATTAGGGGTTGTATTGGATGTGCCAACGTTTTGTCCCTACTCTAATGTTCAACCTCCACCTCCACCCACCTTAATTATATTTCCCAAATAAATGCCCGGTGGGCCGAATACCAGGAATCTCTGGTACACCTGGCCTTAAATACAGTACTTCCAGCAGACAAACAAGTTTAATGTTTTTGTTTTTAAGGAACAAGCAGGCCACTATCAAGACCATATCAAGTAAACTTCAAAGCTCTTGAGCCCATCAGCCACCAACATGTGTTGTCTCTTGAAGAGAGATATCAATTCTTTCCAATCCTACGTAAACCAAGATGCTTCAGTTGTGATCTTTATAAAATCAACTAAATAAAGGGGTACCCTGCAGTAAACAATAAACAGGTATGCTTTGAGCTTGATGCTTGAGATAATTTATCAAAATCTCTTAGCCATAAGTCCAACTACTCTGAGAAGAACTGAATGTGTTGTCTTTAAAAGTTACTGATTACTGCACAATTAGCGAACCTTGAGCAACTTGGACATCCTGTTTACACCGAAGTTATCAAAGCTGTGATTCTCTGGCTCATCCTTTGATAGCCTTAAGTTTAATTCCTGAATACAATACCACTTTGAACTCTATCAACCTTATACTGGAGGAAACTACACCTGAGGGGGGGGGTTAATATGTATCCAACAGACTGACTAGAATATTATCAAGACTAAATAGGATATATAGTCTAGGGGGGATTACAAAGAATTTATAAAATAAGGCAAACAGATCTGAGTTGGACGCCCTTCGTGGCTATATTCCTTAGATGGTGCCGGTGTCCTATAGAGGTTTACTTTGAGGTTTTAGGTTTACATCTACTGTTTATTTAAGCCTACTTGGAATAAAAATGATGCTTACTGAATCCCATTACTTGCTATGTTACTCGCATTTATCTGTCTAGTAAGATTGTGTGTTGGTGTACAATTGGGGACAAAAATAAATGACAGGTCGATTTTCGATCACCATTTCCTAATTATGGTCGTCTGAAAGCCCATAATTTCCAATATTGTCTAGATATATATCCCTTAAAATTTGTATATTTCACATTTTGTATAATCTCATCCACTGATGTATGGCCTCTTGTAAATTCTCTTATTTTTAACATGGGAAATTCTCACTTCAGCAAATCCACCTGTCATTTATTTATGTCCCGAACTATGTACAGGTATGTACATATATTGGCTAAAGTTGGGTTAGTTTATTTGAGATCAAGGAAATACTAGGAGACTTCACAAGTAGGGACATACATCTAATAATGAAGTGTACTCACCTTTGTTGTGCCCCTGGAAAAAAAGATAGAAAATGTTAGGTCAAATTTTGCAAAATTAGCAAAACATTGATTCAAGATTGACTTCAAATTAGACAATCGATGTCGTTTTTATATACTTACATCATTGCATAACATAAAGTTTTGACAATCTATCATAAAACTAATGTAATCTAAAGTTAACAATCTGATTTATTCGGAAATTACTTCAACTTACATTTATTTGAATATTTAACACATGGCCGCCATATCCAAGGAGGATTGGCTCCCAGAGTGCACCACCGATATTCTGTCCCATATATGGGTATGTCGTAATACAAAATTCGAATTCAAACAGCCGCCATTTTGTTCACTTCAACATTTAAATCGTGAATTTTGGTCTTATTTCCAAACGAAAAATTCCAAAACTCACAAGAAATGATCGAGATATTGGTTCGAATCTTTTGAACTGTTTATTTTGAATTTATAGTCGGTTTTAATTTCAGAAAATAACGACATTTCGACGTTTTCATTGTTGGAAAATATCGAGTTTCGATCCTGGGAGCCAATCCTCCTTGCGCCATATCAAAACAATTATGACACGCCAAAAATAGATTTTCAGATTGTGTTTTCTCACACCCGTTGATTTGGTTGTGCTAAGGCGGCCAAAGAAAGTGTCATAGTCCAATGTAAAATAACTTAGGGTCACATTAGAGTCAAAGGTCACAATAATTGCCCAGGCTCAGCCTTTGAATGGGAATTAATATGGAACTAAGATATTGGAGTGTCAGACTAAATTTCCCTAGACTTGTTGATTGTGCTAATGTGCTTTTCACCATGTATAGAATTGCTTTAGACCCTGGACCCCCTACCCTTGACCCTGTACCTTTATCAACTTCAACAACAGGTTCTTGAAATAGAGGGGGGTCTTTAAGCAAGACTTTTTTATCATAACATTGCCAGTTATGTTGTCTATAGATAGATCAACCTACCTCCAAAGTTGAGATTGACTGTAGCTTGAACTTCACCCAATCTATTCTTCGCTGTCACTTTATAACTTCCTTCGTCTGATCCCTGCACATTATTAATCACTAATTTCAAATCATATTTATTTGTTCCATTTTTATCAACAGTGAGATTAAGTCGATCTGATGATACAACATTGGCTGTTCCTTTTGACCATGAGATATCAGGTTGAGGTGATGCCTCAACTTGACAGTGGAACACTAGTTTGTCGCCTTCTTGTTTGATTTGTGGTTTTATTGTGAACCGCGGTGCACTGTCACTAACCATGATGCTGGAGTCCTAGTTCATCACTCCTGGAAAACCAATTAATAATCCAAAGAATATTTAATAAGTGTATGTAATCAGTAATAATCAGTTTCTTGATATCAGTGCGTGTACATCCCAATTAAGGTAGGCCGAATGTAATTACTTTGAACAGATCAACAAAGGTTTCAAATTTTACTCAATTAGCCCACCTTAATTTAAACCAAAAATTTACCAAAATCATAAAAACAACACAATTGTCAAACCTGGACAATCAAATGCCAGTAAACTGTTTCCCGAATGCAAAATCCACCAGTCAATTGATTCTTAAACCTTTATTACACAGGTAATATAAAGGCATTGAAGCATAGGACCAGTACGATGTATTAGGAGATAAGAGTTAAACCTCCAGACTTAGCACAACCCAAATAGCCAAGTAAAGCACATTGCATTGTGATTATGCAGCATGAAAATAACCCGAAATAATTGCCTGATGAAGCTTAACACACGGTAATGTAGAACATGGAAAGGTTTAGGTGATTGATAGGAGTACCTGCGGCCTACTCTTTGAGTCTATAACCTTTTAAACCGTCTTTATGTATGTTGTTGTTCCTTTCATTTAGAGACCCAAGGCAATATATGCAATATATGCATATGGTTAAACTAAAGGGTACAATGTACAATGAAAGCTAGTCTTGTATTAAGCCTCTGGAGTCGGGACCCCATCATACCATAGAAATCAATGATGTACAACTCTAAGGGTAACATGTTGCCAACATTATTGTGTTTTTGTGAACTGAATTGTGATTGTATGTGATTGACGACGGTAAGATTCTTCCCTTTTGTATTATCTTTTAAATGTTGCCATTTGTGCATTGAAACAAAAGTCGAACGATTATGCAAATCGTTTACAAGACGAAACATTTCAAATATACATGTAGAACCTATATTCATTCAGTGTTTTGCCTGAAAAACATAAGTGCATCTGCACACAATTTTGTTCCAACCTAGCTACATGGACTATAATGCAATTAAACCACAACTGCAATTTGTATAACCTTTCACTGCTTTCCATGCATTTGGTTTGATTTAGAAACATCCCGTGTTCCCTTCCATTCGATATAACACCAGGTATGAATTTATAGACAAAATCGAGGGACACGGGCCCATTGCATAACTAAAGATTCGGTCTAATCATGGAACACCAATGCTGAAACGGAACCTTATTGAATAGTGCAGAAAATGCCTCATAGGACCAACGTTTAATGGTAAAATCCTATTATGTCTGCATGATTGTTGCAAGAATATCCCAGTTAAGGTAAGACCCGTGAGGTGAGATAAACCAAATGCTGGCATGCTAAGTAGTTCATATACCTAAGATTCCCTGGGCATTTCATATCAGACATTACTTAATTTTCTCACACTATTTTCACACCCAATATACCAAGTAAGAGAGGTCTAATCGCACAAGTGTAATGTCCCAGAGAGACCATGCAAAAGGTGAACACCATAAGAGTTGCATACATTTTCCTAACACGTTATTTTTGTTGAACCATTTGGGGCATTTTCATTTCACACCTTTTACAATTGTGAAAAAATGTATTTAAATCTGCCCAACCGAGTTATAGTGTTAAAATATTAAGCCTCGAAAAGCAACACAATCCAAGTAAAGGTAGCTCAATCAAAACAAAAGACACTCTATCAAAACAAAAGACACACAATCAAAACAAAAGACACACATTCAAAACAAAAGACACACTATCAAAACAAAAGACACACAATCAAAACAAAAGACACGCTACTAAAACAAAAGACACACAATCAAAACAAAAGACACGCAGTCAAAACAGACAGGACATGAACAATCAGAAAGGACAATCAAGATATGGAATGTACTGTGCTTGTTTTACCGATACATGCAGTTTTATTCTTACTTAATTTTTACAGATGAATCGAGAAATAGGTTAACATAATTTCAATTCATTACTCATTAGACTCATTAGGGATTCTACAATTGGAATTTGCAACTAACGCGGTAACAATTACGAAGAAATATAAATAATGTATCTATGAAATATTGAAGATGAGCAATAAAGTCAAGATAAATCATTATAATAACCGTAACCATCCTTCATATCACAGAACTACCATTTGTTAATGTGCTATAAAGCAAAGTGAACCACTTGGAAACAGTAATTGTGAATTGCGCTGGGGTAGTCTGTTATAAGACCCTGGGAGAATATACAATGACAATCCTGGGGATCAGAGCCTAGTGCACCATTACTGTTCAACAACATTAGCGTTGTTCCTGCGAGTTCTTGGAATTGTATCCAACCAAGATACAATACTGCCCCCGGGACAACTGCACATAATTGAGACTGATATAAACGAAAAGGAAGATGAACATGGCGGCAAAATCTCCGACAACCATTGATCACTGTGTTCAACCTGTGACCAATCACAACATGGACCATTGGACCAAATTGAACAAATTGGTGGAGGTTAATTCAACGAGCATCGTTGAATACATACATCGCACCCTTGACCATAGTTGACCGTAGGCCACAATGCCTGTAGCTTGTAGCATTGTGCCAGAAACACAACAAATTGAAATGATTGGGCCTAAGTAGTACAATTCACGGCAAAATCCTTTTCATAAACAATTGCTAAGGTTACGTAACATCAATTCGATATTTTCTTTATTTCGACGACAACAAAGACGGGAAGTTACGTTTTTATCATGACATTTTAAAAACAATAATAAATGTTTTGTTCACAACACGAACTCTGGCCTGATCTGCATTTATGATATTACGTTTTAAAAGTACCATCAAAAATAAAGAATATCGAGAAAATGAATAATATAAGCTAGTCAGTATTGTTTTGGAAGCTTACTACTTTAAGTTAATATCGACATTAGAATTGTAAATATTTCAAACAAGTCAATTCAAAATTGTGACTTCTACAAAAGTGCATTACTTCCAGTGAACAGAATTCTGAAATGCGCAAGGAGATTAAACGCGTAATCAAACTCCATGAGTTGTATATGCCATTGCCAATTGTCTAAATAGGTTACCTATGTCGTGTTTATTTTTATATTTTGTCGATGCAGCTTTACCTTATGTTATAAGTAATCCTACTTAGCTAACTTTATTTTTGTGTATGGTGTCTAACAAAGTTCAAATCCCTGATGGAAAATGTTGAAACGAACAACTTGCTAATGTGATCGATTTGATATTTTCGCATAAGTCTCCGGACCCTCGTCTGTTCAAATTCAAGAGGTCGAGGTGTGAAAATTAAATGTGTGTGAGGGGTACAAATGCTCCAAAGGTATACAGACTACACTGTAACTTGTCTTGTATCAGATATATGGTCCCATCGCCTCTTTTTCTTAAACAAGGCTCTGTCCAAAGAAGGAGAAAATCAAGATATATACAAGGGATAGAGTTCCATGATTCAAGAATATCTGTACCATTTAGATTGGCGTTCCTCTGAACACGTAAAGTTAACTAAGCACAACAATCACAATAGATGCACTTCATTCAAGAAATACACAAATTGTAAATTCCATCCCAGGACATGTCCCGATCATTTTACGCATAATGAATGATGTGATTTTGGGTGATATGTGATATCACCCAAAATGTATTTTCAAATAATTAATATAACAAAAAGGTCGAACTCACGCAGATTGTGTGAAATCTCAACATACATTAAAGCTGGACTGGCGTGCTAAGATATGATGGCGTGTTTAGTGCTTGAGAATTTCACTTATATCTTTCATATATCTTTTTTATTGACTCTTTAGATGTCATATCATGACATATTAGTCACTAAGGTAGAGCAGTTCTTCCCATTGTCGAGTTGAAGAACTGGTATCTTTATCCTGGCTAGAACCATAGACAATTCTAGCCAGCGCCAGCCTTTTATCGAGTTAGCAGCACTCTAGTAATCGCCAGTATAGGTCAGCAGTCATAGGTCAAAGACAAATCACAAGAAGTGCTGTGACCTGGGTTTGAACCCAAGACCTCTACTTTTTCAGCCTGAAGCCAGACTTCCTGCTTTTCAGACCAATGCCTTAACCACTAGGCCAACCCGGCGACCACATGATAACAGGTGTACGTGATAAACATATTTAGAGTTAATTGAAAATATAATTTTGGACATTGTTTCCCTATGTCCCACTTGCAATTATGAGCCTCTCACTGTGGGAATGTTATACAGTTAATAAGTTGGAGCAACTCAAACCTTGTTAATCAAGATGTACAGAGTGAGCAAAAGAAAAGTTCATCTAAATTTTTCCTATGATTTAAAATAAAATGTTCGTTTAATTTGACCCATCCATAGAAATATAACTATTGACTTCAATGGCAAAACTACGATTGGCCTTGACATTGTTGGGTTTGACCTTGACATTTTTACGACAGATCTTCTACAACTGGATTTGGTTCTTGGCACATCCTTCATCAAAAGGCTTCATTTCTCTTTCAATTCAATTATGAAAGAAGTGAAAATACCCCTGGACCAAGGATCGATTGGTCTTGGCACAGCTACTATTGGCATCGACATTGCTACAACTGACGTTGCTGCGACCATCGGCCTTGACATTGTTACGTTTGACCTTGACGTGGCTAGCATGATAATAAAAAAACGGTCGTGGTCGACCTCATCCATGGCAAAAATTGACCTGGATATAACTCGGATCAGAGACGATTACAATTAATCCTTGGTTTCATAAGGGATTAAGATAACACACATACATTGATTAATCAAGCTATAATCTTATTATTAATCTTATATCATCTTACCTCAAACTAAATCCACCCCGGCTTGTATATAGTGTACCTTTCCGGAAAGTAAAACAAGACTATAATTGTATACTGTATCAATGAACCCCAACTTGAAGAGATAGAGATCGCGCCAATAAAATTACTTTTATGATTTGTTAAACATTTTTATGGTTTTAGACATTACACAGGTCATCCGGATGAGCGTTATGCCAGCTAGTTATGGAATTCAGTCCGGTCAATACACTTTTTAACAGTGTGAATTCACTCCTTTAAAATAGAGCTCCTTCTTACTACACCCTGACTTAGATAAAATATTTTGCTCCTTCCCTCTTGTACCTGACTCTGGCAATGTGCAATATTAGGGTATCTGGTCAAGTTACGAATATGCTGATTTATAATTAGATTCTGGTTATTGGTTTTATAATAAAGTTATCATTTATGTTTTTACCATATTTTACATGTCATATTTTACTTAGAAACTACCAGTGATTTATTGAGCAGTTTCCTCTCGCTGTATCTGTGAATGAAGAGATATCCGATGCCGAATGTCTGAATGTCACTATCATAACGACACGGGTAATGAAATAAAACTTTTTTATGGACTATAAAACCTCTTTTTATCTCAAATGAGAACATTTGAGTCTACTGGATACACACGATTTATTTGGAAAGCTACAACAGTAAACTGCTTAAGCTATTTGGGGATTTACCTTAAAGGCCCCATGTGAAGTCTGAAAATATGTTTTTATCATTCATTTGTATCATGACTTAAAAAGTTATTTTAGTTATTTTAGATTATTGTCAACTTTTTATTTCTCAAATATTCAAATTTTCCGCCACTTTTCGATTAAAAGTTGTTTTTGTCTACGTCAATATTTTTTAAATATGCCAAACTTCCAATATACACCATATAAGCCAAATGGTTTAAACTTAATACGGGAGTTTTCAGTAATATTGAATAGCATTTTTCTATCTTTATTTCAATGGTCCTTATGTCACAGTTGATGATTTTTTAAATCGCCAAATATAAACAAGTGTTGATAAGTGATCCGAAGGGGGGGGGGGGGTCGGTAACTTATATGTATATGGTCAAGTAAGTTGCATATTTTCAAAGGATGTAAATACAAATTGCTGTGCTAAATGGAACAAATCGATTCAAAACAAATATTCCCAAGACATGAAAATACACATTTTCATTGAAGCAAGACTAGTTTCTCTGTTAATTCGGACTAAATTCGGACTGAACGAACTGAGTCCTTTTGAAAAACGAGCAGAGAATCTCCCACTGTCCTTAAAACCGTCCTTTGACTATGAGCTTGACAGTTTTCATCACTTGTCTTCTTATGAAAATGTTTACGAAGGACTATTCCGAAAGACTTTTATTGGATTGATGATCGTGACATTCATTTTTCAATTCAAGGGTTTTCCATCACCCAGCTCCTAAGTGATGATCAATCATCGAGAAAGGGCCAAAAACAAAATATACAAAATGCATCAACAAGAAAGTAATTAAACCATACTCAAAGATAAATAAAAGGTCATTCGGTGCAAACTAACTGGGGACAACATTCGAGCGATTTAGTCAAAACATTGAAATTACTTTGCCATGCACAATCTTTCTCATTTTACGTATTCCGACACTTTGCTGATAAATGTACAGACTGACATTTGTATCTAATATATTGTTTAGATCAACCGAATCTTCTATTTTTCTGGAGTTTCACTGGTAATACTCCAAATAAACCCTCATTGATGTAAACACTATTCATCTTGGATTTCAAGGTATGAGGTTTTCTATGATGAAATAACACTCGAGAATGAGTTAAAACAGTTTCCTTAAAATGTCACTCTGGGATAGCCTTGCTTTGGATCAATGTATCCAGTATCATCATATAACATTTGTCTGAGATTCAGTCCACAAACACAACGAACAAATTGTTAGGGCCTACTTCGTAAGTACTTGTTCAACCAGCTACCAACCTCACATCCTAATACGATATAATAAGCAGGTCGTGTTGCAAATGACGTGGAAACTCGAAATAACAATATAAAGAGCGAATGCATAAAGTTGCAAAGAGGAAATGCCAGCTCATCTCTCTGATCAAAGATCTGAAGATGTTAACTCAAATCACGGAAACAAACCTACTAGATAAGAAGAAATTCGCTGCATTAAAGCATAGATTTTTCATTCTCGTCTTTCAGTGTGGTTTTCATCACCGACCCGGTTGCAAATCTCTGTCTCATGCCTAAGAAATCCAAGATGAGCGTTTCTGCGATTGACTCTTGATAATCAGTAGGAAAATCTCTATATATGACGTATCTCTACCAAATATTATGATAACGATGATAGTGTTTATCATAACGATGATAGTGTTCACCAACACTCAACACTACGTGAATAAATTCAACACAAATGATGAGTGTATGTTTATAACATTATAATAAATGTTGTTTGGCTATAATTAATGATAGTATGAATGGACCAGCGGTTTGAAACGTTACAAACCTTTTTGCATGAAATGTAGTTTCAAGCAACAATTGAAATATCAACAAGAAAGAAAATCAAACAAACAAGATGGTTGCCATGACATTGATCAATCAAAAAAATTGCATAATTGATCTGATCAATCAAAGAAGTCAATAATTATCAACAAATTAGAACAATGGAATTTGATCAATCAAACGAGCCAATGAAAACAAAACTGACAAATCAATAAAAGACGATGCTGACGAAATTGACCAATCAAACAAGATTCAAAAAGGAATAAGTAATAAAGAAATGAAAACAAACAAAATTGCTGAGAATTGTCAGAAGCTGCTTTTCAATCAACGTCTCAGATAATAGTTGATCAATCAAATACGATGCAAGTCAACAATGATTCAATTACAATGTTCATGTTACAGCGCCAGGTCATAGAAAACAGATGTTGATTTAAGAGCAAACAGTTCAAACGCCACTATTGTTTATATGAGCGTTTAATTATAGATACCAAAAACGGCACAGCCTATCATTCCAGAAGAGTCAGAGACTAGTTGTATTCATTTTCTTAAATGTATGGTTTGGATATACTTATATCTACCCTGAGTATTATGTAGATGAAGCTCTTTTTTAGAGAGGCAAGCTATTGAAAAGGGTAGCCAATTTCCTTATTCTAAGTCTATAAATAAATCGGATGTAACCAAATTTTTGTTTCATATAGTGTTGTTAAAGGTTTGTTTTATCACTTACAGGACAAAGAGTATTTCTTTCGTCTATTCGGGAACTTGAGTGCTCTATCTCATGGAAATTCTTTCTCGCGGAATACTGATTTTGTATACTTATTTAAAGCTAAAAGCAGATGGAATTCAAGTGTTTTTGATAACTTTGTTCACGCATGGTATAACGATGTTTCAATGTGCAGATTCTCATAACAACGTAGTGGCCGTAACATGCCTGATTTAAGGTTTGCCTCCCCTACATGGATATCCACCATATAGCACATATAATTTCTACTTCTCGAAAGTAGCATCTTGGAACTTGGGAGGGGGAAATTGAAACTTGCAAGACTGCTATGACTTGAAAATACGAAAGACTCAAACTTAATGAATTTGTCAAAGAACATCAAAATTAAACAAAGCAAATAGTTTAAGGGACAATCACAAGTATAAAAATAATTGAGTCACATTTCCACTTGCTACTGCTTCGTGCTGCTTTCTTGGGAACTTTTAGTAATTTAACACCAGGCTAGCAGATCAATTTGACAGTAGGCACACTTCTTATGACCTGTTTCACCCCTCTAGTTGTTGATAGCTTCGACTCTTGCTTTTAAGAAAATGTGAAAACACTTTCTAATTTGTTCCATGATTATATCATATGTGTGGAACTGGACTTGGATGCCAACAATCCCTTACCAGATAAGACCATGTGCGTGGTATATTTAAAAATAACAACATAGTACGACCACGCTTGGTGGTGAGCCAGGCACATTGCTGTTTACACTCGAACATTCATTTCAGGACAATTCTGGAAATATGAACCCCTATCAAATCAGCCGCACTTATCCCGAATTGTGTTTACATAAGTCATTGGTTTCCTATTCCCAGTATTTGTATTGACATCTATCTCGAGTGCTATTTTGTATAGACAGGCTACATAAGCCCAAATACCCAATGTAACAATGTTCTAATAGTGACAAACGTCAAATACCATATATATTATATAAGTAACTTATACATTCTGCCAAAAATTCACACAAGAAAATACGATTAAAATGTATGTCAATCCTCTTTGGCCGGGATAAGCTCTCGGGAAAGAATTACCCATCCTTAAATGTGTATGTGCAGTAAAGGTGTAACAAAAATATCAAACTTTTAAATCCATTTTTTAGCGTTACACTTTTCGAGAAGTCACTTTTATGTATTCTATTTCAATCAGAATGGCTACATTAGCATTGTGAGATAGTTTGACCCATATGTTTGTCAACTTAACAATAAAAGTAATTCTTATAGCCATTCTAATTTCAAATAAACAATTTTTTGTTTACTTTGTATCGAGCAAATCACACAGGGACACACATATATATGCGATAGGTTATGATACATTTGTTCTGAGCTTCATAATGTATCCTACGTTTGCTGTAGTACCCTTACAACAACATAAACGTAATACGATCTCCCTCATCCCTATACATCAATATTAACGCCGGGGTACATATACCTATACATGTGTTCATGTAATTAACTAATCACAATAACGACAAACGTTAACTTCCACTAATAATTAAATAATATATTCATAAAGATCTAGTTTCACTTTATATATTTAATACAATAAATCTAAATCAATTTTAAAGGCTTACCCATACCTTGGAAAAATATCCGAGAAAACTTAGCAAGATCGCTGCAACCTAGCGGAAGAGAGGTAAGTCCTAGGCGGCCATGTAAACTCGAAATCGAGGCAGATAAGCTTTACGATCAAGGTATGTTAAGTATTCCTGCGTTTGAGTCAAAAACGTAATCCTATCTTAGCACAACGTCTAAGCCGCACCGCACCATATATGTAACTCAACGGGTTCCCTGTTCCGCAGCGTAAAAATATCATTCCTACGTCACAGCACCTTCTAGGGAAAGTACCAACCAATCAGAAACAAACAGACGAATTTACAGACGGCCGCAATGTTTCCCTTCCGAAAACATTGCATTGTTATCATGATGTTTACAATACATTTGATTTACTAAAACAGTCAAAGAATTGCCTCATTTAATAATTTATTTGCAATTTATGATCATGAGCAATCTCATTTGAATTAACCTTTAAGACGCGTTTCATTTCATTGAATTAAACAAAATAAACCAAGCAAAGCATGACCCATTACAAGTTGGCATTTTGGAAGGATGCAAACAAACCACAAGTAGTACAAGTTATATGTGTTTATCATAAGTACTTTAGAAATTAGATGAGTCAAAATGAGTGCATTTCTAAACTATAACGCTTACTTATCTGTTATCACTCCATCTATTAAACGAAAGTAGTACAACGCGAAGCATTACAAAACTAGTCGGTTAGCTCCAATATAGTCACACTCTGAATAAAATCTTGATGGAGCACAAAGATTTTATACTTTATAAACTGTATAAGACTTGTAAAAAGATCAGCCTGAGATTAACAAACTAAAATACTTTATTTCGCGCTTTTAAAAGATGTTTAATTGCAAAGTAAGAATCATCATCAATCGGCACGGTTGTTACAAGATGGAGCAGACTGCTTTAATTTGTGAAATCTAGAAGCCAAACATCCCACCCATATGCCCTCTTTCTAGTTGTAATAAAATTGCGATTTTTGCATTTCAAGTTAAGTGACTGTTTCTCAGGCAATTTGCATATTATAAATGTGCGTGGCATTTATTTTACAAACAATCTTTTTGATAACATATTTTCTCATTGACCCACAAAAGTTAATATGAGTCCAACAGGCATGTAGAGGATGTGCTATAATTCTGTTTTGAGAAATGGTTGATAAATAAATGGGATAAAACAGATACGACACGGGGTACTTTTTTATTTACAATTTGAGAGAATTGAAATATTATGCGTTTTCTATATCTTCCATCTTAGATAAACGGTCTAGAATGACGTTCCTCGTGGAATCTTTTTCAATTTGTTTTCATAGTACAACCTGTTTCCAAGTCAACAACATTTCATCTAACAAACGTCATAAAGACAATCGCAATTTTTTTAGTTTCCTCTTTATGACGTCACAGAACCAATAGCGTTGACGCCAACGTTAAAGCCATTTCATCAACTGATCAAGACAAGAGTTCGAACAAAAAGAGGTACAAAATGAGGGTTATCGTCGCAATCTGCCTTTTCGGTTTCCTGGCTTTGGCATTCGCCAATCCAGAAGTTCCTGATAGTCCAGAAGCAATGGTAGATGAGATAAATGCAGACATACAGAAAAGGAATGCAGAAAGTGAGTACGAGTTGTTTTTCAGTTTTACTAAGATCTCCTTTCATCCATATTCCATTCCAAGCGTGTTCCAAATTAGGAGATCAATAAAAAGGCCTAACATGATTTTGGAAGAACACTACATATCTTATATTTGAATAAGTAAGTTTCACGAATGTGATTATCCCTAGCGTTGATTGGAACCTGGGCAATTCACTTTTGTTGCTAACCTTTGTTTCATTCTCAGATTCTTGCTGATCATTGTCACGCGGTCCTAACTTCGACCGTTAATTTGAATTTTTGACATACCAGGTGCTTGAAAATCAAGGATTGCGAGTCTCATACTGCACCGTTCTTCTTCAAACTTGTACCATTGTAAGCATAACAAAATTGCCTTTCTGTAGGTGCATTAGGCCTACTTTATTGTAAAGAGTCCCTCGTTCTAGCAGCGTTTTGGTCCCCAGCTGTTAGAAGGCCTTCTTACAGCTGGGGACCAAAATGCCGCTGGAAGTAGAGACTCTGTTGAAGAGAACAATGTAGCCTACCATCAGAAAGGGATTTGTGTTATGCTTTGAATCGAACAAATTTAAAGAAAAACGGTACAGTATGAGACTCGTAATCCTTAATTTTCAAACATCCAGTAGGTCAAAAATTCAAATTAACGGTCGAAGTGACCGCGTGATTGTGGTCAGTGACGAAAATTTTAAAAGCTAAAGAAATTCGTCGCTTGTTGGCCTAAATGTTGATAACAAGAGAAGAGGTTTAGCCTATATCATATATGCCTTTGTAAGATCATCTCCATAAGATTACGACTGGAGCTTAGGCTACGTCATCACAATATAAAATGACGTCATTGTTCTCATTTGTTGCCCTTTCTATGACGTAGATTTCGGCACTTGGCAGGTCACATTCTGTGCCTTTTTTATTTTCCAAATGTGAAAAGTTGTCCTATCAACCCACGAATCATCATGGGCTATTAATATTATCGCACGAGAATGTTCAAGTTGTTTTTACTTTTCACTCATTCTCAATGTTCTAAACTCTAGGCCTAATTAGCCTGCTTCACTAAAATATAGCTAAATAAGACATGATTACTTACTTTACAAGGCCTATTACATTGTTACTGTTAGCTCTTTGAATTTGCGAATAGTCCCAAGCAGCGAGCTAGAATGAAAACCAGTTTCCCGAGGGGCATGAATTGTCTTTCATTTCATCTTAATATTTCGTTTCAATGACCCCCATTCTCAAAAGTTCCATGCATCTTGCAGTCTATACTTTAGTTTTAAGTTTCACCCTTTCTCTTTTTCAGATGACGAATTGAGTAGACAAAAGAGAGAAGAAAATGACGACGACGATGACGATAGCGATGATGACGATGATGGTGAGTAAAATGACGTACTAATGTCTGGTTCAAATACCAACGGACATTTCAACAATATTATTCTTTATGTAGTTTATTAGGCCCTTCAAGATTGTTTGAAGTAGGGCAGGCCTAATGCATATGCCTAATGAAGATGGTGTAAAATGCAAACGTATTTGATAAAATATATTCAATAATACATGTATTTAATTATAAATAAGTTTTTAGTAACTAGGTTTTGACGGTGACCTCTGCTTACATTTGCAGATGATGACGCTGAAGAGGAAGAAGAGGAAGAGGAGAGGAAGAAGAGAGACACAGATGCTGCAGATGAAGAAGATGACGACGACGATGATGAAGATGATGATGATGAGGGTGATGACGAGGAAGAGGAGGAAGAAGAAGAAGAAGGTTTGTATGATTCATCATCCTTGACGACGTCAACACTAGCATTTTCGAGAAATAATACCGACGGTGTGATGGCATGAGTACAAGTGACGTCATAATTAAGCTCTTAATGATAACTTAAGCCCGGTATACATCAAAGGGGCAAGTTGGGACCTCCATAGACTTAAGATTGCATGGGACCTCGTGGGACCTTGGAATTTTGCCCCATGAAGTCCGCGGGACTCCATGGGACTCCGTGGGATTTTGCCCCATCGAGTCCCATGAAGTCCCACGTGGGACTCGATGGGGCAAAATCCCACTGGGTCCCATGGAGTCCCATCGAGAATGAACAAGTTCATTCTTTCCATGGGGCATCGTGGGATTTTCGATCATATGACGTGTTGTGTGAAGCCCAACATACACCAATGGGGCACGGTGGGATTTGATGGGACTCTATGGGGTTTGATGGGACTCCATGGGGCACGATGGGGCAAAGTCATCAAGGTCCCATGGGTCTTCGTGGGATTCGATGGGACAAATTGGGATTCGATGTGGCAAGATGGGACTCGATGAGGCAAGTGGGATTTTGCCCCATTGGTGTATACCGGGCTTTAGACGTCATAACTTAGATCTCATTCTTTTGTGTCGTCATGATTCATATTTCTCACAGTATTTAGTTTTAAAAGTTTCATCATCGAGAAATCACATTTTAGCTGAACCCCTTGTTCTAAAACACAGTTATGAAGTTCATGTTAATTCAAATATCCTACATTTACTGTTCATTTAATAGCAGTGGTGTAAACTGGACACTTCTAGCCTGAAATTAAATATATTTAAAAGAGATACTTGTCCCAGAGATCCGGCAATACATCATCTTATAAATCATGTGTTATCACGTTGCAGAGGAAAGGAGAAGGAGGCGCAGAGACGTAGGTGACGACGACGACGACGATGATGATGATGATGAGGAAGATGGTAAGACATTTCTTTTGTTTTTAACTTTTCAAGTTGGCCAAATAATCTATAGTTTACAATTACTGTTTTACAAAATAAATCAAATAATTTTCCATACTTTTACAAAAGAATAATTTCAATTATTATGGTATTGAACTCCTATAAGAGCCCCGTGGATAAACATTTCAATTCTACGTTCTGTTTCTCTAAATGGTTACCTTGTCGTTGTTCTGGTCTACATGCTTGTTCCCATTTTCAGATGACGATGACGGTGAGAGGAAAAAGAGGAACGCTGATGACGATGACGACGGCGACGACGACGATGATGAGGAGGATGATAGTGATAATGGTATTAACTTGTTATATTGCGACATCTCAATCTACCAATATTAACCTCATTACTCATTTCATAGGGCAACATGGATTTCACTTTATTGCCCCCTGAAATAAGGTTAATAAAACCACCCATTGTGTGATCCACAGCCTATACCATCCCTTTGAATCCAAAGCATTGGGTTAAGAGTGGCTCTTATAAATTTGATTATTAATCACCACCTATTGAAACCTAAGTACAAACTCGTATGTAAGCCCTGTACAAGGGCGGATGGTGACCACCTATGGCCCGGTAACTATTGCTCAAATAAATCAATATAGTAAAATATAAGCCTAAGCCCTTCTAAACTAGTATTTATACCCTGAGAAGAGGTCTCGAAGGGTGTTGATAACTAGTATTTTGTCAGTTCAAAACCATGTCTGGTGAACAATTAAAATCGTATTCTGTCTATTATAAGTCAAACACCTTGTTGAGTACTTCACTTGTAGTAGAATGTAGAGGATATTTATAGGATATCCTATGATTTTGAGGAATATCATTTTTATCTACGAGGTGATATTATTTCGGGCTAGTGGAATATCATCTTGTGAAAGTGTCACAGGTATTCACCTCAATAGAATTAAATATTTGTATAATATCACCTCGTAGATAAAAATGATATTCCTCAAAATCATAGGATATCCTATAAATATCACCGAGTAGATTAAAATGATATTCTGAAATAAATCATAGGATGTTCTTATTATCCTACACTTAGAAGGAGTGTACTGAATGTATAATATCATTGTAAAATGAATTTCATACCAAATAGAGTCAATTTGGCGGGAAATCAACAAGCGGAGTATATCGTCACAATATCCTCCGCATATTGGGTTTTCCGGAGTGTATCGTCACGATATCCTCCGCCCGGAGTATATCGTTACGATATTCCCCGGATATTCATTTTGCCAATAAATATCAAATTTATTTTTTCATGTTATTATACATTTAGTACACTAAGTGTAGGATAATTGTGTTTATATATTTTATACTCTACATGTGATAAAAACGAGAACAACTTTGAGATATATCAATAGAATAATGGAGCATGATGTTACGAATACATTTGATTGCAGAAGCAGGAAATGAGAAAGAGGAAGAGAAAGAGGAGGATGAGGAAGAAGAAGAAGAAAGAAAGAAGAGAGAAGCCATACCAGAAGGTGAAAACAAATAGACAACCAAATACAAAAAAATAGTGCAAAAGGACGCTCGAACAACAACTATAAAAAGTTAAAAATATATCTAAATAGTATAATGAGTTTGAAATAAACTTATTATATGCTAATAATAATTACTTTTTATGTTTTTAATTTTTCCGAGGTCCAAATGTAACTACCATTTGATACATCACACATGTTAAGAACAGTACATGCACCACCGACTTTGCTACGCGAGGGGCCCCTCGTATCAAAATGGATGAACACCAACAGAAAGTTTTTTTTATGATTTTCACCTTGAATAATATGCTCAGTTGAAAATTGATTACACTAGTCTCTTCATTTTTTCAAATTATATATTTTCACGTATACGAGGGAGATTTTTAATTGATAAATTCTAACATAAACATTGAAAACTAATTTAGGCCTAATCGGTTCAAAGTGAAATTAATCTTCCCTAAATCTGCTGATGGATTTTCATCCAGTTTGATACTGTACGAGGGGCCCCTCGCATAGCCCCGGAGGTGCATATTCATGAAGAGCAAAGGGATCAGAAATTGATCATTTGCTTCATACTCCAACGTTCAAAAAGTCACACACAATCCCGAAAGTTTATTGACCTAAAAATATCTGCTCTTAGTCCATGGTATAACTTCCAAATATATAAAGGAGGTGCATATTTTTGCCTTGATTGTTATCGTACCTAACAAAAGGTACGATATTGTAGTCAGCTTGACGGGCGGGCGGCGTCTCACTTTTCAGCTTGTCTACAGGTTTCCAGCCAAACCATTTGAGGGATTCATCTGAAATTTTCAGGGATGTTTCTACATATCAACGTCAAGAACTGATTAGTTTTTGGGCATTTTGGGTAAACCTTAAGGTGGCCATTTTGGATTTACCGTCCTAAAATCTTCACTTTCAAGACTTGTCTACAGGTTTCCAGCCAAACCATTTGAGGGATTCATCTGAAATTTTCAGGGATGTTTCTACATATCAACGTCAAGAACTGATTAGTTTTTGGGCATTCTGGATAGATCTTAAGGTGGCCATTTTGGATTTTCCGTCCTAAAATCTTCACTTTCAAGACTTGTCTACAGGTTTCCAGCCAAACCATTTGAGGGATTCATCTGAAATTTTCAGGGATGTTTCTACATATCAACGTCAAGAACTGATTAGTTTTTGGGCATTCTGGGTAAATTTTAAGGTGGCCATTTTGGATTTTCCGTCCTAAAATCTTTACTTTCAAGACTTGTCTACAGGTTTCCAGCCAAACCATTTGAGGGATTCATCTGAAATTTTCAGTGATGTTTCTACATATCAACGTCAAGAACTGATTAGTTTTTGGGCATTCTGGGTAAATTTTAAGGTGGCCATTTTGGATTTTCTGTCCTAAAATCTTCACTTTCAAGACTTGTCTACAGATTTTCAGCCAAACCATTTTAGGGATTCATCTGAAATTTTCAGGGATGTTTCTACATATCAACGTCAAGAACTGATTGGTTTTTGGGCATTCTGGGTAAATTTTAAGGTGGCCATTTTGGATTTTCCGTCCTAAAATCTTCACTTTCAAGACTTGTCTACATGTTTCCAGCCAAACCGTTCAAATTTTTACATATGTTACACAGTGATAAGTTCTAGAGCTGATTAACTTTTTTACTTTTCTGCGGCCATCTTGCTTTCTTGGTCAACAAGACCACAATGATGTGTTTTAGGTACGATATTGTTCACGTTTGTGCCTTGTTTTAAATACCATTTGCTGAAAAAGTTTCCGGCTTTCGGGTTGGAAAATGTCTTTCATCACAAGGGATCAAAAATGTTTATACATTTTATAAGACACCGACCGTTATTCTAAGCATACGGATAATAAAATAGATTCATAATGTAAAAATGTACTATAATTTTACTGAAAATGTCGGTGTTTGATAAGTGTAATTGCAAAAGTGTCATTTTCAAATTTTGTTTGATTTTTCAAATACAAGCCAAGCAAAATGAAGTGGAATATTTAGGTAATTTATGATTACGAACATATTAGTTTTCTTATCATTTAAAACATTTTATTACCAGAATTTGTCTATATTATCTCAAGGAGTTAGGCTAAACAACAAATTATTGTTCACGTTTTATAAAACACAAGACAATAACAAATAGGTAAGATTTATATCTAATTCAATGTTATAGAGGTATTGAGTGTTCATTAGTATTCCAGGGCATGTTTAATAATCTATAAGTAAGAGTCATATGCAATCGAACGTCTTACAATTCTTCCTCGACGTTACTGCTGGCTATCATCAGATTTTCTGATGGTTATTTCTTCTTTGACCTTACTCTGCTGTATATCATCAGATTTAAGGTTGATAATGATAACGATTTTTCTTAATGACTCATGAATTCGACCAAGTCTTGATGTTTGTAGATTTTATAAGCAACTGAGAAATATCTAACTTCGAGAAATAGAATTTTACCTTTAGTCGCAAATAGTCAAGGAAGAACAATATGCCCTCCTTTAATGACAATGTTAACCGCGGAATAACAGCCATTACCATTATCAAAACATATTAAGACCATTTTGTAAAAAAAAAACTAACATCTATTTAAGCAATTGTCATTTTAATATAAAAGTAATTCATTTGAACCATTTATCAGATTAATGTCTGAGAAACAATACATAACGTCGAAGCATTGATTAAATATTTTTTTGTATTGATGAGAAAAATAACCTCGATCTTATATCTTAGAAACCTAAATAATGCATTCAAAATCATTTTATATTATTTTCTGTCGCACTGTGAACTCCAAATTGTGAAAAAGGGGATTTTAGCTTTTGGTAATTTTTTACCTCTGCTAACGACAGGCATAATTCAGCCTAAAAGCCGGAGGGGTCATTCATCAAGCTATCGCAAGCACGTCGCAAGAATATTAAACTGACTGGTAACATGACCTAAGGTATGTATTCGTCGATATAACAACTGAGGCCCAAATTCATGAAAGCTCCGCAAGCCTACTACCCTGCGTGCAGAGTCTAGTTAAACTACAGAAGACGAAGCTCTCTTTTAAGAAGTGAAGTCAAACGAATGCAAAGGGTACAAGCCTACTTGACCGTAGTGTATTTGTAATCTCCGTGTTCACAATCCGTGTCGATGACGACCGTGTCACTTATTAGACCAAGAATGTCAATATGACCCCCTTTAGCTTTAGTGACCCTTGTAAATCATGACCTCGAGTCGACATTTTTCTTCAAACAATGGCCATGAGTACCACAATTATTAGGAGGCCCTTCAAGGGGCCTCCTATCATTTTTGTAGTTATTCTTCTTTATTTATTTATTTATTTATTTATTATTCTTTTTAGCATTTTTTCTCCAACTTCCAGCTAGCTTTGACTTATCTCATATATAATCTTATTAGGGACCTGGGCTGGACTTGTCGGGAAATTAGTTCATATCTAGGTCAAGGTCAAAGGTCAAAATCTAGGTCAAATCTAAGTTTTTTTCAAGTTTCTCAAATCCTGACACTACACTTCAATATTTTTGGCATACAGATAGATATTAGTATTCTATTAGTCTAAGCCTTTTGCCGTCTAGGAAAATTTTGCCTAGATTTTGAGATATTGAAGGTCAAAAAATGGTCAAAAAAGGTCTTTTTTCAACTTGCTTCAAATTGACCAAATTTTTTTTAAAACTCATCTACAAGTTCTCAGGATTCCAAATCTGACCTTACTTTTGACCTTTGACCTTTGGTTGACCTTCAGTGACCTCCGAAAGGTAAAAAAAGTTGATTTTTCAAATCGATTTTCTGGATTCAAATTTAGGAATATTTATTCACAAAAGACCTTCTGAGGTCTAAAAAAGTAAAATTTGCAAGGTCAACGGTCAAGGTCATCAAACGAAATCACAAACTGTGTTTTCTAAGTTTCTCAAAATTGGAGACTACAAATCAATTTTTTCACTGAAAGTCAGAAAATATATTCCTCCAAAGGTTCTACACATATTAGCAATTGACTATTTATTAAAATTTTGCTCCAGTTTTGAGATATTAGAACTCAAAAACTGAAAAAGGTCAAATTTCGAAATTTTTCAGGGTCAAATTTCAACTTGCTCTAAATTGACCAAACTTTTTTTTAAAAAGCATCTACAAGATCTCAGGAACTCAAATCTGACCTTAGTTTTGACCTATGACCTTTAGTTGACCTTCAGTGACCTTCGAAAGGTCAAAAAGTTGATTTTTCAAATTGATTTTCTGGATTCAAATTTAGGTTAATTCAATCAGAAAAGATATACTGAGGTCTAAAAAAGTAAAATTTTTAAGGTCAAAGTTCAAGGTCATCAAACAAGATCACAAACTGTGTTTTCTAAGTTTCTCAAAGTTTGTGACTACAAATCAATATTGTCCCATGAAAGACTGAATATATATTCATCTAAAGGTTCTACACATATTAGCAATTGATTATCTATTAAAATTTTGCACCAGTTTTGAGATATCAGAGCTCAAAAACTGAAAAAGGTCGAATTTCGAAAATTTTCAAGGTCAAATTTTAACTTGATCTAAATTGACCAAACTTTTTTTTAAAACTCATATACAAATTCTCAGGATTCCAAATCTGACCTTACTTTTGACCTTTGACCTTTTGTTGACCTTCAGTGACCTCCGAAAGGTCAAAAAAGTTGATTTTTCAAATCAATTTTCTGGATTCCAATTTAGGTGCATTTAATCACAAAAGACCCCAAGAGATCCAAAAAAGTAAAATTTGCAAGGTCAAAGGTCAAGGTCATTGAATTAAATCACAAACTGTGTTTTCCAAGTTTCTCAAAATTGGTGACTACAAATCAATATTTTTTGATGAAAGTCTGAAAATATATTCCTCTAAAGGTTCTACACATATTAGCAATTGATTATATTTTAAAATTTTGCACCAGTTTTAAGATATTAGAGCTCAAAAACTGATAGGTCAAATTTCGAAAATTTTCAAGGTCAAATTTCAACTTGATCTAAATTGACCAAACTTTTTTTTAAAACTCATCTACAAGTTCTCAGGATTCCAAATCTTACCTTACTTTTGACCCTTGACCTTTTGTTGACCTTAAGTGGTCTCCGAAAGGTCAAAAAAGTTGATTTGTCAAATCGATTTTCTGGATTCAAATGTAAGTGCATTTAATCACAAAAGACCCGAAGAGGTCGAAAAAAGTAAATTTTGCAAGGTCAAGGTCATTAAATTAAATCACAAACTGTGTTTTCCAAGTTTCTCAAAATTGGTTACTACAAATCAATATAGTTTAATGAAAGTCTAAATATATATTCCCCCACTTTTTCTTCACATATTAGCATTTGATTATCTATTAAAATTTTGCACCAGTTTTGAGATATAAGAGCTCAAAAACTGAAAAAGGTCAACATTTCGAAAATTTTCAAGGTCAAATTTCAACTTGATCTAAATTGACCAAACTTTTTTTAAAACTCATCTGCAAGTTCTTAGGATTCCAAATCTTACCTTACTTTTGACCTTTTGTTGACCTTTGGTTGACCTTTAGTGACCTCCAAAAGGTCAAAAAGTTGATTTTTCAAATTGATTTTCTGGATTCAAATTCAGGTGTATTTAATCACAAAAGAGGTCCAAAAAAGTAAAATTTGCAAGGTCAAAGGTCAAGGTCATCAAACTAAATCACAAACTGTGTTTTCTAAGTTTCTCAAAATTGGAGACTACAAATCAATATTTTTTCATGAAAGTCAGGATATATATTCCTCTATAGGTTCTACACATATTAGCAATTGACTATTTATTAAAATTGTGTACCAGTTTTGAGATATTGGAACTCAAAAACTGAAAAAAGGTCAAATTTCGAAACTTTTCAAGACTAAATTTTAACTTGCTTCAAATTGACCAATTTTTTTTAAAACTCATTTTCAAGTTCTCAGGATTCCAAATCTAACCTTACTTTTGACCTTTGACCTTTGGTTGACCTTCAGTGACCTCCGCAAGGTCAAAAAAGTTGATTTTTCAAATCGATTTTCTGGATTCAAATTTAGGTTTATTTATTCACAAAAGACCTTCTGAGGTCTAAAAAAGTAAAATTTGCAAGGTCAAAGGTCAAGGTCTTCAAACGAAATCACAAACTGTGTTTTCTAAGTTTCTCAAAATTGGAGACTACAAATCAATATTTTGAAATGAAAGTCAGAATATATATTCCTCTACTAAAGGTTTTACACATATTAGCAATTGATTATCTATTAAAATTTGGCTCCAGTTTTGAGATATTATAGCTCAAAAACTGAAAAAAGGTCAAATTTCGGAATTTTTCAAGGTCAAATTTCAACTTGCATTAATTCGACCAAACCTTTTTAAAAATCATCTACAAGTTGTCTGGAGTTCATATATGACCTTGTATTAGAGATTTGACCTTTGGCTGCCCTTTGAATGTTCAGAAACGAATATAGGGCCTCCGTAAGATTGCTTGCAATCTTAGATCGTTCGATCTCTAGTTTTTTCTAAATCATGGACTTTTACATCAACATTTGTATCGCCTTGCATGAGTATAGCGAATAAAATGGTGTCGGGATTAGTACTCTCAAGAAGTGGAAATGGTACATATTTCGGAGAATATAATAACAACAATTCACCTGCAATAAGGGGGAGTGTTTGCGATCTTTTTGTTTGATGCTTCAGGTCATTCTTGAGGATCGCAATATGTGTTTTAATAACAAAGAATGCATAAGATATCTTTCCAGTATTCCGTGTTCGTCAAAATCTCTGGCCGTCTCTTGTTTCTCGAAATTGCTACCAGTCAGAGGGTGATTTATAGCGTATTTACATAACTAGACATGCTATATCACTCGTTCGTTTTTTCTTTTCAATCGTTTCGCCCGTTTGTCTCTGAATTGGTCGTGTGAGGAAATGATGCATTCATTGAAATGATTGAAACTATTGAAACAATTAAAACACAATTTGCAGTGTATACAGGGCGTAACACTACTGCATTGTTTTAGCAAACGCATGGCATTTAGAAAATAACTCCACCGAGTCTAATCTCAACAAGACAGTGGCACCAACAAAAAGCCTGGACAACTGGATACTAGAAGAATTACCATCTCGGGATGATTTCCCCATTCCTCAAAGGGCACGTAAAATGCCAACGTCAGAAGTCTTCAACATCGATGAAAAGGAAGAAACAGAGTTTATCATTGATGAGAATGGAAACGAGCATTTGGAGGTTCATAAAGCAAGAAAGAAACGACATGATAACAATGTTGCTGGAACAGGTAAGATTAGGGGAAACGAGTAAATGCTGGTATAGTCATCAAGAAACATCATAGTTCAAAAGTCCATATTCACGAAACTATCGCAGTCTTGAGTCTGTGCGACGTCATTGCGACTGCGATGGTTTGGTGAGAAAGGCATCGCCTCATTTCGTTCTATTGTTCTAACTCCCATCTCCCATGTCATTCTCGGTCATCATGATCTCCACTCTTGTGGTTCTAGGTATTGAGGAAGACAACGACGAGGGCTTCTTGCACCTGCAACCAATGGCTGCTTTCATACCAGAGGACGAAGCCATTAAGCTCAGACATGAATTCGGAAGATTGTACACGGAGAATCCAATCAGTGAGTTTAAAACAATTATACACACTCTGTCCTTTGTCCTCCTTGATTTACAAATAAGAATACTATGCTTCTCATTTAGTTAAAATCCATATATCTTCCATTTTTATTTTACTGGAGAAAAACATTATATAGGCCTACATGGCTGTTTCATAAAACCTTGAATATGTTTCTAAAACATTTATAGATGCGCAAAGCTGGTTTTCTCCTTGACTTAATCATAAACATATTTTTCAGAATCTATTCCTTGGGTAGAACCATATTTGATGAGAAATTGTTGGGTACAGGCTATGCTTTCTGAACGCAACTTATTTTCACCAAGTTGTAATGCAGATGGTACTTTTGGAGCCAAGCAGTGCTACCTGGAAAGGTGATACTCCCTTATATATTTGGACGTTTTGCTCAGGCAATTCCACACTTTCAAAAGTTAAAGACAAAGTAAATCGAAATATTTTGATTTTGAGCTGAGGGACTGCTCTGGAAGTATCCACATAAAATCGTGAAGATATTGCCTAATAATCGGTAATTATAATCATGAACATTACATAAAATTATCATGCGAACCTATGTTACAGGTGTTGGTGCGTGCAGAGAGATGGAATGCCTCAAGTGAACGAGTTCTCGAAGAGATTTCACTTTAACATTAAAGGACTTTTACTTCAATGTTACCAAAACAACCTATGAACATACGTATATAGTTAATACACATCGGGTGGCACATTAAATAATTCAATTCATGATGTCATAAAACACAAATTATTATGCAATATATTTATTGTAATAATTACAAATAGATTTATAGTCACAATATCCCTATAACTAGAATTGAGATATACAAATACTAGAAAAAGCACGGAGAAAATATCAAAGCCAGCAATGGTGTACACTAATAATAAAGTTTTTCTAAACAAACAAACAAAATCAGAAATAAAAGCAAGTGGATGAGACTGGGGCACTGTTAAGATAATCCCCGGTTATTTAAATATGGGGATTTTTTGTCATATTTCTTGATTTTAGAATCCTCAAGTATTTAGAACTTATTCTACAATGGCTATCAACTTCAGTCCAATAGGTAAGATCTGCAGTTTTCTTTTCGTGGATGTACCTATTTGCACCTTCGCATAGCTTACAGTAATATATATTTCTATGATACATTTCTATTTGGTACCTTCTCCTCCAATCAAAATGTCGGTTATACAAAGAAGGAGTTTTAGCAACCAATTTGAGGTAGCTCACCAATTGGGGAATGTCTTTGAAATCGTTAACATGGATAAAGGAACCAGGGGGCAAAAGTCGTTTGAAGTTGGTTGTTTTACCCCTAACTAAAGGTATCATGTTTGTCATCATAGCATTTCTCCAAACCTTTTCTGTAATATAGTCCTCGCAGTCGCTGTTCTCGAACGCCAGGTAAAACAGGAACGTCTTCCCTACAAAAATTAACCATGAAAATGTGTTCATAATACTAGTTTAAATTGCATTGTAACATGAGATCTTGGTTTCTATGATACCTAGCCTAATAGAAACGGTATATAAGAGGCCACACTTAATATAAAAACACTGGGTCGCAACCCATTACATTGTATTACATAGCCACCGTATCTATGGCCTGCCTTCCGGTAGAAGATTTTCGTAAGAGGATATTTTGTTTTCTCAATTAATTTAAACACATTTCTTGAACGATTTTCTCTAAAATTGTAAGCTCACTGATGTTTGCGCAAAATGCTACAGTTGTAACACAGACACCGCTCTGAAACTCTGAAAAACAAAGAGCGGCGTCGCTGTTACAAAAGTGAGGAATTCAAAGATGGCGCTTCGTGATGTAACTAGGTGAATACTACTATCGAGAAACCATGCGCTAATTACATGCTTACAATTATGGAGAAAATCGTCTAAGAAATTGGTATAACTGGATAAAACAAAATCTCTTCAGAAAATCTACTTCCGAAAGGCAGGTCATCTTGTTGCACAGACACAGTGGCTCTGTAATACGTCCAGTCCCATTTGGAATTATCTAAATATCCATCGCTAAACTACCCTTTGCATTCGTTCGACTTCACTTCTTAAAAGAGAGCTCCGTCTTCACTCTTTCAAACTAAAATAAACCTGTGAACTCACCGCGCCAATCAGTGCTCGTCGGCCAAATTTGACCGACGTTCTATATATGGTCATTCCTTCTGACTTCATCGTTAAGCCCGGAATTGACCAATGACAATTCAGAATTTATTTTGGCACCTGTTTCTTCAAGCTCGCTGATTGATGGAAGAAAGGTCAGCGCGTAGGTCAGAATTGATTTATTACCCGAACTGTCACCGGCACCCGTCATGGGGGCGGGGCTACTAAACTGTAATATGGTTTCTACTAGGCAGAGTGTAGTTTAACTAGACTCTGCACGCAGGGTATCGCTAAACCAAACTGCTTACCTAACCATTCAAGGCAAGTTTCCCCCTCCTTATCTTCACACCTTGTCTGACCACATTTACCCATAATGTCTACTGGTAGGTACTTGTTCAACTGAGCGACAAAACCTTCGCGGTTGCTAGGGGTTTTACAATGGCCAACCATCCACGCTATCATCTTAGTCTTGCCGCCATGATAGTTGGTATCATCCCGCGTGATGTTTTCGTAGCGCTTGGTCCAACCGTAAGGCAGAAATATATCAGAACCCGACCAGTAGGAGGCCGTGATGTTGATATCGTTTTTCAGCAATTGGACATTTTTGAAATAACGCCTCGTTGGTGGTTCCCTGGTATAAAGAATCCACTTTTGTTTAGGTGGGTGAAATGGAGGCATTACTTCATATTTCAGTGTGTTTTCTATGTCCGATACATGAAACATAAGATATTCAGCAGATTTTAGTTCAGTTTTATCATTTGTAAGTCTACAATTTTTGTGGCGGCAATTTGAAAACATCACCGTTCCTTCCCGATCTGGTGTCGAATGATGCATAGTCCAAAATAGTATACTAATCAGGTCCATTGACGTTGGGAATGGTGATACTTCAGTTAGTGTATTACTTATCATCTCTGGAACAGGTATATAGTCATCAGTATCATTTTTCAAATATGGCTTTGGGATATCTAAGGTATCAGGATCTTCATCCTCAGCAGCATCGTTCTTGTCATTTGGCTTATGTCCAGTTGTTTTTTTATCCTGTTGATAACTGTTGATTGGATCCTCTAGATGTGAGGTATCAATGGTAACGACGTTATCAACGGGTTTGTGACTTGGCTTGATTGTTTCAGTGGTAATGTTGAGTATCGTAGTTTTTCTCATTGGTTTCTGTAGAATCGAATCTTGTTCTTTGTAGAGGATAAACACACACCATAAAAATGCAAGTATTATTAAAAAGCCTGGCTTTATTACTTTGGCCATTTTGAAATTGAAGCAATGTAAAAACAGGTAATTCAGTCCAAATCCATCTGTTTCCCAATAGGCATTTGTCATATCTTATTGATCGATGTCATATTGATTGAAAATTTCGTAAATTATACCAAAATGTATACTGTATTTATTCGTGTTGTTTTACACTATTTTGGGTATTTTAAAATTTAGTATTTATGCTGCAAATTATTTCACGTATGTTAAGAGAGCATGTGTTGATTGGTGATGGCAGATGTCATGGAAACCTGCTGTTTCTCACATTGTTTAAATTTGGTGGATAAATCAATTGTTGGGCCTGTCACACAATCATAGATTGAATATGTCAAAATGCGTCAAAGTCACCACGTCATTGTAGTGGTCTCACATGTTTTTCCTTTATCCCGATTTTATTTTCTGAAAATGGGATTAAGATATCTGATGATATGTTCAGACGTTATTAATTAAAGATGCAAAAATATCCGTTACATAATTTGAAAAGGGTGTCAACTTTATGCAACGTTAAAAACCAATGGATTAGCATCTAAAAATAAAATTCGAATTGTACCCTTTAGAAAATAGACATGACATGAAATGATAAGAGCAAAATATAATTGTAAAGTAATGCATTGTTGTCCATTGAAATATCCAGAATGTCATGACATTTTTAGGTTAAGGCTTAGGTTGATAAAATGCTGAAATTTTTTTTCCATCTCCATCATTATAATATTTACATCAGCAAAAGCATATTGGAAAATATTGATTGGTGAAGTAAATACTAGTAGCTGAAATTGACAATTACTGGTTCTCATCTTTGACCTTTTAGTCGATATTTTACATTCATCTATGTACTGGACAGCGAAAGCTTCTCGAATAACTGATTTGGACAATTTAGTGATATGATATAATTTCATAATTGATTGATGAACACTCTTTATTGTGCTTTCTGAGGTTTCTTCCAGAAATTAGCTCACAAATGTTATTGCGCATGTTACTGCGCAGACTGTCAATGTCAAGGTATCTGTTGACAAGAGGCATGCGAAAAAAGGGGATGTTTACCGTGACAATATTAGTCATATTCTTATATTATGTGATTCGCTATATGTTCCCCGTGATGCTAGAGGAACTCCAATATACCGAAGGAATCGAAAAGGATGCTTTACGAACACTACATGCAACTAAATCTGTTTTGATTAAAGATGGTCTCGAAAAAAGAAATCTACTTTCGATGATGACCTCGAGTAGGCCACAACCGTCTGCTCCAAATCCTCTTACGATTTGGTACCAAATACCAGGCACGACAGCAATTTTGTATTCAGCGTATTTTGACAATAGACCACTGGGTGCCCAAACTTCAGATGGACCAATCATACGTATCCTAGGCATCGGGAAGATAAATCTTCCAAATGAGAGGACCTTTACACAAAAACTGTTTTGCAGGGTGTCTTACTCAAACAAACAAGATGTGTGTCTGTCTAAAGAAGTGACTAAGATATTCATGAACCGGAAACCGAATTATAACAATGCACAAATGAAACACCATGATCTTTACTTCATTTGTCATTTGCCGGTTTCCGTTGTTTTTAGCCAACCAACTAAAGTCAGCCTATCTACTGACCGTTCCTGCACATCTTCATATAGTTATCCTCTTCCCATACGGAAATTAAGCACCTTCAGCTTGACACCTAAGCTAGAGTTTGGTGTCTGTATTCAAAAGGCAATTTACCAGATTAATCAATATCACTTAGTTGCATTCATTGAGATGACACGACTTCTCGGGGCCAGTTTCGTTGCCATATATGATGAAAGCCTTAATGAGACTGACATACGATTGTTAAATGAATACATCAAAGATGGGTTCGTTCGATTGAAACGCTTTAGACTAGGGGATATAGGCATCAAGGACATACCATGGCATGGTCAACATATCGTCATGAATGACTGTCTTTACAGTAACATGGCAAGCACAAAATATCTTGTATACATTGACCTTGACGAAATGATTACTCCTCATCAAGCAATCAATTGGCCCGCCATGATTAAACAACTGAATAAATCAAAAACTATAGCCACATATTCATTTAGAAACAGTTTCTTCGTACCTACGAGAAAAAAGATCCGAGTAAATTCGCTGAATGGCTCCGTCTACTTAACCCATTTACTCAGGACCCCTCCTACACCTGGTAACCACAAACGTACTAAATACATAACAGAGGCACATTCAACCGTTACTGTAGGAGTCCATGTCGTTTGGGAACAATTGCCCGGATATGGCGGATATCTTGTTTCTCCAGAAATTGGTCTCATGCATCACTATAAATATGTTGGTAATAGATATGTGGCAACCGGTTCCATATTTACAGAAGATAATACAATGTTGAAATATAAAGACGTTCTGAACAAGGCAATACAAGAAAACATTCAGAACATTCGAAAAGCAAACACAACAACCTCTAAGCTAGACTACATGTAAGTTCTAGCCGGTCTTAATATTCCTTGTTAACATTTATTGTTGAGTTATCAAAGATAACGACAAATTGTGGCCATTTTGATAAATAGCGGCCATCTTGAAAATTTCTTGAGCAGAGCTATCATTTATTTAACCATCAGCACATAAAATTTGAACCAAAAAATCCGTCCACTGGTATTTGATTTACAAGAAAGATTTTGAAATTCAGCTGTCATCTTGAAAGTTTCTTCTCCACCAGAGCATATAGAATTTGAACCAAATCCATCCACTGGTAATTACAATTATCAAAGATTACGTTTTTGACAAAAATGGCAGCCATTTTGAAATTCAGCTGCAATCTTAGCAAAACTCCTTTGTCCCTAAGCATAAGCATATAAAGAGCCAAATACCTCATCTAGTATTTGAGTTATTAACGATTACATTTTTATGGAAAATGGTGGTCATTTTGAATTGAACGGCCATATTTGAAAATTTCTTCTAGAGCAGAGGCCCTACACCCATAAGATATAAGCCTGATCAAATCTGTCAACCGATATTTGAGCTATCGCCCGGACGGACGGACTCGTTCGGTGAGAAATCAAAGGACTATATATGAGACTGAACAAGTGAATTAAACAATTTATCTTAATTGATTGACATTGGGGTAGGTGCCTCACAAAGAGGGCATATACTCGTGGTCAATGAATAATAAGCAGATACATGATATAAAATATTATGAGACACGCATTGTAGGATTGAAATAAATAAACATTAATAAATAGTCCTTGAATGACGTTATATGAGTTAGACCATTGTTTTTGGGATGCTTTGGGATGATGAGGTATCATCATTGCTGCCAAACCTGAAATGGTGTGCAATAATCGAGATACATTTGTTTACCTACCTTCTGTTTCACAAAATCATTGACGTCGTTTTCAACTTTTTGTATTGAAATAAGATTCGTCCTTAGGAAGGTACGTTCTGCAGAGGAACCCACAAAACGGATCTTTCACGGGGCAAAAGATTGAAACGTTTACCGCAATACTCATATACTTTATCTAGTATAAGAAACCCTATACAGAATGTCTCAATAAAAATGTTACAAATACAAAATGGTCAATATCTTTTATAAGTTTGGCTTTACCCCAAGATATAAATTCAATTCTTAATGCCGTGGTCACATTTGCTCCGATTTTTACTACGGCGCCCGGCCGATTGAGTATTGTGTTCAAAATTGTATTCAATTATTCTTTGATGAGGTTCAAACGGATCTGTCGGGAGTGTTGTGAAGACCTTGTTATTTGGTGACCCCACAAGAGGAAATCCAGGGGGTTTAATGATCGGATGACCTTGGGGAGCCACTCGACTGGATTATTCAATGCTATGATCCGATTTCCAAAAAGTTCTATCACAGCCCTTGACATGTGAGGGCGAGTGCGGCCCTATTGTCACCACACATGCCGGAAATGACCATTCAACTGGCGTTGGAATCTTGGAATGCCGTGACGTGTCGCAAAAAGGTCGCGCACACGTTTAAACACCACAGAATGTGACGTTTTTTGAGAAAAATGTACACATATGGAAATCCTTTCGTCCTCCACATTTGCCTCTATATTTCAAAATATTTAGGGCGAATAACTCTGATATCGTATATGTATTAACAATGGGTTAGGAGCATCATAAAACACGAATCAATCGATATTTTAGTTGAAATAAATATACGTGTTGCTGTGCTTGAAAATAGGCGAATGGCGTAAATCATGTAAATTAGCCCGATTTTAATGAATTTTGAAAACATTTCGTCCTCCACTTTTCCACATACAACAGAAAACACATACTCTTGCGAACAAAATAAACTATTTATTAATAAACTAGAGTTTAAAAGCAAAATAATCATGTATGATTTATTAAAAATTGATCTCGTATTTTTTGTTTAATGTACACCTGAAAAGTTGAAGGTAACAAAAAATGAGCAAAAAGGTCGCTGTCAACAGATTCTATTTTTCAAACTCTATGACGTCACAATATGGGACGCTTACTAAAATTAATCCTTTGAAATAAAACTTCCATCTACCTTTACACTCTACTATACCTTGCATTTGGCTTTCATGAGCAACCCATTTGGCTTATTAGTAATGATTATATATTTGTTTTTATTTGTCTGTCCATTATTAATGGTTTATCGGTTGAAAGTTAGACGTTGATAAGGTACTTTCAAAAATATACTAAACAATCCAATTAGACAAACAAAGTATCTTATGCATTTCTAGGTGTTAGGTATAGTAGTGTGCTTCATCAAGACGAAAAATTTGTTGTTGAATTTCCTCCTGCTTGCAGCGAGAAGACGGACCGGTTCGGGGCAATAGCTTGCAGCGAGAAGACGGACCGGTTCGGGGCAATAGCTATAGAAATTCTTTGTCACAAAGTTTGGCATTTTTTTTATAAAATCAAACGCGCGTCATTGAAACTCACAAGATGTAAATAGCATGTCATTTACATCATACCTTGATGGGGAAAAATAGATCTTATATGTTAGAAGTACTAAATAAAAGTTATCGTGAAAATGAGACAGTCGTTCTCGAGAGAAAAGAGCATAAATGCGCATTTAGAGAGTTTTGGTCCGTTTAAAAGTCTGTAAAAAATTGGGGTACTTAAAAGCATCGGGAGGCATCATATATTTCAAATTAGACACGAGGAAGTCAATATTGAGCAAGTTATGGCTGTTTTAAATTCAAATAAAACCGTTAACCCGTACCGGTCCAGCTTTTGACCCGTACCGGTCAATTTTCGTTAGCTGCGTATACCAAGGGTGTTATCACAAATTAAAATGAGTGGCAGAATGAATTGGAAGACTGGCGGACATCTTCAATTTATGTTTTTTTGTTCAGAAAAATTTGTTAGAAATAGAGCATGATGCTGTGATGTATCTTTTTCTATTTTAAACATGATACAAGTATAATAAATAAAGACAGGTCATATATTTTCCACCCCACTTCCATTCATCCAGACATTTGTAACAGACATACCATTAGCTCATGACATGTTGATGTATATGCTAGCCTAATTTATGATCGTGATCTGCTGATATGAAAGCAAAAAACGTAAAAATCCAAAATGGCCGCCAACGAAATTCCTCGAGGATGCCCGATGGGCATCTGGCAGTTTCTGCATGTGGACATCATACATAATCAGGACATGCAAAAAAGTTCATATAGTAAGCCTTATTCGAGGTGTATTGACTCTACTGGTGGAGTCACCATATGTTACCACCTTTCAACTGTATCATGTCAAAATGACAAGTGCGTTTCATCGAACGGCTATTTTGCTATCTAGCTTGTAATTTCAAATCTTAAAAAATGTTGTTAAAGTTTATCAACCGAATGTTCAGGCGTTTAAGACGACGTGATCTTATACAGATAACTGTTATTATCGCCCTGGTCATAATTGTTTTCCTAAGGAGAAAGCCTGGTAAGTCGAGAGAAATAGAACGAGATAACAACGAGGAACATGAGCGGGAACATATTGCAATTGCAAGTAAATCAGAAGTCGCACCCATATCATCGAACCACTTTCTTATCATCAGTAATGGACGATCTGGAACGCATTTATTGATGCATTTGTTGAACAATCATCCAGAGGTGAAAGCATATGGAGAACTTTTGCAGACGGAAATACTACTGAAACCTAAAGGCATTATGGGTAACAAAACGGCCATCTTGAATTATCTCTCTAAGGAATTATGTAAATTAAAGAAGTATTGTGAACAAGGCAAGAAAATCGGATTCATACTTTTGAACTGGCAAATATCAAAGATGGCATCATTTTTGACACTAAATGATATTTTGGATCATATGGGTAACCCAAAAATTATCATTCAATATCGAGTGAATACATTAATGTCGTATTCCAGTCTACAAATTAACAAAGCAACTGGTGTTGCGAATGCTAATATCCCTAACAGAAATGTAAGCGTTGAAATAACCTGGCGTAACTTTGAGAATTATGTGAAAAGGAAACGTATTGAGTGGGGTGACACTCTCAAATCCATTACTAATCGGACAAAAACATATGTGTCATATGAAGAACTTGTAGCAAAACAATACACGTCTATTGGTAGGCTATTTGAATACATTGGTGCGTCTGAATATCGTGGAACACTAGCAACCAAAATAACAAAGTTGAATCCAACATCATTAGAAGCGAGAATATCAAACTATGATGAAGTAAAAATAGATATGGAAGAAGCCCCTAAGAAGCTTTTACAACTAAATCTTGCTACAGAGAAAGATGTGACAACAATCTATGACGATGATGAAATTAACTGACTCAAAAACTCCAACAACAATCTGTAGATACCTATATATCTTATTAAAATAATCCAGAATAAACCTCATCTATCTTATACCTATATCTTACTTTTTTATCGCCGGTGTGCATTTATTGCAAACTACAATAAAGAAATGTAAAACAATAATAATGTCGCGTGGAAAGAATTTCTCCGTGGGGAATGTTGTATGGTAATTGCCCTTTCCCCTGAATTCATTTTCTAATAACTATCCAAAGGCATATGACAGTTCTGATGACAATGTCCTTGTCATTATTTAAGAAAATACAAGGTGCATTCCGTAGACGAACAAGATTCTAACATAACTTCATATAGTTTGAGAGGTGACATTTTATTGTATAATACACCTTCCTTATATCATATATACGTTCTCCTTACATAGTAAAGTTCTGGAGTATGACTCAGTATACGTTAACATTTTTATATGCTTCATTATATCATATACAAAGGCCGATCCAGAAGTTCTGATAAGAATGTTCTAACTTAAATGTTTATCATTCGTTTTCCACAATATTTTCAGAGTACCTGGGTCATTTATTATCAAATTAAGCCTATTTCAGCGCCTTTTGATGAGTATGTGCAGATATGGTAAGAACATCAACTTATTTTGGACAAACATTTGTGTCTGACGTCAGTCAAAAATCTACATCTTATAAGTCCAAATTAATGAACCAGTTGTCATTATAGACTTCCTTTCTTTTTACTTAATAATCGTAAAAGAATGATGACACTAGATACCAATGCTACCATTATTTTTAATTGTGTTAGTTCAGATAGTTCCTTTCACAACATTTGCACATTACAAATCATCACAAATCATAATAGTCAAGTGACCCATGAGAATTGACATGCATTAATAATTACAGGCAACTAAGCATATGTAACCAATTTCCAACGCTGTTATGTTGTATTTAAAAAACTTCTCAGTCTACATGTGTCACATTGATTACACGATTTGTTTAATTTAAAATGGGTTTCATATTTGTTCATACACTGTTAAGATTTTTAAGATCAAAAGTACGTGATGTCATGCAACTAATTATTATCAGTATTTTGATTTATATTGTTTACCAACAAAGACAGTCATATGATAGGAGGATAGGAAATGAACGAATAAAAAATGAGGAACATACTTTTGAACACACTACAGTGGTTGAGACTCGATCAGAAATAGCATCAAAATCAACAAGAAAATCGTCGAATCACTTTCTCATAATTAGTAACGGACGTGCAGGAACACATTTCATGATGAACTTGTTGAATAATCACCCAGATGTAAAAATGTACGATGAACTTCTACAGACGAAAATGTTATTAAAACCTAAAGGCATTATGGGTAACAAAACCGCCATCTTGAAATACCTTTCAGAGGAACTTTGTAAATTAAAAACATTTTGTGAACAAAATAAGAAAATTGGATTCATACTTTTAAACTGGCAAATATCAAATTTGGCGCCATTTTTGTCACTGAATGACATTCTAAAACACATTGGTAACCCAAAGGTTATAGTTCAATATCGATTAAATACATTATTATCGTATTCCAGTCTGCAAATCATCAAAGAAAATGGTGTCATAAATGCTAATATCTCTAACAAAAATGTGAGCGTTGAAATAAACTGGCATAAATTTGAGAATTACGTGATTAGAAAACGTACTGAATGGGGAGACACTTTAAAATGTATTTCCAATCGGACAAAAACATATGTATCATATGAAGAACTTGTTGCTGAGCAAAATCTATGTATAAGTAGAATATTTAAATACATTGGTGTCGCAGAATATCATGGGAAATTCGGTACTCGAATTACGAAACTGAACCCAACGTCGCTGGAAGAGAGGATATCAAACTATGCTGAAATAAAACAATATATAAAAGAAGCTCCTAAGAAACTTTTACAGTTGAATCTTGCTACAGAGAAAGATGTAACAACACTTTATGACGATGCAGAAATTAACTGAGCAGAAATATCTTGTTAAATGCTAATAACCTATAATGTATAATGATGATTTTGATCTCAACTATTCAATTTGTTTCAGACATAAATACCCTATGTTCTCTTTTTTAATTTAATACGATAATGGACGAGTTTGACCAAAAGTAAGCTGAAAGGGAAAACTATTACTGACTCGAAAGCGCAAATTATCGAACAAATTGGGCATAGGCGTACATTTATACTGACTTAGGATTTCTTGTAGTATCACTCCTCATATTAATACTCTTTCCATCCAGTTGTGTTGACAAATAACCAATTCTTGTTCTAGTAAAGTTATCATCGTTTCTTGAAATGTATCAATGATGTCAAATATATGTAAATAAGAAAAACTAAATTGGGTCGCTGAATGAGCTCTTCATTGAAAGCAAATCATGCCTTTCAACATTAATTTGGAAGGAAAATGATATATATATATGCATTATCCTTTGTTGTATTCAGCCAGAGAATATGTAAGTACAAAGGCCAAGTCGTAAGAGAATTAAGCCCCAATTATCCAAAACTTGGCCATGATTTCAATCACTCCAATTGTACTTGATATTTTACATTACTATAGTTATTTGTGACTTCAACATGTAGGACTACTTCTGCAACATTGAAATACTTCTAGATGAAAACGAAGTGACAGAAATAGTTATATAAGTATGCCTTGTGTATTACGAATTTTATTATTTTGGCATTTGATACGAAGCAAGATATCCGTCTAACATTTCTTGATTTAAAATCAGCATTTGATGAAGTTCTACTTCATTATTATATTCTAAAATTAAAGCATATTGAATTGAGGATACATTTTAAACAAACTACACAGCATGTATCAATCGTAGAAAAGTCAAAGGGAAATTCACCATTTTCTTCTTACCCATACGCAGGCTGCTTTGTAAACAATGGGTGTCTCAGGGATCAATTTTAGGACTAATTTTCTTTTTACAATACATAAGCAACCTTCATGATTATGATATATATTTATGCATTCTTGTTGCACTTAATGTAAACTCATTAACCTAATCTCATGAAAAAATTCAAATTGATATTTCAAGTGTGAAATATGAAATTCAAAACTTTCAAATTTAAAGAAGTATTTTTTAAAAGTCAAGATCACATACCATACACCAATACTTTTATAAGTAATGACCAAATTGAAAACCATGAACGAGTTCACGGTCAAAAGCATCCAGAGTAGTCCCAACTTGGATTTTAAAGAGTTTCAAAGAATTGATTATGTTATAAATATGGTAAGCAAAATGTTCAATACTTTAAGTTTTCTAAAAGCTAAAATTAACATCGAAACTTTGCCTAAGCTTGAACGGAATAAGAAACAATTTTTGATTTGGCTTTTAAATATTGAAATTCAAAATTTTGAATAAACTCTGTGACCACTATGCATGCTGCCCCGTGAGCTAATCAGATAATAGTACGCAAAATGAGATATATTTGGCACTTGTAACATCCTAAATATAGGGCATATATAATGTACACCACTGAACAACTGGAAACATAAAACTGAACTTCAGACAAATATGAAATATGAAATTTCTGCAAAACATCAGAAACACAATTAAAATATTCTTTATCATATATAATATAATGACAAAAATATCAGAAGCTGTTCATATTGTCGGTCTAAATGTCAATTTCGAAGGATATGTGTACAACCCACCCGTGCACTGGCAACAAGCCGGCGCGGTTGACACACGCAAGCAGCCGACAAGTTTGCCGTGCAGCGTAATTAGCGGTGTAAGTGCGCTTGAAGGAAAAAGTGTGAGCATTTAATTTGCAACACATGGGTTCATTGTTCTTGCTCGTGATACCTAGGGGGAATACTTATTATATATTATGCAATGCACTGGCCCGTGGGCAGTCCAAAAATGCAGCCTTAGTGGCTCCAATCTGACAGGTCATCAAAATTTAAATTATGAACGTATTTACGATGCTTACTTGACAAAATCATGTCGGAAATCAAATAATTTTGAATCATCACTCCATTAATCACCATTTCCTCATCCTCATCATTTGTCTTCAATTTAGAGCTTTAATAGCTATTTACTTTATGGGTATACACCAAATCAAAAAATGTCACTTTGAACCTGCCCTAGTATTCCATCATTATTGTATCTTTCATATTCTAGTCTATTGTGTTCAACAATTGTCTCATAAACTGTTAGCATACAAGCATTTTATAGTGGAGGCAAGTCACAACTTTGCGTCGCAAGCATATTAAGTAAAAAACAATTGTGAACTTAAAAGTATTAATGACATTCATCGCATAGGTCTAGTTTTGGAATATTCCGCCCATACACAACACACCACATATTATGTGCTAAAAACTATGGATTTCGTTTACAGAAAACAAATCAATTTTCAACAACTAAACAAAATGTCACATGTCACCTGTCTGTCGCATATGTAGCAAGATATTTCTATACGATAAGGAAAAGCAAATGACACCATTGTTCTGATGACACGTTCAATTAAACCGTTGTGAGATTATACCTGGCAGGCTAAAACGCATTTGCTTCATTTATTCGTGTTGGGGAAATAATTGACGAGAGTGGGACCATAGCAACCATGATATTCATGGTAAACAAATAGTTTTGCTTGTTATTCTTAAATGTTGCCCTTGTTTATTAGCATAATCTTAAGCTAAATTAAGGTTATAACACAAGAAAAATTGATGGTTGGAGATATAGCCATCTTAACAAAAACGGTTTACCGCCATTTTGTTTCTTTAATATATATAAGCCCGTATTATTGGCCAGAATCAAGCAAATATATCCATTTATGTCAGAGGCACATGACAAGATAACCAGGTACAAACGTTCAAAAAAGAATATGTTCGTATTCATGTTGCCCATAAAGTAAGATATATCAAAAATATACGTTAGATCATCGAATAGTGCATGTTCTTATTACCGCTTCAACATTGATGATGCATACAAACCCATAAAATAAATGAAGCAGAGGAGGTCAAATGTCAAAAAATACTGGAGTGATGCTCATCGATCAATATAGTGGAGCACTTTGGTCCCGGATGCTAAATGGCGGATTCATCATCAATGTTAAACAATTGAACAATTTATGCTCCAGAGCTCTTGATGCATCGGAAGTTATTCAATTGATTTAAAAGACAATGAAATTAGGAAGGGTACTATCATTTACGAAACACACATATTTGAAGTATGTATTTTTGCTGATTGGAGTTGTGCTTATGATATATCTTGTTCTAGAAGATGAAGTGGTAAGTAAAAAAAGTTCAGCAACAGAAAATGATTATTCTAACGCCACATTCGATTAACAAACAATCTAAAGAGATTTTAAAGCATTAAGTTAAATCCACCAAAAGAAATCAGCACTACACAATTTATCCAAGCAACCAATATTATTGGGGTATTGTTGAGGTTCTGTGTGTTATATCATATTTAGGATGTTGTGTTTTTTCTTTTGACCAGTTTCACTTTTCGATGTTGCTTTTTTTACTTGGACACTTGTGCTTATAATATTGATTTGATTATTTGATTTGCATTGTTGATTTGCATTTACCAAATTGTGTTTTTCCGTCGAATACTATTCGAAATTATTGATATTCTAGATAAGAACAAATGAAGGGGACAACAATGGCGACGAGACCAACATAAACATCACACGAATGGAGACTTTACAAGAATCCGTATTGAAATTCCGCTATGCAGTAGAAACTCCAGATATTTCTCTCAAAGCAAATGAAGAGCTGGTTGCATCACGAGATGTGTTAAAGAGACTCGAAATCCCTCCACCTGAAGAAAAATTCATTGACTTGTCTGAAGATATGCTAAAAAAGTTTGTGTTTGTCACGGCGGCAAGTTCTAACCACTTCAATGAAAGCTTAGATTTAATAGGCAGTATCCAAGAATTCATGCCAGAAAGAGACATATACTACTATGACATTGGTCTCCAGCCAGGCCAAATTGAAATATTGAAAAAATTATGTGGGGTGAAATATCGACTTCTGAATTTTGATGCGTACCCAGAACACGCTGCTACTCTGTTGACGTATGCTTTCAAGGCAATATCTATCAAGGTAATTGGTTTATCAGAATCACTTCATATGTCATTACTAACCCCCCCCCCCCCCTCCCCCATTCCTCATCCATGAACACTATTAATAGTGTGTTTTGATCTCTAGATATAATAGATTGTTTTTGAGTATCTGTGGCATATTTTGTCATCGTTTTCTGATCTAACTTCAATAACTACTGTTGGTCTAAATCGTGTGTTTTATGTAATAAAAAGGCAATAAGTATCTGTAAGTATTTACTATTCATCAATGAATCTATTAGAGAAAATGTATAAAATGTATCACTTAATGATTTTTATATCGTATAGGAAGTCATGACGGAGCATTCTGGTGTATTCTGGGTAGATGCCTCCATTCGTTTAAAAGGCAATAATACAGATAGACTCTGGGAGAAACTTCAAATAGGCAAGGGAATGGTGTTTTTCGCATCAGCTTTCGCCCATTCAAATTTTGCGACGACCCGAGCGGGGATGTATGATTATCTTCCAACTGATAAAGAGAAGATGAAGGACCTGGGCTCAATCGGAGCCACAGCGATGCTGCTTTACAACACTAAATTCGTTTATGAACATTATATAAAATGGTGGGTGTTATGTGCATTAAATAGGTACTGTATTGCACCCGATGGGTCGAGAAAATACTGCGACCCTTACGACACATACGAGGAAAAATATCATTTCTATAGGAATTGCCACAGATTCGATCAAGCAGCTTTGAATATTTTAGTTTGTAATACATTTAATTACGACAAAAGTACAATTTACTCATTACGAGCCACGCAATGGCTTTCCATTAAAAGATACAAGACGTATATGTTTGAGCCTCATTATTGTGCAAGTAAGATTACATAACGTGTTTGTGTAACTATTTTGGAACAAAAAATGAAGAACTCCAACTTCGAATTTCAATAAATTTCGTTGCTTTCCTGTCAAGTAGATTGTAATGTTAGTTTTTGTTTTATTATGTCACCACCAAAAGTGGTGACATATTGTTATGGTCTCCGTTTTTTGCGACGGCGGTTGGCGTCCGGCGTCCGGCGTCTGGCGTCCGGCGTCCGGCGTCTGTAACAATTTCTTACAACTTCCTATAACATAACAAATACTGTTTAGACTGACTTCAATTTTTTTCTAAATCATCTACATGTTCTCAGAAGTTCAAATCTGACTTTAGATTTTACATTTGACCTTCAAAAAGGTCTCTTTTCAACTTGCTTCACATTGACTAAATTTTTTTTCAAAATCATCTACATGTTCTCAGAAATTCAAATCTGACTTTAGATTTGACTTTAGATTTGACATTTGACCTTCAAATCTGACTTAAGATTTGACATTTGACCTTCAATGACCTTCTCAAGGTCAAAAAAGGTCAAAAAGGTCTGTTTTCAACTTGCTTCAAATTGACTAAAAAAAATTTCCAAAATCATCTACGTTTTCTCAGAAATTCAAATCTGACTTTAGATTTGACTTAAGATTTGACATTTGACCTTCAATGACCTTCTCAAAGTCAAAAAAGGTCAAAAAGGTCTTTTTTCAACTTGCTTCAAATTGACTAATTTTTTTTTTCAAAATCATCTACATGTTCTCAGAAATTCAAATTTGACTTTAGATTTGACATTTGACCTTCAATGACCTTCTCAATGTCAAAAAAGGTCAAAAAGGTATTTTTTCATCTTGCTTCAAACTGACTAAAATTTTTTTTCAAAATCATCTACATGTTCTCAGAAATTCAAATATGACTTTAGATTTGACCTTCAATGACCTTCTCAAGGTCAAAAAAGGTCAAAAAGGTCTTTTTCAACTTGCTTCAAATTGACTAATTTTTTTTTCAAAATCATCTACATGTTCTCAGAAATTCAAATCTGACTTAAGATTTGACATTTGACCTTTAATGACCTTCTCAAGGTAAAAAAAGGTCAAAAAGGTCTGTTTTCAGAAATTCAAATCTGACTTTAGATTTGACATTTGACCTTCAAAATCATCTACGTGTTCTCAGAAATTCAAATCTGACTTTAGATTTGACTTAAGATTTGACATTTGACCTTCAATGACCTTCTCAAAGTCAAAAAAGGTCAAAAAGGTCTTTTTTCAACTTGCTTCAAATTGACTAATTTTTTTTTCAAAATCATCTACATGTTCTCAGAAATTCAAATCTGACTTTAGATTTGACATTTGACCTTCAATGACCTTCTCAATGTCAAAAAAGGTCAAAAAGGTATTTTTTCATCTTGCTTCAAATTGACTAAAAAAGGAAGTCATGGCGGAGCATTCTGGTGTATTCTGGGTAGATGCCTCCATTCGTTTAAAAGGCAATAATACAGATAGACTCTGGGAGAAACTTCAAATAGGCAAGGGAATGGTGTTTTTCGCATCAGCTTTCGCCCATTCAAATTTTGCGACGACCCGAGCGGGGATGTATGATTATCTTCCAACTGATAAAGAGAAGATGAAGGACCTGGGCTCAATCGGAGCCACAGCGATGCTGCTTTACAACACTAAATTCGTTTATGAACATTATATAAAATGGTGGGTGTTATGTGCATTAAATAGGTACTGTATTGCACCCGATGGGTCGAGAAAATACTGCGACCCTTACGACACATACGAGGAAAAATATCATTTCTATAGGAATTGCCACAGATTCGATCAAGCAGCTTTGAATATTTTAGTTTGTAATACATTTAATTACGACAAAAGTACAATTTACTCATTACGAGCCACGCAATGGCTTTCCATTAAAAGATACAAGACGTATATGTTTGAGCCTCATTATTGTGCAAGTAAGATTACATAACGTGTTTGTGTAACTATTTTGGAACAAAAAATGAAGAACTCCAACTTCGAATTTCAATAAATTTCGTTGCTTTCCTGTCAAGTAGATTGTAATGTTAGTTTTTGTTTTATTATGTCACCACCAAAAGTGGTGACATATTGTTATGGTCTCCGTTTTTTGCGACGGCGGTTGGCGTCCGGCGTCCGGCGTCTGGCGTCCGGCGTCCGGCGTCTGTAACAATTTCTTACAACTTCCTATAACATAACAAATACTGTTTAGACTGACTTCAATTTTTTTCTAAATCATCTACATGTTCTCAGAAGTTCAAATCTGACTTTAGATTTTACATTTGACCTTCAAAAAGGTCTCTTTTCAACTTGCTTCACATTGACTAAATTTTTTTTCAAAATCATCTACATGTTCTCAGAAATTCAAATCTGACTTTAGATTTGACTTTAGATTTGACATTTGACCTTCAAATCTGACTTAAGATTTGACATTTGACCTTCAATGACCTTCTCAAAGTCAAAAAAGGTCAAAAAGGTCTTTTTTCAACTTGCTTCAAATTGACTAATTTTTTTTTTCAAAATCATCTACATGTTCTCAGAAATTCAAATCTGACTTTAGATTTGACATTTGACCTTCAATGACCTTCTCAATGTCAAAAAAGGTCAAAAAGGTATTTTTTCATCTTGCTTCAAACTGACTAAAAAAAATTTTCAAAATCATCTACATGTTCTCAGAAATTCAAATATGACTTTAGATTTGACCTTCAATGACCTTCTCAAGGTCAAAAAAGGTCAAAAAGGTCTTTTTCAACTTGCTTCAAATTGACTAATTTTTTTTTCAAAATCATCTACATGTTCTCAGAAATTCAAATCTGACTTAAGATTTGACATTTGACCTTTAATGACCTTCTCAAGGTAAAAAAAGGTCAAAAAGGTCTGTTTTCAGAAATTCAAATCTGACTTTAGATTTGACTTTAGATTTGACATTTGACCTTCAAAATCATCTACGTGTTCTCAGAAATTCAAATCTGACTTTAGATTTGACTTAAGATTTGACATTTGACCTTCAATGACCTTCTCAAAGTCAAAAAAGGTCAAAAAGGTCTTTTTTCAACTTGCTTCAAATTGACTAATTTTTTTTTCAAAATCATCTACATGTTCTCAGAAATTCAAATCTGACTCTAGATTTGACATTTGACCTTCAATGACCTTCTCAATGTCAAAAAAGGTCAAAAAGGTATTTTTTCATCTTGCTTCAAATTGACTAAAAAAAATTTTCAAAATCATCTACATGTTCTCAGAAATTCAAATATGACTTTAGATTTGACATTTGACCTTCAATGACCTTCTCAAGGTCAAAAAAGGTCAAAAAGGTCTTTTTTCAACTTGCTTCAAATTGACTAATTTTTTTTTCAAAATCATCTACATGTTCTCAGAAATTCAAATCTGATTTTAGATTTGACATTTGACCTTTAATGACATTCTCAAGGTCAAAAAAGGTCAAAAAGGTCTGTTTTCAACTTGCTTCAAATTGACCAAATTTTTTTTCAAAATCATCTACATCTTTTCAGAAGTTCAAATTTGACTTTACAAGTTCTCAGAAGTTCAAATCTGACTTTAGATTTGACCTTTGACCTTCAATGACCTTCTCAAGGTCAAAAAGGTATTTTTCAACTTGCTTCAAATTGACTAATTTTTTTTTCAAAATCATCTACATGTTCTCAGAAGTTCTTCTTAAGGTCAAAAGGTATTTTCCAACTTGCTTTAAATTGACCAAATTGTTTTAGGTGGTGACATTTTGTCATGTTAATGCCTTGTCAAAAGTTGAGTTGGTGTTCAATTGAATAACGCTATATTTGCCAAGTGGTTTCAATGTACCATGAAAGGGGAAATTGATTAAGATATGGCATTTCTATGAATTGGGTACAATGTTAGAATCTAAAAGCTGACACTCTCACCTTTCCAACGATGCATTTTAATCTCGGGGCCAATCAATAGAGTAGTATTCCACACTTTTGTATAACTTGTATATTTTAGCGCAAGCGTAAAAAACTACAGCTAGAACTTAGTTTGGAAACATTTTCCATTTCAGTTCAAAATGTATTCCCTAACCCTACTATCACACCAAACTAGTTCTCACTACGTTTTCGAAAACGGGATTCAACTGTGTACGAACGGCCTGGACGTATTTAGAACCGTTTGGGGTCTATTTACAAACTTCATCGAACGTACTCGAACGGGAAGGTCCTTTAGAACTTAAAACATGCTCAAAATATTCTCGTGGTCGTCACGTTCTACAATTAGAACGAGTCACAACGTACTAACGACGAGCTGGACGTACTACGAACGGAACCGTCGTACTTCAATCCTACTAGGGACGTTTTTACACGAGTTGAACTGTCTGAGGACGTATTGAGAACGAGGTAGAACTAATTGCAAACGGGTTTAAACTGACTAAGAACGTATTAAAGACTGCCTATGAACGAGTTAGCAAAAATATAGCTATCACACCAAACAAGTTGCCACTGCGTTCTTCAAAACTGGTTTTAAACTGTGTGCGAACGGAATGAACGTAGCTGCAACTTCCTAAGGTCTATTTACGAACTTCATGAACGTTCTCAGGCGGGAAGGTGATTTTAGAATTTTGACTCGGTTCAAAATTCGATGGCGACCATACCGTTCTGTAATCAGGTCATGATGACCTTCTAGACTAAGGGACGCGTTATACGACGTTGCACACCGAGCGTGGTACGACATGAACGAACTGCGAATGAGATGGACGTATTGAAGACTGTTTATGAACGAAGTAGCTAATTATTTTAGAGATATTTCCCGACCACAGCCAGATTGAGCCCGTTTTACGACGTTTTCGTAGGACTGGCAAGAACGGGTAAGAACTAGTTTGGTGTGATAGGGGGTAAGCTAGCTATGGATCCTTTCTTGTACAATAACAAATTAAGGTATAGTAGAGAATGAATAGACTGGTGGATTAACGTGGACCGTTTACATGTTGAGTGTCATACTAGAGCAGGTACGTAGTCAAGGAGATTTCCACTCCCTCCAAAAGTTTGTTGTTGACATCTTAGCGTGAGATTGATGGATGGAGATAATCCATACGGAACGGAATGTTGAGTTTTAAATGTTACCAGTTTACAGCCATTGTAAAGTTTTTCGGTTTCAGTCAAATCTGGGGTTAGTCTACTTTTTGTAAAAAACAATTGCACTAAAAAACAAAAAATGTTAACAAAAACAACAGTTAAATAAAATTTATATAAATTATTTTTGCATTAATTTGTTGTAAATCAGTCATCATTATATAAAGGACCGTCTTTCTTTACAGAATGTTTTCAATAATTGATTTAAGAGAAAAACATTGTTGAATTCAGTTCACCATATCGATACCAATCCTTTGGAACTTTGTCTAAACAGCTCCGCTTCTCTTCCAATCTTTCCATCAACATGTCTAGGCGCCCCTCCATATTCCTGAGTTTATTTATCATTTTGGCATACTCGTGTTTTAGCCCCGGGGTTTTAGCCGTTAGCTGGTTGCGCTCATTCACTGGTTTCTCCGCTGGTTTGTCTCTCATTTCCACAAGCAACATTGCCAGTATATCATTTGTTTCAGCAAACTTCTTTCCTTCCCAACGCGCCGCCGCTGTCACCAATTGTTGGAATCTTGCTCTAACTAATTCTACTTAAAATAAAAACTCATGACGTTTCCATTCTCAAATATATATAATTCTTTTATTGTTACTTTCCAATTTATACATCTTCATTCTTCAGTTTCACACTCATTCATTTATCCAACTACGCATATACCCAGAGACTATAAAACAAATATACCATTATAACAATAGCCTTTATAGGCTAACAATTAAAGATCAAACGTCATTAATCTTTCTCAAATGTTCTCTTTAATCAAGGCTGATTAAAGGTTCACATATAACATTTCAACATGTGATTAATGAGATCTGAAATTAAGATAAATGAAAGCTAACTTTGCTGGATCCCAACAACATAATGAATACTAGGATGATGGCATCTACGAAACGTACATATTTGAGGTTTGTATTTTTGTTGATTCGTTGTATGCTGGTATTGCTGATATTACTTGTTTTGAAAAATAAATTGGTAAGTAAAACTTTCTCATTCGAGCACAGAAAATAGTGATTTCAATGACTTTAAAAGTCTAAATATTGTACACGCGACAATTTTACGGAAAGAAATATCCATGCGTTGTTAAATTGGATTTTGCCTCATTGTGCTCAGATTCCGTCGATTACTAATGGGAAAACTGAATGTTTTAGATAAGAACAAATGAAGGGAAAAGAATACGTAATGGCGAAGGGGACAGTAATGGCGACGAGGTCCGCATAAACATTTCACGAATGGAGACTTTGCAAGAACCCGTATTGAAATTCCGTTATGCAATAGAAACTCAAGATCATTCTCTAAAAGCAAATGAAGAGCTGGTTGCATCACGAGATGTGTTAAAGAGACTCGAAATCCCTCCACCTGAAGAAAAATTCATTGACTTGTCTGCGGACATGCTAAAAAACTTTGTGTTTGTAACTGCGGCGAGTTCTAACCACTTCGATGAAAGCTTAGATTTGATTGGTAGTATCCAAGAATTCATGCCAGAAAGAGTAATATACTACTATGACATTGGTCTTAAAACAGGCCAAGTTGAAATATTGAAGAAATTATGTGGGGTGAAATATCGACTTTTGAATTTTGATGTGTACCCAGAGCACGTTGCTACTCTGTCGACGTATGCTTTCAAGGCAATATCTATCAAGGTAAATTGTATAATGATCACTTCATAAGTCATTTTTTTCGTCCCCTCCTACCCTTCATTTGCAACTCCACGGAGGAGCAAATCCCACCCAACAAAACATGTTTTGATAAATAGCGGCCATCTTGAAATTTCTTCTTGAACAGAGCTCTTTTGTCCCTGGGTATTAGCGTATAAGAAAAATTACGGCGATTTTGAAACTCTGCTGTCATCTCGAAAATTTCTTCTAAAGTAGAGATCCTTTGTCCCTAGGCATCATCATATAAAAGTTGAACCAAATCCGTCCATTGATATTTGAGTTATTAAAGATTACCTCTTTTAACGAAAAATGGCGGCCATTTTGAAATTGAGCGGTCATCTTAAAAATATTTTATTAACTAAATCTCCTTTAACCCTGGGCATCAGCTTATAAAATTTGAACCAAATCTGTCAATTGGTATTTGAGTAATCAAAGATTTTTAAGAAAATTGGCAGCCATTTTGAAATTCACTGGCCATCTTGAAAATCTCTTCTTATGCAAAGCTCAGTTGTCTCTAGGCATCAGCATATGAAATTTGAAGTATATCCGTCAACTAGTATTTGGGTTATCAAAATTACATTTTCATATGATACTGATACACGCTTGTGTTAAAAGTGTCGTGGGAATTCTGCCTACAACGTGTGAAATAAGGAAAAAAGAAAAATCGTACCTTCGATGTTCCGACATTTTATTACCAAAACGAACCGTTTTGGTAACCAGCGTAATCGAGCGGATCACCAGTGTATACACACCATTGGATGTGGCATGGCTTCGTTTTTAAAATATTAAAAAACACTACCCGGAAGTGGTATTTACAAGATTGTCCACCTCACTTCCAGCAGAGGTCCTACACCCATAAGGCATAAGCCTATAAAAGGATTGGTATCGATATGGCAAACTGAATTCAATATCAAACCTTTTCTCTCAAACCAATTATTGAAAACATTCTTTAAAAACCCTATCCTTAATGTAATGGTCACAGATTGACAACAATCTAATTCGAAAATTAGTATACATTTTATATTATTGTTTTTGTGAACATTTTTTGTTTTTGTTCCTTTCTGCCAATTCTTGAGAATGAAATAAAAGATCTTTCCGAACCTTGTTGGAACAAAATAGCATAAACAACATTTTCTCAGACCTCTCAAAGGAAAATTTGTTAGGTATTCAACAACCCCAAAATAGATTAAAATTAAAGTTACAGTTTTATTTCATTAACACGATACTTTTTTAAATGAACCAACATTTCCTTTATACAATCACAATATTGAGAGACCTAAACACGTTATATCATTTTGTTACAATAAAGTTCGGATAGATGTTCCATTTTATTCCGAACATATGCATATGATACCGAGAACAAAAGAAGTACCTGGCGTGTTTTCTAAAACAATATAGAGAATAAGGGTGATAAGAAAATTGAACCACTAAAACAGATGAATATTTCTACTATACCCGCCATGCTATCTGACCCGAACGAGCCACCTGGTGGTGAAACTGGTGACTAACTTCTCGCATCGAGTTATTCATTTGCCATATCGATAGCAATTCTTTGAATCAAATCCGTTAACTTGTATTGGAGTTATAGTCTGACGGACGGCTTCCTATATCCCTACGAACTTCTTTCGGTGGGATAACTAGATATTGTGTTATGTATCAATAGTATATTGTAGCATCGTTTTCATCATCATTCCGTCCTTGACTGGAGTGTCTTTTTCGTTAGTGCTGAGATTGACCCTGGGAGATTGACCTGTACATAAATCTTCATGTTTATACGTAATGTATATATCTAAAAATCAGCTAAAATACAGTTTATGGTTTTTACATCTTATAGGAAGTCATGGGGGAGCACTCTGGTGTATTCTGGGTAGATACCTCTATTCGTTTAAAAGGCAATAATACAGAGACATTCTGGAATATACTTCAAGTGGGCAATGGAATGGTGTTTTTCGTATCAGCTTTCGCCCATTCAAACTTCGCAACGACTCGAGCGGAAATGTATGATTTTCTCCCAACTGATCAAGAGAAGATGAAGGACCTGGGCTCAATCGGAGCAGGTGCGATGCTGCTTCACAACACTAACTTCGTTTATGAACATTATATAAAATGGTGGGTGTTATGTGCATTGAATAGGTACTGTATTGCACCAGATGGGTCGAGAAAATTCTGCGACCATTATTACACATATGAGGAAAGATATCATATCTATAGGAACTGCCACAGATTTGAGCAAGCAGCTTTGAATATTTTAGTTTGTAATGCATTTAATCACGACAAAAGTACAATTTACACATTACGCGCGAGATATTGGCTTTCCATTAAAAGATACAAGACTGTGATGTTTAAACTTCATCGTTGTGAAAGTAAGATTACGTAAAACATGCATGTGGTTTTAACTTTTTTGTAATAAAATAAATAACTTTGAATTTCAGTTTATTCTGATCCTTTTCCTGTCTAGTAGATTGTCTAGGTAAAGTATGTTTGTTTCTTATCAAAAGTTAAATTGAGGGTAAAAATGACGCCATTTTCTCCATGGTTCGATTATACCAGTGGAAATACAAAATTGAAAGAATAGTGTTTTTATGAATTGGAAACAATCTTAAAATCCAAAAGCTGTCAATTGCTGGAATTTCACCATGCGTTTTAGAAAGGCATCTAAGGTTTTACCCCGGTTTGAAAAATAGGTGTAATCACGATTGCGGTTTTACAAAAGCGGTTTTCCAAAACTCCTGGAAGCCTAGTCACTAGAAAACTTAAATCATTAGGCACTTTTGGAGTGCAGTGTAATACCGATCGGTTTTTGTAAAAAAACGGGTTTTTACCATTTGCCCTAAACGAAATAAGACGTATTTCGAATGCTGTACACATTTGGATCACCGCAAAAATACAGGAAATGATGGATGGGAGCCAAAAGATGCAATAGGTCATCAAATCATATCGCAAAAATTGAAAGTAAGTTCACATCACTGGCAAAAGTCTCGGTTACGTTTTCTCTAAGATGCTAAAAGAATACAGGTGTTATTCCAAATTAAATTCCTATGGCGCTTTAGAATTGTTGGTGTAATCAGGATGGCGATTTTGTAAAGCGCTTCCCATTAAAGCGCTTTTAGCGGTATTTCTGGTGTAATTCCAGCAATTCTCACCTTTCCAACGGTACATGAGAACCCTTGGCACAATCGAGTAAAGTATTCTGAACTTGTTTTTATTGTATTTTGTCTTCTCACACTGTATTTACTAACAAGTTAGAACCCAAAACACTAATACACACACTAAAACACAATTCTATTTACTTTTGTCTGTACTAGTTAAGGTGTATCACCTTTTGAAGCCTTCGCTTGGAGTATGATATAATCATTAAATAATTTGATTTGATATCATGCGGATCTTTTTGAGTTTTTTGGTACCATATACCCTACTATCACACCAAACTAGTTCTCACTACGTTCTCGAAAACGGGCTCCAACTGTGAACGAACGGACTGGACCTTCTTAGAACCGTTTGGGATCTATTTACAAACTTCATCGAACGTACTCGAACGGGCAGGTCCTCTAGAACTTAGACAATGCTCAAAATGTTCTCGTGGTCGTCACGTTCTACAATTAGAACGAGTGACAACGTACTAACGACGAGCTGGACGTACTACGAACGGAACCATCGTACTTCAATCCTACTAGGGACGTTTTAATAACGAGTTGAACTGTCTGAGGACGTGTTGAGAACGAGATAGAACTAATTGCAAACGGGTTTAAACTGATTAAGAACGTATTTAACACTGCTTATGAACGAGTTAGCAAAAAAATAGCTATCACACCAAACAAGTTGCCACTGCGTTCTTCAAAACTGGTTTTAAACTGAGTGCGAACGGAATGAACGTAGCTGCAACTTTCTAAGGTCTATTTACGAACTTTATGAACGTTCTCAGACGGGAATGTGATTTTAATCTGTAATCTGTAATCAGGTCATGTTGACCTTCTAGACTAAGGGACGCGTTCTACGACGTTGCACACCGACGTGGTGCGACCTGAACGAACTGCGAACGAGATGGACGTATTGAAGACTGTTTAAAGAATAGGCGGGCAGAATTGGAGGTCCAAAAAAAAGTTTAATGTACAGTTGCAACATATTCTCGAATTTGGTACCGTTGGAAAGCTTGAGATGCCTAGATTTGAGATCCACTTGTTAGCAATTACGAAATGTGGGCCGAATGTCTCTAAAACGCCCGTTTCCATGGTAACCACAAAAATATGTTGTTAATAAGCAGAACATTATTTTTATCCATAACTTTACTAATATTGCTTCGATTTTAATGAAATTGGTATCAAATTGAAGAGAATTGAAAGTTCCATTTTCGAAAATAACAATTATGCAAATTAGCTCATTTGCATATTTATTGTGTCGTCATCACTGCATTATTTTGCGTATTTTCTGATAAATGAGTATATTTATTTCAGTACAGTAATGAATAGTTAGAAGCTTATTATTTCAGACATATTTCTCGACCACAGCCAGATTGAGCCCGTTTTACGACGTTTTCGTAGGACTGGCAAGAACGGGTAAGAACTAGTTTGGTGTGATAGGGGGGTTACATATTAGTGCCACGCCCTAATCAGGGTGCTGTACGAAGTAAACGTAAAAAATGTACAACTTCTAGTTTTGACAATCAACACTAATACCTGAATCATGTCCATGTGATTGTCTTCAATACAGTGTTGCCTAGAAGTCATTGTTGTATATCTTTAACTAAACTTTACATTGTATCGATCAAAATGAAAAACTACAGGTAAGGCCTTCTTTGTAGAAACGTTAATAGGTAAGTATACACTTCAAATGGGAGGATCAATCCATAAAGAAGAAGAATCGGCGTTCACGTACAAGTTTAATAAAAACGTGTAATTTACCGATACTCTCTAAATATTATCAGCCTGACACCAGCCTTTTGAAAAATAATTATAGCCGTTTTTTCATAGTTCTGCTTTACATTTGAATACGAACATTTGTCAATGTAGAATATTTAGGACTTCTTTTCAAACTTAGTGATTTGCTGATTGACTTGCTGGTTTTATCCAACCGTCCTACACATACTCGACAACACCACTCATCTCCAATTTGTTGAATATTTCTCATAGAACTGCAGCTGACGCACGAGTGATCTGTTAACATACCGAGTCCTTTCATAACTCGATTTAGGCATGGGCTTTTCGCCGCAAGCCACCTTCGAAATCCGATATCATCTTCTTTGAATTGGTTTCTGTTCATGAATTTGCCGAGTAAGAGTTGTGCGAACGTGACACGTTGTGTCATCATATTGTGATACAGGTATACAACCCGTTGCTGTTCTCGAACAGGGAACAGGGTAGTAGGCCGCTGCGATCTTGTGCTGGAGTCTTGCTCCATAGGACTGAAGTATCGTAAGAATGAAAATACCCCCGAACATAGCGATTAAGTGCCCGAGTCGCGTAGTGTCTTCATAAAAAGGAGGAAGGGGGTCAGGAAGACATCGTTCGGTATTAATTTGCATGAAGTAATCGAATGTTGTAGAGTTGCTTTTGAATAAGAGTGGGACCGATTGATACAGTAACTGACTGATGCGAGGACTCGTGTCATTGAGAGAGACTTTAAATCCAGTGCCGCCATCTATGACGACCGTAACATTTGCTTCTTCTCGTATCACTTCTAATGTCCGATACAACACAAAATCGAGCAAACACAACAAAACTGCACCGGCCAAGAATGGTAGGATAACAATTAATCCCCATAGGACAGACACCCTTTCTTGGCCTGACAGACAACACGATGTCGAGTCAATGTATTGAGCCCTTTCCTTCCTCCGCAATGGCAGCAGTGTCTTCTTCATCTGAAATCGCCTTTCGGTGTCCAGTTCTTTGAATGCAGATGTGACATAGATGTTGTCATAATCAAGGTGCCGTTGATAACCACGATGATAGCAGCATGCCTGGATCAACACAAGTACAACCGATACAGAGAGGACGCTTCCAAGAATGGATAATAGTCTACGAATGAAATATGTCTTATCGGCAAACTCTGCGTTTAGTTTGCTACCTATTGTGGCGAGACTTTCGGTTCCGGTCACATTTGGGAGATCAAAGTAACGTTCTGCATCGACTTTATTCGAATAGTCTTCTAAATCATGTGCGAATAGCGTTATGTTATGAATTCTTACACTTGCATTAATGCCACTAACATCGATTCCGATGTCACCGAAAGCGTCCCCAAGAAGTCGTTTTGGAGCATCGATGATTTTCTTTAACGTCTCAATTTGCAACGCAAACATTTGTCTAACCGTTGCTTCGAATTCCCTACTGTAGCCATGAACTCGCTCCAAGAGAGCTGATTGTATCGATCTGACTTCTTGGCTCAACATTTTAACCTGACACGATGTCGCTTCTGGTATTTTCTTTGCATTATCCAATGTGTTTGTGATCGGACCGGTCGGTAAAAGTCTTAATATAATTGTCAACATGATGGCTCTGCCTCGGGATGTCGTGATGCCTGGTAGAGTCAGAAGCGCTATGCACCGCGCACGTTGAGACATCGCAACTGCCAATGCGATCAAAAACGCAATTCCAAGAGCGATGGCAACTCCTGCTGGCGGTGGGTATATTATTTTTGGAGCATGATTTACCGCTTCTACCACGGGCAGACGCTCGGCATTTGTATCGTTCCTTGGAGTGTCAAAACTAGCGTTCTGCCCAAATAGCTTAATTCCAAAAGAGGTCCCGTTACTGTTTGTATTAGGCTTCTTTTCAGGAACTAAGTATCCTTCTGTATAGAATATAAGAGCGATGAGTGAACAACAGAATAATAATGCGATGAAAAATGCCCAAATGTTCTTGAAATATTTACACTTGCATTTATTACCTCGCTCCAACTCTGATGAGTTACTGTAAGTGCGAGTTAGTGACTGTGGGTGGACCATCACCCAGTCACTCATAGTTTCACCAACAACTGGGCTAACCATGCTTAAATTGATGTAGTCCATTATACTCGCATTTTGATGTTTTGCATTGCGGGCATTTCTCAGGGCTGTTTTGTTTTTACGTAATGAGGGCATGTCTGCCATCGCATCTTCCTCTAATAACAAACTTGTCGGTCGCAGAGACGGTCTCATTTCAGGATGATGACCAGATAGATCTATGGCCATATTATCGATGTTTGAGAGATACTCAACTGTACTACTTGGATCAACAATTTCCGGAAGTCCGTCTTCCGTTTTGGCATGAGCCAAACTTTTGCCATAATCGTGGAGTTCGGAATCGGAGTTACGTTCAATACATACTGGTTTAGCGGGTGATAAAACTCCATCATGTAACTGTTCATTCGAAGGTCTATCCATGGCTAGTTCTTTTTGTCAGATTTGCCACCCTTGAAGCATTAAGGCTCTTCAAAAATATCGCAGTATTGTAACTGTCTGTATATACTGTTGTCTTTATTATCTTTCTACAGTTCCACGTTTGCTCAAATTAATCACCTAAAAAACAGAACTTGAATTTCAAATAGAGAAACTGATAAATAAGAATACTATACCACAGTGTATATACTATATTATGATATAACTTGTGGCATCAGCTCCCATTCATAACTTCCTATTGGCATTGCCAACCATGGTCATTGATGAGTAAGCAATGACATGTCATGTCAGGTAAGAGGAAGGTGGAAGTCTTTTTACTTCCTCAGTTATGGGTCAAAGATTTTGCCTATTGTCAATTTATTCAAGGGTAAGATATATCACCAGTATGAGGAGTCGTGCAAAAGAGTCACGATCTCGCATGAAGAACATTTTCCTTCCTAGCAACCATTGTTTACAATGACGGACATCAATCTGACAACCATGAAAAAGTCAATAATATCACATGTTATGGTTTATTTGCATTTTAAAATTACGAGAACAATTCCCCGTCCATAAACTGTTGAAATGGAAAGATATCGATACTTATTAAATGAATGTAAAAAATAAGTTATTTCTCATGCGTGACTATGTTTTTTCACAATAGCTTAGAATAAAAATATTTGTAGAGTATTCCTATTGTTGAAACGTTTGCGTTAAGGTACAGTGCACATTTAGTCTGAAACCAGGGAATTCAATATAAGGCATTTGTAGAATTCCATATATATACCCCAGTCTTAAGACTAACGTTTGAATCATATTGTATTACAATAGTTCGGATGAGAAATGATGATTTTTTTGAATCGCCAAACATAGATAGGCTCCAACATGCGATATAGGTGAGGTATTCTAAATGTCAAACCTAGGGGAGGGGGGTGTCCATATTGTAATAGTCTAGATGCTTATCCATGTATTAAATGAAATCATCATTTACATGTTACAACAAACACATTTCAACAAACATTTCAAAATAACCAAGTAAATACACTTTCCTCAAGACTGTGTACCCCCCCCCCCACCCTACTTCACCTTCCCAACACAATAAGGTGCTGGTGGAAATGGGAAGCACACAGGGGTGGGGGCGTATTCAGTTTGAAGCAAGACTACCAAATAAATAGCTAAATAATCAGCTAAAGCAATATCGCTTGGATATGTAAATACAAAAATGAATATCATATATTTAATAAAATGTTTAATAAAGATAAACTTACGTCATATTATTTATTTCTAAATTAGGCCTACAAATCCCGTAAGACAAATGACGCATCAGCCCTCTTTCATATTTTAAAGTCTGCTTTCCGTTTGATTTCGAAACATATACTATATCTAGTAATTCATCATGAACTAAGTATTATTGGATAAATTCCAATGGCATAATTTCAATATAAAAAACACAAAGAAGATTCGTAGCAATCCAAGTTTCGTTTTATAACCCTGTAAATATTTATCAAATGATTGACTTATTTATTTGGGCTATTTCAAATATCTGAAGGCTCATTTAAAAAAATGGGTAGTTTGTAACAACGCTGAGCTTCTAAATAACAAAATCACCCTCAAGTCTCCGAGGAATAATCTCGGTGTCAATTTTTGGCTTGTATCTTCTAAAAGTATTGTAAGGTTCACATTAATTATGATCCAGGGTACCCAGTATTGAAATATTTATATGTCGAGGTTATACTTCTCAATGAGGATATATTTAGAAATACTATAGTAATTCAGAGAAAAATTTTGTGGTAAATGAAAATGAAAGAGATTGAAAACGGAAAGTTGATGTGAGTAATTCTTGCAAATAAAACGAGACAACTATGAGTCAGACAGAGGAAGTGATTGATGAGGATGTTTTTATAATTCATAGATGAACATATCTCTTGAGGTTCATCCTTATAAGGAGATCTACATAAGTTCATCTTTGAATTCTGGGAACCCCTAAACTGTAGGGCTCTGTAAAAAAACACAATGGTATTATCTCCCCATGTAGCTGCATCCTCCGACCGCAGGGCTCTAGACAACATTCACTCTGTTCCAAATGGATGATTTCTACATAGCGCTGCGTTTAGAGAATGATATAGCCAATATACACCTAAAATTAGTGCAGTGGATTTTGGATTTTGTGGTCTGGTATAAATGGTATACCTGCTGTGCTTGAAGCTGTCAATCATATGAAGATAGATATAAATCATCAATATATGAACGTGTCATCATGTAGCAAAGAGTGAAGCAGATGTTGATTTGATGATTAGAAAATTATATGGCAACAGTAATTGACACCAACGTGTACGCTTGTAACCAGATATATCACTGAGACCATTAGACGCAACGTGTCAAAGTCATTTTTGGCGTTTTATAAACCTTTACCATATTTATAATAAATTCTAAATATGATTCTATATACAATGTGTAGTTATATCACAGAATACATAGTAAATTATGGCATTTTCAGAGAATCCCTATCGGCAGCAGTGAAAATGTGTCAAACTTCAAATATATGAAACCAAGGGACAATGTAAAATAGTAAATGACAGAAACATTTGTTATGACTTATGCCACCATAAGTTGGGAAATAAATAAAACATAAATATAATGAGAAACCCATCATGTTTATATTTGAACAAAATTACTTATATCATGGAAACAATATCGGCATCCCTTATATTTGTATTTTCTGTATAGTCCGATTCAACGTCTTCAATAGCTATAATATTATCGTCTTTAGAAACGTTTCTTCATCTTGATCACGCTCATCAGTATTAACGTCAATATCAGCATCGTCATCATATGATTCGAGGAGTTTGTCAGATACCATGTCATCGTCGTCTTCATCAGCAATGTCTTTTCTTTCAATTTGCAGTTCAAATGAAAATTCATCATCATTTGGATCGGATAAAGGTGAATCTATTGAGTAATTGTCTTTGTTCAACAGTCTTGAAAAAATGATCCAAATTAACAGGAGCATGCAGACACAACCGATGCACCTCTTTTTGTAGACTCTCATCATGCTGTGTGTTAATGTTCGTCCATAATTTTCATATCCCAAGAAAGTTTAATCGGTTGTTCGGGGAATAATAATTCGTCTGTATCGCAGCTATGATTCCATAGACGATCCTCTGCGACGACGTCAACTTTGTGATGAAAATGCAGTCCACCTTCCTGACGGTTTGTGGCAAGAACACGATCAGATTTTAGGTTAGCATATAATGTGTAGAGTTTGTGATGGTTAATGAAATATGTGTGCCATTGTTCCCACATAGTATGAGTGCGATTGCTTTTTTCAAATCCTTTCCACCATCTTGAAGATATTAGTCCACCTACTAACGGTCTAAAACTTGGATCTTTTCTCTTTTCATGGAACCAATCTACGAATTGCCGCCAGGTTTTAGCGTGCGGACTGTAACCCCATGTGCTATGGCGCTTGTAAAGATACACAGGGTGATCTTGTGACACATTGACATATTTCCAATAGCATTTTGTGCTGGCACATTTCGGATCACTCTGTAGTGCATATCCGGCAATGTCATCCCTTTTGTCATACATTTGGTGCGCCATCTTGATCCAACGATAAAAGCACGGCGCCAGAGTCATGTCATCTTCAATAATAACTGCTATTTCTTCCGAGTTTTCATCAGGGTACCACGTATCGATCCACTGGCCGTATATCCCTACATGTTCCTTTTGAAGGTGGACGGTTTTTATTCCATGTTTGAACACAAATTTTTCAGCAACTGCTTTTGTTTCTGCGTCGAGAACTCCTTCTACACTTCTATCAATCCATATATCTAAAAGAATACTGTCGTTATCGTAAAACACGTCGTTCAATGCATCGAGACATTTTTGGAGAGATCGTGGGCGATTGTAGACAATCACAATCATCCTGGCAGACTTTTGTTTTTCATCACGAACTTCTCTTGATGACGAAGTTGTTGATTCAACAATATAATCAGGCGTTGCACTGCTTTTAACTGACCTTTCGAATTCTGTCAAGTTTTCTGAGACTGTAAATGGAGATGTTTTTGCAGTTGTTGATAAAACTGTTTGAATTTGTTTATTGTGCATTAGCCAATAAATAATGAAACAGAGTAGTAAGACCGAAGTCGTACGACCAATCGGTCTGAAAGTAAAGCGTCTTCTTAATTTCAAGAACATTGAATTGTTCACAGTAAAAAAGTATGATTTTTTCGTTTTATTTTTTGCATCCATTATTTTCAATATTGCTCATTGATTTTTCGCTTTTGTGACATGATGTCAACATGTGTTACATTCGAACAACTGCAAATATTGTACTGTGAATTGTGTGTGTATGGGGGGGGGGGGGGGTTCACAATATCCACCCAAGCTTAGTATATTTTATATATATGACTATCCGTGCTTCATCTAAAGCTGCTCTGAAATGAAGCATTCAAATTGCAGATCCTTGCACAGTATATACAACCTTCAGTTAGGTTCAATTAGGTCAAGTAGGTCCATATTATCTTGGAGTAATAAATGTCAAGGTTGGAGGTCAAGGTCACTGAACAGATCATAGTGAATTGCAGATTTTTGCCTCTAACAGGGTATAATGGTACCCTATTAAAAAATGAAAAGGATGGACAATCATCTGATATTTCAAATCAATTTGTATTTCAAAATATGTATAACAGTATTTACAAACATAGTGAATAAATAAACACTAACATATAAAATACTTTAACATTCACAGGAATATAGACACTATTTTTGACAAACAATCTTTACATGTATATAACTTTTTATTGATATGAACTACTAGAGTAAAAGAATACAAGCTTTTAACAGCCAATCATGTGTCCATATATCCAGAGATTAAAGAGGCTTGAATTACACACAATTTAGTGCTATTTAGTTACAAAGGTACATGGTCAAAAGAAAGATGGCAGCATTGGTCTGTCTATTCATAAGACTAGTACTGCCATCTTTGTAATTTGACTGAATCTAAAAATAATCATTTACATAGATGGAGCCACCTTTTTATTAAACTTGTTTGAATTTTAGATTCTTTCAGGCTTGTATCATTTCTTGTCATGACTATACTCATTAATCATAAGTTTTAATCTATTATTCGAAGAAGTTGGAAATGTGATTCAATAAAAATTAACTGAATTAACTACTAGTAACCTCTTGAATTTCCAGAACAATACACTGAATCCACTTTAACATCAGATATATATATTTTTGTGATGTAACAGTGCATGTACAAATAGGGAGATTGCATAAACTAAAATAAAATCATTCTTTGAATGTTTGTCAACACCAACAACAATCTGACGTGGACTCTACCTGCTCTCAGGTGTGTACATCTTGATCCACATGGTTTCAGTTGCTCCATGGGCTTTTTAGTCGAAAGCCCTTTTCTTATAAAAAACAACATTATAAAATCTGCTAACATTTTGTGCAACATTAAAATCATTTCTATTATTTGTTCCGTCTTTGGTTGATCATGAATATGTATGTATACATGGCCAATATGTTAATATGCGATACATCATTAACCAGCTTTTGGTCTATGTTGTTGCGCACATGGATGATAACTTAACAATAATTTTAATATGATTATATAATACACTGTTGTTGTGAATATATGATCACCATAAGTCACATCAGACCTATTCCAATGAATTTATACCAAGCTTACATCAATAGAACCATATAAGGCCAGTAGCCAGGGGGTTCTAGCCCCCTTTGGTGAAAATTGTTTCAAAATCATGCAGTTTTCACCATTTTGAGCACTTATTAAGTTATTTTGGGCCAAAGTGGTCAAATATGAACCTCCCTGGAATTTTTGGAAAAGTGAAACCCATTGACAAAAGCTGGCTATGGGGCTGCCATATACAAGGCCAATATAAGGCCAATTCTGATGAAGCCACATGAGACCTAGTCTAATTGAATCCTATATTTGAGGCCTATTTGTAATGGAGCCTTGTCATACTTATGAAGAACTTCAATGCCATATGAGGCCTATTCCAAATACATTATATATAATTTATAATTATAATTATGTATAATGATAATTCTTCAGAACACAAGTGCTATCTTTATATTTTCCCATTGAATTCTCTCATTTACACGTGGCAATGTAGCCTATAACAATCTGCTGATTCATTCATTAGGCCTATTGCAGTAGAGTTGTAGTGCTGAATGTATGGCAAGTGTGAAATGCGTTACTGTTAAGTTCCTTGAGGAGGTGCTGGATCATGACTTTCACCTGAAATGAAGAGTTCTACATTTAACTTTAGTATACAATGTTGAGTTTATTCTATATAAGAGGATCAGAATAATTGGATTATTTTATATTTCATCCCATATATGGGCATGTTTGAGGTAATATTCTGTATAAAGCAGGTTTGTAAGGTATTGGTATGAAATTAAATTAAATTCAAGTTGGACATGAAAACTAAATTGAATGATTGAAATAATGACAATGATGACCATTTCAACTTTCACAATACAAGAAATATAACAAATGATAAAAATGATTTTCAGTCTTGTATCTATATGGATTATTTACAGTTTATGATAATGTTCTCAAATGAATAGCATGTTATGTTTGAAGTTGAAATGAATGATGACTACTTTATCTAAAAGTAGAATGGAGTAAACCTCAATACTTTAGAAGTACAGTTTCTCAAAATTAAGAGATAAAGTGGAGACTGATGATCCACTCGATTAAGCTGGTTACCAAAATGGTTCGTTTCAGTAACAAAATATGGGGGTATTAAATCGATGATTCTGTTGCCTTCTGAACTGCTCGCAAACATGTCCATTTTCTTTAACATATGATACTGACACACGTTTGTGATCCAAAATGTCGTAGGAATTTTGCCTACAATGCAATGAGATTCCGACATTTTATTACTGAAACGGTAACTGGCGTAATTGAGTGGATCACCAGTGGTGGAGTTCTTGTGAAGTGTGCAATGACAACAAGACACACAGTGCTAACTATCGCACTTTGAAGAGCAAAATGGCTGCCAAGTAATTTATCCAGCATCCCCAAAACCTGAACAGATGTTGGCCTTAGTCTGCTTTGATTCTGTAAAAATTTCAAATTGAACAGATGAGCAGTTTTTCTGAAATTTTGATGACAAGATTTATATGGCATTTTCCTCCTAGACGCATACATTCCCATCAGCATAATACTCTGACAATATACAGATATAGCACTTTTCCAAATATGATAAAATGAATACCTCCTTCTTCTGCATGTTCAGTCTTGTCATTATGATCTCTGAAACATTTCTTTTTGTGTCCTCTACAGTGTCCTGTACAATCATCATGGTCACTGTCTTCATCTGATGACTCACCAAACAGCTTTGGCTTCTCATATATACAACAACCTACAACATTTTATTTATATCATTTTGAGTAAAATAATTCAAAAACTCAAATATCTAAAAAACTATTCGTAGAATAGATTGTAGAAAAAACATTTTATGTTGTTATACCTCTCACTTGTTTAACAAAATTCAAAAATGTTTGACTTTAACTTTGAACATGACTTATTGAAATCAACATTTCCTCCATCCCTCAGAAGGAAATAAACTTATTTTCACAACTGTTGACAAGAGAACATAATCCCAATAACTCACACTTTGACTTTTTCTTTCCCATGAATTCATTATCTACTGTATCTTGAGTCCACTGTACTTGCCGGCTTGTTTCTGGTTTGCGTAACTTCAGTACTACAGTTGACTGGAAGGAGAATAGGCAACAGTTACTCAAACAGAAATGGGGACATTAGTCAATCATGCAATAAAAACACCCTAGCATTATTACTGATGACATAAATAGACATAATATGCCACAAGCCTCCAGAATTTCTAGGGTTGAAATCATACCATGTGTGATGGTATGTTAAATATGATAAGCTAAATATTTATTTTAACTAGAGTACAAGGAGGTAATGTCGTCCATGGACGACATTGCTTACCTACATGGACGACATTGCCTTCCTGTGGTCTAATCTAAGGTTCTTTACACATTCATAATTTTTATAAAACAAATCAAAAATCAAAAATAATCATGAGATTTCATTGAGAAAAACTAATCAATCTTTCCAAAATCCATGTCAGAAACCATGAAGTTAATTATTTGAGGAAAAATTTGCTCTGAAGATCTCAAATAAAAAATGTTTGCTAAGTGAACCTTTAAAAGCCATTGGCAGTTATAATACTGGTATTATACTGAATTTGTAAAAATCATCAAGATATGATGATGTATCTAAAGGTATTTCGAAATCGTATTTTAGTAGATACGCAATTGTACTGTGTGCAGATCTAATATAATTTGATAGACTAATCACAGTTAATTGCAGTTTGATCCCAAATTATATTAACACAACAACAACAAAACTGATTTGGTTTTATGATTGATTGTCACTCACTGTGAGACTAATCTATCTACACTACAGCCAAAATCATCATTTTATAAACTACTTTGAAGTTGAAAAATTAGGAATGATATGATGCCACTTTTTTATGTACTCCAGTGCCTTGGGTTACATTGTGAAACTCAGTCAAACACATCTGTGAAGGTAGCAACATACCAATGTAGATCGTAACAGCGTTTGATCATCCATTTTGCCAGTCACATGTCTTATCAAGTGTCTTGGTACTGTCTGATCATATGACACATTGACAGGTCACTCAACCATGTTTTCAAGGAAAGTTATCAATTTATAAGAAAATGTTTCGCAGACATTTGCTACAGAACAAAGGAGAAATCACAATGTGTGATTCTATTCATATTTTATTACTCAGAATTAGTGGAAAAGTACTCACATAGTCATTGAGTCGTCTCGCCAAGGTATTATAGAATACGTCTCGATTAGGAGTTCAGATTTCGTGAATTATTTCAATGAATATAAGTAATAAATCTAATTTAAACGAAATATTTTAGAGTTCATTTTTTAGTTTCATTATTTATTCAGTATTAAGAACCGGAAATGAAAAAAAAACTGCCATGTCAGTGAAAATCAAAATATTATCGATGCTGAGAGAAGCAGACACTCTTGACATCGTAAGTATCTGCTTTGATTTGCTAAATATGGACAACTCCTGATATACCTAACATACCTAGGCCATTGGTGGGTGAACAGTATTCAAAACAAGACTAAAAAATGACTGAAAGGGCATGCACTGATAATATTTTTTCTTGTTTATTTTCTAATAAAAAAATCATGAATCTTATTCGATCTCAAACTGAAAATCATGCGAATTACTTGATTCCAAAAATCCCAGCGAGTTACAACACTACTCAAAATACAGCCTTCATTGTTGTGTTCGTTGGGTTTCACAATATGTAACCTAAGGCGCTGGAGGACATATCATATACCAGTATTACTGTTTATTAGGAGTCTTACTTACCCTCTAGAGGTTAGAACACACATTTCAATGAAACCACATCAGCTTTGTTTTGTTCATGATGAAGCATAAGCACAGTTCTTGAATAAAATTTGTATTAATGCTTTTGGACTTTCCATTTTCCTCGTGTTTACTTCCGGGACGGCATTGTCTCTATCACGAAATAATTTATTGACCTTGAACTTTAATTTTGTGACATGTCATCCACCATGTCTGATGTAAAAATAATCAAAATATTACAAAAGAATGTTTTATGGTCTCTTGCAGAAGAGTTTAGGACAGGGCAGAGGAGGATGGCCTGTTCTAAGATAGAAGAAACTGCATGATCTACAGTTCAACTATTGGTCCGAATGAAATGCTGCGCGGAAAATATAAATGGGTCATCTGCTATATAAGGCTATTAATACAGTAGGACGGCTGTTTGTTTGTGATGCTTTATAATTTAGAAGAATTACACGCACGTGTAAATTATAAAATCAATGAACAAACATTCAATTTTCACATATATTCAGTAAATTATCGTATTGAAACTTCCGGAACTTAGTAGGAAATCATTCATTTTCATGGTCCATAGTTGACGTAACAAAGGCAGGGCTGTCAACTTGGGACCATCTGTAAAGGTGTAAATATTTTTGAAACAAATGCGTGATATATACACATATTTTGTACCAAATGCGTGACATAAGCGGCAATCGTGTGCAAAGACCGAACGGAATGCATTCACTTTTTTTCGCCGTTTGGTATTTTACCGTATCGGCATTTCACAAAAAAAGATTTTTAAAAATATCAACAAAATGTGTGATTTGCGTGATATTTGATCATACACGCTAAATTGATGCGTGATTTTTATTTTTCCAGCAAATGCGTGACAATCACACCTAATGCGTGAGGGTTCACAGGGCAGCAAAGGTGATAGTGTTTCATAGAAATGTGTGTTCTAACCTCTAGATTGTAAGTAAGGCTCCTAATCTTCAGGTAAATCTTATTTTTCAAGTTGTACCGACGCACTCAGGCCACGAAATAGACTCTACAAAAACGAAATTTTAGCTGTATAATTTACCACTTACTTGTCCCGACTGTGTCACAGTTTCGGAAGATGAACTTGCTTCATTCTGTTTTTGGATTCCTCCTTCAGCCATTCTAGTTCCAGAATACTTTAAAAACACTTCTGAATATAAGATTTCATCAAAAACGTTGAAATGTTTTAGATTTTCTATTTTTCTAAAAGTATTTCTCTAACAGAACATCTAATCTTAGCGCAACTCGCTTTAGCGATAAAGAACTGATCATTCAGTAAAATTTTTATCAATTTATATTAGGATTAATATCGACGAACTTCACACGATTTCTTTAATGATTAGGAGATTGAGTATTTCTTATTATAATGAGAGAAATTTTGAAAACATATGAGGTATGAAATCATAGAACTGATAAGAATTAAATTGGCAGTTACAGAGTGATCGGTGTTTTGACCAGTTAAAACCAGATCAAGGACAACCTGGGAACTGAACTGATACATCAAACAGAAGAACTAATTTATGTACGTAAGTAGACTACGATACTTAGTTTTAGGTTGTGGATTTGACCCGTTTCCACTTCGAAATATGTACATTCATGTTATATAGTTCTGCATTTGTCAAATCCAAATTGTAGATGTGCCTAAAGATCAAGCATTTTTACCATAATTTCAAGTTTACTGTCTTTCAAGTTCACCACTCATGACTCACTGATGTATTTGTGTTATGTTGAGGCTTTATGTTTAGCATTCTGCTATCGGCAAATCATTGAGCCTTATTGTGATAAGCGAGAATGAACCTAGCTTCAAGATAGGTCAAATGTGACACACCCTCTAGTCACACCCCCAGGCCTGTGAACTGTGCCGCAATTTGCGTATTTGTCACGCATTTGCTGAAGAATTTGAAGTCACGCCAGTTATTTTTGCGTGACAGAAAATGTCACGCAAATACGCATTTTACCTGGTAATTGTCAAGCAAAAGTATTTCTGTAGAAAAATTTCTAAAAAAGAGCGTCTACACAGCAAAAATACGAACGTCGAAAAAAAAACGTACGCATTTCGTTCGGACTTTTCACGCGAATTACGTATATGTCACGCATTCCGTTCGTAATTTTCTGTCCCTCCCCCCCCCCCCCCCCCCCCCCCCCCCCCCCCTGTTGACGGATGTTTGAAACGCGAGCGTAGCGAGCGCGAAAAATTTGAGGTGTTCAAAATTTGGCAAGATGTGATAAAATTTAAACCAAGGTGTTCAAAATTTGGATCAAGGTGTTCAGATTTGGACCAAGGTGTCCACATTTTGAGGGGAGGTGTTCAACATTTCCAAGTCACTCATGTTAGGTGTTCCCAAGTTGACAGGCCTGCACCCCTCTCTGCATGTTGTTTCATTTTCAAGTCAGCATTCATTATGAGTTCTTTTAGTTAGAAGGACAACATGTACTGTAGAGGATATCATAGACTACTATACAATTACCTTTTCTGCTCTACTAGTCTAGATTTATCCCGTGCCAGGACTATAGTCCTGGAGAGAGCCCAATCTTCTGCCTGTATGATTACAACTTGGGAGAATTATCGAAAGATAAAACACTTATTCTAGTGAGAAGTTCATATGGATAAAATAACGAAATAATGAAATGTTACGATGTGTCTACTTAGCAGTTCGTTCTATGTCATCCATCCTGCTAGGTTACATTGTGGAACTCAGCCAAACATGACACTGAAGGTGGTATTCTGAGGTTATAAAATCTAAATTTATAAAATTTCCCTTTTGCACATAGCCCCTTGGATATTTCCGGCATTGAATAAAGTAGCGAACGTTGCGATCTTTCAACTTTAGTTCGTTGTTTTTCACCACTTTATGTCTAGTATTTTCATTTAGGAGGCGGTCTTATTTGAATACATCATTTCAGGTCTGTTAGGCACGAAATACAATTTAGCAGTTCCATTTGTTGCATAATTGGGCCTTCTATAATCAGTAGCAAATGCTCGCAAAACATTTTCCAAAATATTTACTACCGTTTTCCTTGAAGACATGGTTTTGGTGACACGTCATTAAGTCACATGATCGATACAGTAACTAGTCACATGATCAGACACGTGTCACATGATCAGACATCGTCACATGAGCTTGCAAAAATGGACGATCAAATTCCCCAAAATTCTGCTAAGATCAATATCTATATGTTGTTGCCTTCATTGTCGTGTTTACGCCCCTTACACTTAAGATACCTACTTCAATAGATTCCTTGGTAATTTAGCATTTTTTTCATGTAGTTGAATCCCCAATTGTCTGGGTTTATCGGCAGAACGAAGAAATTTTCATTTTTGATCGCAATATTTGTGTATTATATTCAACCGTCAAATTCCTCCATTTAATGATACTTTCGGGCCAGTCAAATGAGTAATCCCCTTTTTAATCCAACCGCTATTTTGAAAAGTGATAGAATCTCTCTCGATCAAAAACGAAAATTTCTTCGTTCTGCCGATATACCCAGACAATTGTGGATTCAACTACACGTAAAGAATGCTAAAATACCAAGGAATCTATTGAAGTAGGTATCTTAAGTGTAAGGGGCATAGATAATTCTCCCAAGTTGTAATCGTACAGGCAAAAGATTGGGCTCTCTCCAGGACTATAGTCGTGGAGCGGGATAAGTCAAGATCATCCTGACGTTAGGAATAATATGTTATATCTATCTTGTTCAAATATATGGAAATCATCTCATTTGTCTCTGTTTGCCACATAGTCCAATGGTCTATATTGAGCTAATACTAGTTTTCCCTTGGCATATGGTTTGCCAAGTGTATGTCAGTGTGTACTTCTGGCTGATCTGTACGAATGATATCCTTTGAGCGCAGAGTACAGGTCGCTAGATATTCGTAAATTCAGAATTTAGCTGCTTACTCTATATCTCTTAATGTTCCCTACTTCTCCATACTCCATTTCAGCGAAAGTCTGAAAGTTATCAGCTGCTTCTGTGTCAATCAGGACTTGTCTTTTATCCCCAAGTTGACATTGGACAAAGCTTAAAATTTTAATTTAGAAATTTGGCATGACATGTCAATGACCAATAGTATTACTAGTGACTCATGCAGTTTGCCTGATTTTCTGACAAAGAAAAAATAAAGCCGAAAAGACTAAAACATCTTAAATCTTCACATATTCAGGTCAATATCAAAAGGAATGTTGACTAGGTGCAAATGAGACTGGAACAGGTTCATGTTCAGCACAAACTAGGGGGGAGTGGGTCTCTGGTGGCATGCCCCCCCCCCCCTTAGAAAGTAGACCCTCTTTGGTGCATTCTGAGCATATCTCAGAACAACATTCTCAATAATGAAAACAAGAAAAACAGTGTTTTTAGAAAAATCTACTTGACTTTTGGACCTATTTAGCTCTAGAGCTTTCAATTCAAGGCTCGGTTTCAAATCTAAAAAAATCTGGGAAAAGGGGGTTGGTTGCCCCCAATCTGGAATCATCAATTTCACCTGGAAATATTAAAAGCAGGTGATTTATTTTTCTGTCAGTGTTTTATAGCCATTGTTTCGATTCGGGAGAATAATTAGGGTTTTTAGTTTGTGCAATTATATGCGAAAATATAAAGAAAATGTAGACTTAATTTTAGTTTTTAGAGAGAGATGTGGGAGTGGTTTTGGATAGTTTGATTGTGGGTGACCTAGAAAGGTCTATCGGTAGCAGGGGTTTCAATAAGCACAGGCGGGTGGCGAAAACGCCTGTTCAAATCTCAATTACGCCTGTTCAAATTTGTAGAAATAAAATTCACTGTTACTTACCTTACCTTAAGTTATTTTAAGTGAAATAAGTTTCAGCCTGTTGAAATTGCCAAAAAGCCTGTTGAAAAAATATTTATTGAAACCCCTGGGTAGTATTTGATTTTTGGCATTGGCTTGCCCTGCGTATATAGAACACAATAATTTTTTATTATTTGTGGGTCAAAGGAATTTGTTTTGCTGGTATGTAATGTTAGCATGGCATTATTGAAAACATTTGTTCCATTAAATGTTTTAGATTGGTAAAACACATCTGTACAAGCCTGTACTGTCTGTCTGTACTGTTCTGTTTGGTACACATAATCCAGAAAATCATTGTACTTTAAGAGGAAGTGAAACTAACCAAAGCAGAAATAGAATGCAATCATTTTTATGGTAACATTTAGCTTCAACTTTTGTTGCAACATTTATAAGGCCAGAGTAATTAGATGTTGTTTTAAAAGTGTTATGCTGTTAAATGCGTTTATCCCAAAATACAATACATACTATATTATCCTTGTTCCTATGGGAAATATCATTTGGCCTCAGTATAAAATCTATACCTGACCCCTCCAAGTAAATTACCTTTTTTCTTCATATATTAAACTTTTTAAATGTTACATATACTTTGAATAAAATTCAAAATACTGGGAAAGGTGGGAAAGGGTTTTGTTACTTTTTAATATGTCACCACAAGTTATGACACATTGTTATAGTTTTTTTTGGTTTTTTTATATTTGATTTATTTCATAGTAAAATAGAATTATTACATACACATGTTGCGGCTTTGCAATGAAGCATTATAAGCCACAATCAAATAATAACAAGATTTAAAGAGAAGTATGACAATGAATTTGCAATAAACAAAAGAATTATTGTGTACAAAATTATACAGTTGGTGGTGGAAGAAATACTTACACGCTTGCACACCTTTGAATAAAAGCTGAGGTGAGCCTTAAAATTTAAATATTAACTTCTTTTGGCAGACTTCTGTCTCCATACAAAAACAATGATAATTTGTCTTGCTGGTTTTTAAATGCTGTTATAGTCTGTTATCACTGGCATGTAGCGATTATAGCGGTCCTGTCTTGGCTTATTGAATTGTTACGAAGTTACGTATGCGGTGCGGAAGTTAGAGAGCAAATGACCATCATTTCAATGTAATAGTTTATGCAGGAAAATTGAGATTAGGCCATTGGAGTATTTGTTTCATGCATTTGTAAAACATTACCCACTCATAGGTCATACTTATCGTTAAACCAATAACTCAAATATATGCCCTTGTACACCGATCACCTGTTGAAATGAATACAGGCCGATTTCAACAAATGTAAAGGGCGATATATTTAAAATCGTATTCAAGCATGACCACGTCCCAACTTCTTTTGTTTTCTTTACAACTAAGCTATGACTGCAGTCTATTCAGTGTTGCGTATCGAACCTTGTTTATTATAAAAATAGTGCAACAACAAGCAGAATTCACACATTTACCTTATACTTATTCTCAACTGAAGACATTGAATTTATCTCTTAGGTTTTACATTATAAATATCTTAACATGCAGAATACGAAAATGGAGGCTTAGGCCCAACTTTGTATGGATTTTATGAGAATAATCTGATTTTAGAGAAATGAAAAGAAAAATGTCCACACCCTACACAAAATATTTATGCTTCCCCGGGAATACGTATGTGCTGCTTGTATATTAGAATCGTATTCCAGTTACAGAAAGAAGTACATATCATGCTAAACTATATACAACAGTTATGCACTTGGAGGTTTTGGATACAGGGAATATCCCGAGGGATATATAATTCATCTTCCCTTGGTCCCTTCGGTCCCTCGGGAAGATATATTGTATATCCCTCGGGATATTCCCTGTATCCAAAACCTCCAATTGCATAACCCCTACATATTTGCCAAGGGATAATCCCAATATCCTGAACCGCGACTATAGGATAATATGTTTATCCCATACCAATCTTGGTCATCTGGTTCACATTGTTAAATCGTGGAAACATTTTAGAATATTCATGTCCAGTTTTGTTTTCTTGGCCGTGGGCGGATTTTCATGTTCTCTCAAATATTCCCATATTTATTTTCTCGAATTTTTATTGATTAAGTGGATGCTCTTTCCCCTTTTTTAACTATCAAACAGACCCTGATTGTCTGTGTTTTCTCCATTGCCGTTTACAGTCATTCCGCGAACGTTACAAATTATGAACAAACATGCAAGCGGCGATTATGACGTAGCGGGCAGATATACTATATCTGCCCGCTTGGAGCGGGACGTAAAGCTTTAGCCCATGGTTGCAAGGAGGATATAGATCGAATATCACATGATGATATATTTGATATGTGGATCAAGATATCATATTTTAGCAAACAATTTACAAACCATCGAATATCACTTTTAAACTATCGAATATCACATCTTAAATAGAGGATATCCTATGATTTATGAGTGATATGATTTTTATCCACGAATGGATATGATATCTGCACGAGTGAGCGTAGCGAGAGAGTGCAGATATCAACATCCATAAGTGGATTAAAATCATATCACGAGTAAATCATAGGATGTTCTTTATATTCCATAGTTAAAGTCATCATCAGAATCGTCGGGAATTAAGTGATTTAAAACGAATTTTCCAAACGATACGGCGATATTGACACTTAGCCTCGTTTTGAGTCTGAAGTAGCAAAAATCCATAAACCATGGCATACGGCGCCGTATGTCATGGCTAAAAGCCCCCCCCCCCCCTAAAACACCGTATGCTATGGTTAAGTGAAAATTTGCCAAAAATATCATATTTTACCACTGATTTCAAAAATACCGTTTTTATTTTGACATGTTATCCTATGGATATCATGCTAACTATGGAATAATATAGGAATATCCTATGGCTCTGAAAAAATATCACTTATATCCATGAGTGGATATTGATATCTTCGCCAGTGAGCGCAGCGAATGAGTGAAGATACTGATATCCATGAGTGGATACAAGTGATATTTTTGAAAAAACATAGGATTGTCCGTTTATCCCATTGGGAATTATTATCCAGCGAACATTGAATAGTCAGATAAATTGCAATGGAAATTCCATTTGGTCTGACATTTTGATTGCGATAATTCAACGAACGTCATATACGTGACGTAACAGAGTGGTTTGTATTTAATGCGAACGCCGTAAAAACAAGATCCGAAAAAATAAAAATATATAATAAATATATAAACAATCGTTTTGCTGAATTAATAAAAAATGGAAAAAATCAAAACCATCGAATATCACTTTTGAAACCATCGAATATCACTTTTGAAACCATTGAATATCACCTTTCAAAAAGTGACATTCGATGGTTTCAAAAGTGATATTCGATGATTTGGGAATTGTTTGCTAAAATATGATCTTCATCCACGTATCAATTATATCTTCACGTGATATTCGATCTATATCCTTGTAACCATGGGATAAATAAGGGTTATGTACTGGGGGTTTTTGGATATGGGGTTTTTCCTGAGGGACCGTAGGGACAGAAAGTAGATGTGCATATCTCACGAGGGATGAACCCAATATCCAAACCGACCGTACATAACTGCTTTATCCTATACCAAGTAGAGTTTTCAGTAGTACAAGGTGTAAAAAATAAACAAATCATTCATATGCAAAGTCATTTTATTGCATTTCCACTTTTTTGGAAGCGGGAAGATACGCCCCGAAGCGGGAAGATATGCACCGAAGCGGGAGATATGACGGGAGATATGGAGGTTCTTGATATGGAAACCTCAAAATCAGGATACGGGATATATCTTACCAACTTATCTCCCTAAAACCCTACTTGGCATAGGATAAATCAAGATAATTTCTACTCGCATCTAGTCTATTCCACATATTTGGGAAAAGTGTACAGGAAAATCTCCATGTTCAATTGATGTATGATCAATATATACGAATCGAATGTATTCTCGTGTGCATTACAATATCCACATTGAAACATTTTTGGCCTGCAATGGACGTATAATAAATTAGAATATGAGGCCGTGTTATCATTCTAATGTAAAGTCATGGTATTTACTGTGGTATTGGGTTGCAAGCTAATATCAGATTCAATGCAAATTAATCATCTAATATCAGATGCTCGATCAGTCCAATAATCTAATTTCAGGTCATCAGTTCGATATCTAGCACTTGTTCTAACGACACGGTATTACTAGGCTATCACATTATAAATACACACACATATAAAACAATCAAACTGGTACACGATATAAGCACGACTGCTCTTTCAATTGAGTATAAATGTTGATAAACTTACCCGGAAGCCAAGACATACGCGTTTGGACGATGCTATTTTCAGTTCAGTGTAAGAGTAAATGCCCGGATATCGAGGCTTTTTCGTGTAAAGTTTTAACCAAGCATCTAAAATCGGGTTATATTACGTGTAGAATTTATCGATATCAGGGCCGCTACATGCCAGTGGTTATAGTCTCCAACTTTTATGTGTATGGTGTTTGGTGGTTGAGGGTAGGTGCTCGGTGATTGGCTGTTGGCATTCAGCATCTGAAATAAATGGCAGGTGGTGAAATTTTTCATGCTAAAGCCTTGTATTTTATTTACCTTGGCCTAACTTTGTCTTCATATCAGTACATTGTAATCAATTTCTTGGTATGGGTCATGTCAAGTTGATCTTCACACTATTTGCAGAGAGTTATGCAAATGGTATTCATGGGTAAAGGCAGGTCCAAAAATGGCAAATAGCCAAGTAGATTATCACAAACAATTTCAGGTGATTATATATTTTCATCTTATTAAGACTGGTGTATCTTTTAGATCCATACTTAATCTCTGAGAAAAGTATATGTAAATATAGGTTATTTACTGGGAGGGATTGAATATGGCTTTAATTTCGAGGGTCAATATAATATTGACTGAAGGGTAATATGATATTGACCGAGGGAGCGCAGCAACCGAGGGTCAATATCATAAAGCCCAAGGTCAATATCATATTTTCCGAGGAATAAAACCCATATTCAATCCCGCCCAGAAATAACCTATTTATTCCATAATACACCCCTCTAAAATGCTACATTTGGATAATGCAAATAACTGGGAAAAAATAACCGGGAAACCGAAAATAGGTTGATAATTGCTCCGATACGATTTTTTGCCGCGGACAATACGATTTTTTCATGTAATACGCTCTAATACGATTTTTTCCTGGGGACAATACGATTTTTTCATGTAATACGATTCAATACGATTTTTATTCCTTCATATTTCCATGGGAAAACAGTAGTATTATGGAATAATGATAATTATTCAATTTGTAATAGTATGACATACAGAAAAACCTGTCTTAGTGAACATCTCTCTCTAGTGAACACCTGTGTTTTAATGAGCACCACTTCAACATGTTAACAACAATTATTAAATAACTTTTATAATGTTATTCATTCGCTGATGTCTAACCCTTATAGATAAGATTATGAATGGAATAATTAGTGAAGCAGCTGCTACTACAAAAGATGACTTGGAACAAATTGAATTATATACATGGAAAAATAGAATGAACTCATTTCTAAAAAATATTGATGTTGTATTCAAAATTTGACATTCCTTACTACTAAACTTACCGTAAATTACACATTTGTTAATATATTTCCAGGTGTCTGAATCCATGTTTGGATCAATAGATGAACACAACACATTTAGCCATGTTGGTGAAAACACTTGACCTTTAGTGACCTCCTGGTGTATTCTTCACTACAATGGAGAATGTTTACAGATGGATGAACACACGTGTAGTCACGAGTGCCAAATGATAGGGAGATTTTGTATGACCTCCGTGTAACTTATACTTAACCAAAAGTGAAGTTCATTTCTGTTTGGTGACACAGTTAATGCGACAAAGATGCAAGTCGGACAGAAGCTAGATGTAATGTTCAAAGTTGCAGTGGAAACGAGGGGAATTGAAGTTGCCTGTGTCACCGGAGACTGCAAAGAACTGGGAAATTGGAATCCGAATAAAGCTATCATTTTGAAAAAGATCTCAAATGAAAATAATCGGTAAGTATATACAGAGAGTTATTGGCTGACGGTACTAAGTGCATTTTTGACAAATTGACAAGTTAAACCTTAATAATTGATTGATAATTTGGTCACTTCATCTTACTGACATGTTGATATTCCTTTGCAGTAAAACCTGTGTATGTGAACACCTCTCTAATACAAACACCTCTCATCTGATCATTTTTTGTAGTGCCAGTTTTGCTATCTCCCATTAATATTAAGAATATATACAGGCACAGTTTTACATATAAATGAGTTTTGCCGTAAATCAACAAATGCATATATTTAATATAAGAATTGCACTTCTCAAGTCATGTTAAAAAATATCAAGGGGTACCAAAATTTTATACTGATAACTTATTAAATTTATACTGATAACTTATTTAATATCATCTTTGAAGGTTAAAGTAAGAACGATTTAAGTATTACAAGTGCTTTTAGCTAATTTGTGTTAGACTGTTAAAAATGCTTTTAACTAGTTTAAAGATAAATTGTTTTCTATAACATCTATAGAGTTCAAGTACACAACTTGATGTAAGACATACATACCTTAAAGCATGTACGAAAATTATAGTTTTTCAATGGTCCAAAAATATGACCTTTTCTCTCTCTCTTTTAAAACAGTCAAATTAAAATGATTCAAAAAAATTCAAATGTGGTTCTATTTAAAAGGGAATAAGGTCTCCTCAAAGCCATGCCAGCCACGCCAGTGGGGCCTAAGTGGGTCATACTACTGAACACTGGCGGATCTGAGAGAGGGGCGCCCTCCTCCTCCCCCTTTGGTGGGCCCCAAAAATTAATTTAGGCCCATTTGAGGTCTTTAAAACCATTTCAAGGTCATTGTTGTTGGCAGTCAGGGACAACACCTGTAACAACAGGTGGTGACATTTTGTTATGTTAATGCCTTGTTTATTGTCATAATGGCAGTCAGGGACTACATATGTAACAATTGTTACACTTTTGTAACCATTTGCAGGTGGTGACATTTTGTCATATTAATGCCTTGTTTTTGTCATAATGGCAGTACGTACGTACGTCCGTCCGTACATCCGTCCGTCCGTCTGTCCGTCCGTCCGGGCGATAACTCAAATACCGTTGGCCTGATTTTGTTCATATTTTGTACACATATACCCTATGGGGGTAGAAGTTCTGCAATATAATAGCAATATGTTTGAAATGTAAAAAAATTATAAAGGACATTAATAATGCTACAAATGTAGATATTAAAGAAGCACATGGCAGCCATCTTGAAAAATGGCGGCCTTTACGCGTTATTTTACGATTTTTGCTATAACTCGAAAAGTAGAGGAGCAATTTTGTTCATATTTGGTATGTGAATACTATAAGCATTGCACACTGCCTAAAGACACTTTTGGTAGAAGGCGGCCATTTTTCAAAATGGCCACCATTTTAACGTATATTACTATAACTCGAAAAATAGTGGAGCGATTTTGTTCATATTTGGTATGTGAATACTATAAGCATGACACACCGTCCTATGACACTTTTGGTAGAATGCGACCATTTTGAAAAAAAATTGAAAAATGGCCGCCATTTTAACGTATTTTACTATAACTCGAAAAGTAGTGAAGCGATTTTGTTCATATTTGGTATGTTTCATACCAAATATGTGAATACTATAAGCATGGCACACTGTCTAATGACACTTTGGGTAGTAGTTGGCCATTTTGAAAAATGGTCACCATTTTTATGTTTTTACTATAACTTGAAAAGTAGTGAAGCGATTTGGTCATATTTGATATGTGAATACTCATGAGCCTTGCACACTGTCTCATGACACTTCAGATAGTAGGTAGCCATTTTTATAAAAATGGCTGTCATTTTTACATTTTTTACTATAACTCGAAAAGTAGTGGAGCAATTTTGTTCATATTTGATATGTGAATACTTTAAGCATGGCACATTGTCTAATAAAACTTTGGGTATATGTATGCGATTTTTCAAAGTTTATAGGTTGCTACTTAAAAGCATATTATTTCTTCTGATGACAACTTGGCTAGTGAGCAACCATTTTGAAAATGGTGGCCTTTCTGGTGTGTTGTTTTATGATGTTTGCTATATATTTCGTTTGTAAAAATGCCAGCCATTTCTGTTCGATGGGATTCGCTACGCTTTGGCGTTGCCGTTGTTCTGGTTACACTTTTGTAACCATTTGCAGGTGGTGACATTTTGTCATATTAATGCCTTGTTTTTGTCATAATGGCAGTCAAGGACTATATATGTAACAATTGTTACACTTTTGTAACCATTTGCAGGTGGTGACATTTTGTCATATTAATACCTTGTTATTTTTGTGATTGATTTCTTGACTTTCTCATGATAATATAAATTGTGCAGATTCATTGAATTTTCTTAACAAAAGATGAACTATCTTCCTCCACACATTTTGGCCATTTTATGGGCATGGTCACATCGCGATAGTGAACTCTTGCAAACGGCAGATAAGAGGGGCTCTGGCATACCAGAATGGCATGGTCAGGTCATAGCTATTTTAAATCTACAAACTGAAATTGAATGACTGCCAAGCTGTCACATTATTTTTAAAACCTGTACATGTGGTGTATAGTATTGAAAGATTTAACTTCTTTTATGCTCTTCATTATAGTGTGATATTGTCTTTTGTCTGTCATAAATCTCAACTGTATTATTTCATTCTAGAGACCTCTGGGCGAGAACAGTGAAACTACCAATATCTGAAGTCCATTACCGCTATTTTGTTGGTTTAGTAAAAGAAACGAGTCATGAAGAGGAAGATCCTGATATCATAGTTCAGCGATGGGAAACTAATATAAAACCTAGAAAATTTTCTCCAATGAGTAAGTATTTTTTCACGTAATTTAAAATGTTCGTAGATGCACTAATAAGTCAATGTTTTGCTTCAGTTCAAATGCATGTTGAATATGTAATATCTTACTGGCTTCTTGATTATGGATTTTTCTATAGAGATTGCTAGCAGATAAGTTAAATGGCTAATAGATGTAATTCTTATCTAAAATTTCATAAAAGAGAAAAATTTTCAATTTATAATGATGTGTACCTCACACAATAAAGACTTGTATATAAATCTTCTTTTTTGTAATTATTGAAGCTTGAAAAATAAGGTTTGTGTAAAATTGTAATAGGTGTGAGTAGTTTTTTTTTCAATTCTTGAATTTGTCATACTTCTTACTTGATGAGGGTTTTTTCAAACTTTGATATTTTCAGAAATGAAGGTTTATGTCCAAGTCTATATTATGAATTGATTTTATTTAGGTATTAGGAATTTTAGTGTGAGAATTACGATTTTGACCCTTTAAAGATATAATTAATTCTGATCGTTTTCAGGTACCAGTGATGACAATGAAAGGGGTGCTGCTACTTTTGGCTTCTATGGTAAGTTAGATATACCAAATCAGCATGTTTGCATTTCTTGAATAATATTTGATCCACAAATGCTTTGGATAAAGATTACAAAATGTGAAAAGAAACTTGACAGATTGAAAGATTTAAAACTTAAATCACTTAACCTTATAGAGCTGTAATGAATGAAACATGTATGATAATAAAGATACCATTGGATATGTAATGTAATGAGGTATGGAAGATCTCCTTTCATATTTGAGCCCTTCCTTTCCTAAGATGGCAACATGTATATAGAATCATATTGACCAAATCCCCTGTGCCGATTCCTAACCTCATCTGTTTTTCAATGTCATGGAATAGATAAGAAAGGAGATTATATACCTGGGATATGATGCATGACTCAGTGTGACCAAACTGACACTTTTCTGCAGGTGGTCTTAGTAATGTGACAAAAGGATGGCTGAGTGGGCAGACAGAGGTCCGAATCAGGCTGACTGGTTCCCCAATAAACATGTGGAAGAGTAAACACAGAGATCAGACATATCGAGTGAAATGTTCAGTCATGGACTTACGATATAGAGATCAGGTATGTTTCATTATTCATACACGTACATGCTGTAGAAGACAAGAGTTTCAACGGGATTAGTCAATAGGCAACTAATCTTTATATTTCATTTGAGTTACATATCTCACAGAGCCACCATAGGGCATATATGTGTGGTAGGATAGTGTAACTTGATATCGGAGGTGGAAACAGCTCCCCGTATTAATCTGACAGGAACTGGTATCTGATATTGGCTATATCGATTTACTAAGTTTTCAAATCACAAAACAGAGGCAATTTAGTCAAAGCAAAAGGTATCATTGTCTGAGGTTCATTGAATAAAAGAGGCATTGGTCAAAAGAATATGTAATATCACCTGCCAATGATGGAATTCTTAAGTATGACTCAAACCACCCCTATAAGTGAATGTTGAATGTGTTTAATCTCCTTGCAGAGTTTCTCAGTGGATGATGATGAAGACAGTAGAGATGTTGATATAGGTGTGCCTCCCTCATCTGTCAATATACAAACTGCTGTAAGTAATGCTAGTATTAAAACTCAATTTGGTTACCATACTGCATATGTATACTCCAAATACAGATGATATGCTCATTGCATAGAGTAGGTTATATCCTTTAGTATAGTATAACATACTAGTTAAGAAATAAATTGTGGAGCTTCCATCAATGACCTCAAGGTAAAAAATCAAAAAGCTATTTTTTCAACTTGCTTCAAATTGACCGCATATTTTTTCAAAATCATGTACAAATTCTTAAACGTTCAAATCTTACTATAGATTTGAGATTTGAACTTCAATGACCTTCTCAAGGTCAAAAAAGATTTTTTTAACTTGCTTCATTCAAATTGACCAAATCTTTTTTCAAAATCATCTCCAAGTTCTCAGAAGTTCAAATCTGACTTTAGATTTGAGATTTCACCTTCAATGACCTTCTCAAGGTAAAAAAAATGTCAAAAAGGTCTTTTTTTAACTTGCTTCAAATTGACCATATTTTTATCCCACTGAACGAAGTTCGAGGGGGATATAGAGAAGCCGTCCGTCCGTTCGTCTGTGTGTCTGGGCGATAACTCCAATACCGGTTGACGGATTTGGTTCAAATTTTATAGGCTTATGCCTTATGAGTGTAGGACCTCTGCTCGAGAAGGAATTTTCAATATGGCCGCTCAATTCAAAATGGCAGCCATTTTTCGTAAGAAAATGTAATCATTGATAACTCAAATACAAGTTGACGGATTTGGTTCAAATTTTATATGCAGATGCCTAGGGACAAAGGAGTTTCGCACAAAGAATTAGCAAGATGGCCACTTAATTTCAAAATGGCGGCCATTTTTCGTAAAAATATGTAATCTTTGATAACTCAAATACCAGTGAACGGATTTGGTTCAAATTTCATATGATGATGTTTAGGGACACAGTAGCGATGTTCAACAAAAAAATTCAAGATGGCCGCTTACTTTCAAAATGGCGGCAATTTTTCGTAAAAAACGTAATCTTTGATAACTCAAATACCAGTGAACAGATTTGGTTGAAATTTTATATGATTATGCCTAGGGACACAGTAGCTCTGTTAAAGAAATAATTTTCAAGATGGCAGCTGAATTTCAAGATGGCGGCCAATTTTCGTAAAAAACGTAATCTTTGATAACTCATATACCAGTGAACGGATTTGGTTCAAATTTTATATGATGATGCCTAGTTCACAATGGTATAAACTAACTTCGTGCCAAATTTCATGCTTCTATCACAAAGTGCACAAACATTTCAACATTTACACTAGCTATAATAAGCATAATATGTTTTGTTCGGTGGGATTTGCTACTCCGTGGAGTTGCAGTTTTTCTTGTTTTCAAAATCATCTACAAGTTCTCAAAAGTTCAAATTTGACTTAACATTTGAGATTTCACTTTCAATGACCTTCTCAAGGTCCAAAAAGGTCCAAAAGGTCTTTTTCAACTTGCTTCAAATTATCCATATTTTTTTCAAAATCATCTACAAGTTCTCAGAAGTTCAAATTTGACTTTAGATTTGAGATTTCACTTTCAATGACCTTCTCGGGGTCAAAAAAGCAGAAATTCAAATCAGACTTTAGATTAAAGTGTCTCACATATTCGATCAAAACTTGCCATGCAAACATGTTAGTCTACTTTACTGGCCCCCCTTGCTGTAACAAGGAACCCAAAACACATTAAAAAGTAAACATAAACCAATTAGTCACTTCACTATGAAAGTGAGGGGTGTGTGTGTATTAGCAGAATACGCTGTGTGCATGGACTAACACAATATCAGTGGTCATTTACTGTGTCAACTTAGTAACCCTTGCATATCGTGCTCACTCAAGTATTGAATAATTTTTTTATGATCTAAATGTTTGTGGTTTATAAAAAAAGTGATATGTTTTAGTTAGAAATACATTAATTAATATATTCATTCAAACAGCACTAGAATGCGGGAAGAAAGAGCAATGGTGACAAAATGAAGACAGAATTTTCCGTAAGGGTTTCAAACATTTCTGAACACAATCATACATGTACTTATGTGTACTGTTATTTTTAGTGCTATATTTATATATATAATTTCACGTATTAAAATCATATTTTCCAGCAATGACTTCAAATTCGGAACCACACCCATATCACATTTTCTTCAATAACTCCAAACATGTGTAAACATTGACCATGCGCATATAAATTCAGATTTCACGAGCTCTTTCCTATTCGAGTACCTCATACACCCCTGCATGGATTTGAGTTGGATTCGCCTTTTATACGTGAGCCGACACACTCGCAAACGCTGATTGGATAAAGATTGCGAGAATCTTTAAACTCATAATATTGTGAGCATCTAGGTGCCTTGTTTTACCACCAATTCACAATAATCATAATTCCTATTCCATTTTCATGCTTCTCATATAGGATTCAGAACAAAAAACTCTTCCACGACATTGGATTGAATGTGTTCAGGTGATAGATTATTGTACACTGACAGTACATGTGATTTTGTTTTTGATTTGATTTTGTAAACATTCATTTCTTTGTGTAGTATATCTGTAATTGAAATGTAATTGGTTAGAATTACTTCACAATTCACACTCCTTAGGGGCCGGGTCAGTATTTCAATGTCTGTCAAAAGACGTAACTAATTTAGTTAGGTCTTAACCCCCCCTTCTAATGAAAGTCAAAATGTGGAATCCAAGTGTGGTGTATATGAGTCAAATGTTGATATGTGTGCAGTGTACAAGTACAACCCGACAGCATATACACATTTCAGATTCTTTAGCTACATATCTGTTGAGTATATTTAATGATCATACCATGCCTGTCAAATCAGAAACTGCAGAAGATGAAACACTGGGAAACTAAAAATCAATGTCTGTCACCTTTACCCCCTCCTCCTAACGTAATTAATTACATTTTTTGATGGACATTTAATATTTACCCAGCCCCTCAGTGAAATAAATGTGTTTTGAGGAAAATGATGAGTCAAAAGGGTCAATGTTATTTCCTCTTTGCTCTCTCTTTTGGGATAAATCGATTAAAGAATCATGTGTAAAGAATTTACAGTCATATTGAAATTTTAGTAAAGTTTTATTTCATATGAAAGTGGTTTTAGTTTAGATTTAATCTTGTGAACTTGTTTATATCTAATTGACATGTTGTACTTTACATGTACATGTAATGTGTGCTTTCAATACAACAGTAAAGATAGCTGTTAGGTTAGACTTGTGTGTATAGGACAGTCTATATAGATTTTTAATGAATTTTTTAGATTTCTTGCACTATTATTTTAACACTGTAGTTTCTCTGTTGTGCTTTGTTTTATTAAAAGAATTCTACTCCACAATATTTTGTCTTTGTGTGGTTAATATAAATCTAATGTTCTTACCCAATATTTGTCATATTTAAATCTAAAATTATTGGATAATGTTAGTTTCTGGTCAAAATCATCAGTCAAATCTTGATCTTAGCCTAGGCTATTTAGATATCAACTTAGTTTTAAGTGAGATGTCAAAAACCTATAAGTGAGTGTTTTTTGTTGTTGAAGTGGTACACCCTGGGTATAGTCTGTCACGTGACTTCATGGATGACGTGTGCGCGAGTGATTCGCATTTTCTTTCGCTTGAGGTTTGTAATCACACTTTTTACATGTTTTAAGATTTTCTATCTCTGTGAAACTTGTCCCGTACCATCAATGTCTGAAGACGATCTAATTCACCAAATATCTCATCCAAGCGTGTCCCGGTTAAAGAGAAATTCGCACTTTTGTGTCTCGCAAAATGACGTGTGCGCGAGTAAATCGAATTTTACGAAGGATGGGTGCGCGAGTCTAAAATATTTTTATTCATTTGAGACAATTCTGCAAGCTAAGGCAGAATACAACTCACGTGACATTTGTTTTTGTCATCTTAAAGTAGTATGTTAAAGAATAGTTTGCTATTTTGTAGATGTTTCATGTATGGCACATACATGTCTACGTTTAATGACAATAAATGTTTTGAAATAGCTTGTAGGGCTGTCCGGCATTGCAGGTGAATTAAAATTTGAACCAAAAATTGAATTAAATTTTTGGCGGTCTCATAAAACTGGCAGCATATTCATTTATTGACATCTCATACAAGGGGGGGGGTCAGAGTTGTTATGTGGTTACTCGGCATCCGCCACGATCAGAACCATGTAAGGAATAGTAAGGGGAAGCCCATGATACCAAGTAATATCAAATAATTATAGGAGCTTCTAACTTCTTCCGCATCCCCACCATTGGTATACGCAGCTGACAAAATGGATCGGTACGGGTCAAAAGCTGGACCGGTACAGGTTAACGGTTTTATTTGAATTTAAAACAGCTATAACTTGCTCAATATTGACTTCTTCGTATCTAAGTTGAAATATATGATCCCTCCGAATGATTTTAAGTACCCCCAAAGTTCACCCGTACAGGTCCAGCTTTTGACCCATACCGGTCCATTTCGTCAGCTGCGTATACCAAGGGTGATCCCTAATACTTTGTTTTTACAGACTCAGAAATCAATGTTCGCTATAAATGTAGCAATATAATATGAGCTTTCGTGTACTCAGATCCTCCATTTGTAAAAAACAATTGAAGAACAGCATAATAGAAAGTCAAATACAAAATTGATTTGCGCCCAAAATAGTTTGGGTAATGATTCCCGTCACTACCATGCATTTGTCCCCAAAGCAAGGTATTCTGAATTTAATTTTAAATTTTAATTTTTAATTTTATATTTAATTCAATTTTTGGTTCAAATTTTAATTCACCTGCAATGCCGGACAGCCCTACAAGCTATTTCAAAACATTTATTGTCATTAAACGTAGACATGTATGTGCCATACATGAAACATCTACAAAATAGCAAACTATTCTTTAACATACTACTTTAAGATGACAAAAACAAATGTCACGTGAGTTGTATTCTGCCTTAGCTTGCAGAATTGTCTCAAGTGAATAAAAATATTTTAGACTCGCGCACCCATCCTTCGTAAAATTCGATTTACTCGCGCACACGTCATTTTGCGAGACACAAAAGTGCGAATTTCTCTTTAACCGGGACACGCTTGGATGAGATATTTGGTGAATTAGATCGTCTTCAGACATTGATGGTACGGGACAAGTTTCACAGAGATAGAAAATCTTAAATCATGTAAAAAGTGTGATTACAAACCTCAAGCGAAAGAAAATGCGAATCACTCGCGCACACGTCATCCATGAAGTCACGTGACAGACTATACCCAGGGTGTGGTAGCCATTTTGAATTTAAATTAATTTCAATCTATTGGTTTTCAACCTCCTCTTTACCAAATGTTAAACATTATATTAATATTCACCATATCAAGACTAGAGTATTCATGTAATGCCATTGAATGATATTCTTAAATGCATGTATTTCCATTTGTATCAAAAATATTGATGATATAATTTAGTCTGTTGGTGTCTCTCTTATAGATTTTTTAAAAGGTAATAATACAATTAACTTTCTAGTTGCATTCATGGGTGTTCAAAAACTATTGCATTCTTGTTTGTTTGTAGGTAATGTCAAAGAGCCAACAAAGTGCAGTGTTTACGGAACAGTCCCAAAATGGACACACATATTTCAATGGAGATTTTATGGAGTTTAAGGCACAAACATTTGAACCTGAGTTCATGGTAAGAATCATACGCAATCCTAAAGCTGACACTTGTGTTCTAATTGAGAAATGAAACACTACATACATGTTCATTACCTGGCATTTGTATTGTTATTTTCTTAACTATTCAGTATTCATAGGACTTCTACTTTAGAGTTGAGGGATCAAGATGTATTTTATTGTGTATTTTAAACAATGGTAGGAGTTTGACAATATTTCTCCCATAGTTCACCGCACTATTCAATTTAGTCATTGTTCATCATACCGTGACTAATATATTATACCATACTGAATTGTACCATACTAGAATACCATACCATTAGATAATACCACACTATGCAATACCATACATAGATACTGGCTAATAGATTCAGTTGTGCCATATTATTCTTTTACAGGGGTATTCATTAGATTTCTTCATTGAGTCAACCAATGGGACAGAAACACACAAACATATCGGATATGCCTATATCTTACCTCATTCTTTTACAGGGGTATTCATTAGATTTCTTCATTGAGTCAACCAATGGGACAGTGACACCCAAACATATCGGATATGCTTATATCTTACCTCATTCATTTACAGGGGTATTCATTAGATTTCTTCATTGAGTCAACCAATGGGAGAGTGACACCCAAACATATCGGATATGCCTATATCTTTCCTCATTCATTTACAGGGGTATTCATTAGATTTCTTCATTGAGTCAACCAATGGGACAGTGACACCCAAACATATCGGATATGCCTATATCTTACCTCATTCTTTTACAGGGGTATTCATTAGATTTCTTCATTGAGTCAACCAATGGGACTGTGACACCCAAACATATCGGATATGCCTATATCTTACCTCATTCATTTACAGGGGTATTCATTAGATTTCTTCATTGAGTCAACCAATGGGACAGTGACACCCAAACATATCGGATATGCCTATATCTTACCTGTTAATCTCAGCCAGACTGAGGGAAGCAAAACAGTTGCCATTAATGGCATGAAGCACAAACCTATTGGACAAGTTACAGGTATTGGTATTATCTGAAATATACTTATGCATTTAAATGCTATATACATATGATAAAGCTTTTGTTTGTAAAACAGGAAATGTTGGGTGTAAATGTTTGAAATATAACATAGACTTATTTTCAAACTGTACTGAATTCAGTGATGAATAGATTTTGATAATTGAATCAAAAAATTAGTATGGATGTAGTGTTAAACGTTTATTATGTGATTTCAGTGGAGTACTTGATAATTAAGCCTATGCGAACACACACATGTGACATGTCTGTGTCATACCAGTCACATTGGAAACACCACAGGCGCCCTCTTGATATAGGGCATAGGGGTATGGGAAACTCCCACGACGCTGAATTGTAAGTTCACTCTATGTTAGATCATCTAATGTAAACTTAAACATTCCGAGGAGTATTAAGGCAGATTCGTTGCTTATATATGGGTGAAATATGGGTTTTCATTTGATTGAGTAGAAATAAAAGAAATCATCGTCACTAATTCTACTTTCTTGCTTTTTTAGGATAATAATTAAGTTATGGTTAATGGTACTAATGGACAAATTTTTGTGCCCAAAATCACCTTTTTATTTGAAAAGAGTATGATGGTGTTCTTGCCAGAATGCTGGGGGTGAAAAGTTCAGAAAGAATGTTCCATAGCTCATTGGAAGACAAACTGTAATTCAGTTCAATTTAATAAATGCATAAGTGCATTTACTCGCAAACATGTTTTTGTTTGGGGAGGCATCAAAAGTTCAATGTCTGATAGGAAACTAAATAAATCTAGTTTTGGGTTCAACCCCCCCCCCCCTCCCCCCAAAAAACTAAATACCATGAAAGTTGATCGCAGACTTTTCGCATGTTTTCTTGGACCTAATGGACTTTCGTGGGGGCATTATTAAGAATTCTTAAAACATGTGACAACAACAGTAGGCATAGTATTCCAAATTGCATGCATCTTGACAAAAAAAGTATCAGGTAAAATCTTTATTTTTAAACTATTCAAAGGCATTCTGACTCAAAATTGCAAAAAGTTGAAATGTTGAAATTTGTCGGATAGCAAACTGAAATGGCTTTGACCCCCCCCCCCCTAATTAGATTTATTTAGTTTCCTATCAGACATTGATCTTTTGATGCCTCCCCTTTAAATACTTAAGTGAGAGTGTTCAAATAATACTGCATCAAGCCCCTCTGCTACAATTCCGTCAACACCTTCTGGGAGCACTTTTACATTGGGAAAAGTGTAGAGGCTTGACCCAAGACAATTTTAATCACAAAATGAAAGCTAACTCTTCTTATCAGTCTGCCATTGAGTATCTTGAATTCACATAATTGGATCTCTGCTGATTGTCTGCTGTTGAGTAATCTCATCTAAAACACATGCTATTAAAATTGCAGACCTCAAGTTGTGATCTCATGAAATGGTACACTGCTTAGAGTTGACAATCATTTTTTATGTTCTCTTTATTATGTCATATAATTTAAAAGGTGATTTAGGCCACAAAGCTGTGTGCTCATTGTACACTATATGCTTTTATTTGCTGCTTCATGTTTCCTTAATAATGATCCATAGGGCTATCAAATGGCAAAATCCCCCAGATTGATGGGCCATTACAAATGGTGGAAACATATTTGTCTTTACACAATTTAGAAAATGGTGATTATCTATGTAGACAAACGATTATTGAATTTTTGGTAATATAGTAGTGCACATCGTGGAGAAAGCTGGAGGCAGCTCAATCAACAAAATTTAGCTAACCTCCTAAAAAGTTTAATGGTGGTGACAGGTAACACAAGGATCCATGTCTGACCATTTGGATTCTTGCTACTTTATAATGATAACTCTATTCATCCATTCAGCACCACAATTATACACATGACACCAAGGCTGTATCGACAACATTTATGACTACAACACTTTTGACATTATTCATGACATTAAGTATATATTTACATTTGTGATGATACATTGCGAAGTCTGTGTTGACATTACTCATGACATCAAGTCTGTATTGACATTACTCATGACATCAAGTCTATATTGACATAGCGCATGACATCAAGTCTATATTGACATTACTCATGACATCAAGTCTGTATTGATATTACTCATGACATCAAGTCTGTATCAACATTACTCATGACATCAAGTCTATATTGACATTACCCATGCCATCAAGTCTATATTGACATAACTCATGATATCAAATCTGACATTACTCATGACATCAAGTCTATATTAACATAATTAAGAACATCAAATCTGTATTGACATTACTCATGACATCAAATCTGTATTGATATTACTCGTGACATCCAAGTCTATATTGACGTAGCGCATGACATCCAAGTCTATATTGACATAGCGCATGACATCAAGTCTATATTGACATTACTCATGACACCAAGTCTATATTGACTTTACCCATGCCACCAAGTCTATATTGACATAACTCATGATATCAAATCTGACATTACTCATGACATCAAGTCTATATTAACATAACTCAGAACATCAAATCTGTATTGACATTACTCAAGTCAATATTGATATAAATCATAACATCAAATCTGTATTGACATAACGCATGACATCAAGTCTATACTGACATTACTCATAATGAGTCTGAGTTTACATCATGTATTGACTTCTGTACTGACATTTTTCCTTGGTATTGGTATTACCCATGTCATTAAATCTGACATTAGCCATGAGATCAAATCTTAGTATATTAACATAAAACACTAAACCTAGACAGTTGAAATAAAGGTAACCACCGGAGAAGAAGTATGATTGCAGGAGCCATGTGACATAAATGAGACATTGATGACTTAAAAGCTTGAAAAGTGGACGTGTTGCATGTATTATGTATTGTTCTATATGTTACAGCCTGGCTGCAATGAGAGAGAACACAGTTGGGAGTTTAACTGCAGCAGGTTCACATGTAGGTGGTTCAATTGGGTAGAACTGTTAAATTATATAAACACTAATTTTTATGCTTTTGTTCTTCACTTACCAGATTTTAACTCTGGTGTGTTTTTGTAGATTAAAGGGGTATTCTTTGTTAGCCTATTGCTGTCTTGATGGAGCCACTAATTGATTATCTTCTATCCAAAAATATTAGAAAAATATTTCAAAGACGCAGTAGATCTACCCATGTCCAGTAGCCTGTCATGGTCATCTGGGAAAAAATACTTAAAGGTGCATCAAAATGTAAGAAATTGATGTACATTTTTGTCTTTGGCTGATGTTGTGTTAGTCTTCTCCATGTTATTTACTCTGCAAGTTTGAAATGATGCTATCACTTCATGTTGGGTATCCAAAAAAATATTTTCAGTGTGCAGTAAATATATGAGTTGTGTGATAAAAAATGTTGAACGTACAAAAATGTTTTCCCTTTGATTGGCCTGGGATGTAGAAAAGAAAGAGTAGATAGTTGGTAATAGCAACATTTTCAAGACAGCAACTGAATGCCCCTTTAAACTAAATCTCCCATGTACGAATTATTATAAAAAAGTGTCTTATTAATCATCCCTTGTATGAAGTGCTCTTAAAGTAAAGAAAACATTCTCAATAGGCAATTACAGACTCCCTGAATTCTGGACCCCTGATAATGTTGCTATACGTTATTTGTAATACAAATTGTTAATGCTGAAATAGTTAACCATCATGGGGATTTGGGCAGATCAATTCTTCATTCCTCCATGATTTACTGACAATTCATAACAGTACTGTAATATCCTTTTTGAATAAACAGTTTCCCATTTGAACCCGTCTATGAGTTGTCTGGATTTGGAAAACCAGTCCATTTTCATAACCCTCCTTTCACTTTAACAATATATAGAATGAGTAGAGCTTTTAAAATTTTGCTTTCAGAATTTTTCAGCATTTTTAATGGTCCAATAAGCCCATATGTATTTATTAAGACCCATTAACCCTTTATCCATATGTTAAACATTTTATAATAGGTGTGATTGAAGGATTCTTGTCTATGGCTTATTTTGATTACTGTTTCAGGTAAAATAGTTGAAGCCCTGAAATTTGATAGCATACCATTCTTGCCCATCATTCTGTGAGGGGTACAATATCAGATTTCTCATTTTTTCGTAGGGAACTTGAATTTCTTTATTTAGTGCTAATATTTTTTTTGATAAGAATGTCATAAATATGGTAAGCAAATACTTGATGGTAAAAATATGATTAATTAAGATCATTTGCCATCCCCACCCATATGTGGTTATTATTTGTTTTGCAAAAGTCAATACAGGAATCTAAATCATATGAAGCAGTTATAGGAAATATTTTGGTTAACTTACATGGTAATATATAAGTCATGTTTGGTGGACATGTATGTGAATCAGAAGTTAATATTTCTATTGCAATTTTGGTGTGTCTTCGTAATTTGATTATCAAAGTGACCCTTTTTTGATAACATTGTAAAATGGACAAACAATCTAATTTTGTGGATACCCCAAAGCTGAAATAAGGTGATGAAATTTATGAATATTCTCTACCATGGCAGGCTAATTCTCTCTTTAGGGTGCAGATATGGTTGAATTTGATGTCCAGTTGACGAAAGACCTTGTACCAGTTCTATATCATGACTTCAATGTGTGTCTTACAATGCGAAAGGTAAGTGTACCTAACTTCCCTATTTGGAATGAAAACAAACTTGCCCTTAGAAAAGTCTGAAAATATTTTCTGATTTAGTAATTGCCTTATTTATCCATCGTGGATTGCAAAATAATAAATGTTGAATGTATGTATATTTCAGAAGAAGAAAGAAGACTTACAACTGTTCCAGGTTCCAGTTAAAGACCTAACCAATGCTCAACTCCAGAGTCTCAAGGTGACAAAATACTCTGATTTATTAAAACTACCTTACTGATTTCATACAATTTCAGTCCTATTTATGTAACTCATTTTGATAAAACGTAGTATGTTCTATTTGTGTATGCACTATGCATGGACATATGATAATATACGTCCATGGTGTGTTATGAATATAAATTGGGACTCGTGATCAGAAAAATGAAAATCTGGTCAGAAAAAAATAAAATCTGGTCAGAAAAAATGCAGGTAAAGGTAAGAACTCCTGGTGTTGAAAATGGTAAATGTTGAATAAAAAATTACACAGGTTAGAAAAATTAAAGAAATTTAATATCAATATCACTCACATCTAGTCTAATATTAAATTTTCATTTTATTACAGCTAGACCATGTTTCTATGCAGAAGTACAGTAATATAGACCTTACAACTGAAGAGAGCAACCCCCCTGAAGAACAACCATCACCAGAACTAACACGGCTGTTTGAGAGCCTAGATCCCCTGCTAGGCTTCTGTATAGAGCTCAAATACCCACAGAGATATATGGTATGTAACTGACATTTTTGGGGTTTTGACTCATTTGGCTTGTCTGGCAAAGCAAAGTTTTTTCAAATTGTTTTCTACAAAATATCATAACATAGCAAAATGTAAAAGCAAAATGTTGAGATATTATATAATTCAGAACAGTTATTTGTGAAAAATGTCTGAAATATCGATATGTATTAGATAGGGCTCTCACGGTTTCATAATTCCTCAGTTCGGTTCACGGTTTTTATCTTTTCGGTTCGGTTCGGTTTGGTTCTTATCGCACTTTAATGTAAAAAATCAAATAACTCAAATTGACACTTCATCTAACTAATGTATTCAACACCATCTCTCGTTGGAAATCCAAAATAACCCCAACAGTGGGCCTTATACGACTTTGGAGCGTTTAGAATGCCGAAATCTTCACCTCTCGTTTCGAGATTCATGTTCCTCAACTTTAGCGAACGGCACTTTTTTTCTCGAACGTACCGACCGAGGCCCTAGAACCGCGGAGCACCGCGGTTCTGGTACACCGTTAGACCCTTAGTATTAGATCAATTTCATGGAAAAATCTTTGGTATTGTGACCAAACAGCCAACATAATTACATGTATATGTCTTTTTCAGAATGGTACTCATGAAATGGATCACTATTTTGACCCAAACCTGTACCTGGATATAATCTTAGAGCAGATTCTGAAGTTAGCTGGTGAAAGACGTATAATACTCTGCTGTTTTCACCCAGATATATGCGCCATGTAAGTAGTGGCTGTCAAATGTGTTTATTATAACCCTGATGTATACTGGATTAAAAAAAAAAGAAAAAAAAGTATACTGGATTAATATATATGTATATGCTATAATATATGCTCTTTGACCATTACAGATGATAGTAGAAAATCTATATGTGGTGGTTCATATCAGAGTGCAAATATATTCAATTCCATACAACAATTTTTCTAGAAAAATGAGTTAACATTTTTATAAAAAGATTCAAGATGGGGTCCTAATCCACAGTCAGATCAATAATCAAGGACTTTATTGACATGTTTTTGGCTCTCCCTGTATTCTGATCTGTTAATGCATTATATGAGCCCTTCAGTCTATTCAAATGGACAGCGATTACAAAATGTGATAGTTCCTACTACTACTTCTAATCCTATTCTAGATATTAAACTCGGTACCACTACTTCTTATTCACTGGGTGAAGGTTTGATAAAAACTTCGAAATTGTAATAGCGCTGATAATGATTTGATAAAACATCTTGATAATTTTAATTTGCTACAATCTTGATGCCCGTCTCTAATAAAAGCATGCAGAAATATTGACACACCCTGTATTTTGAAATCTGTCTTCAGGGCCAGTATAAAGCAGAATAAGTACCCAGTGTTTTTCCTGACATGTGGTGTGAACAGCTTGTGGGACACCTATGTTGATATACGAACACACAGCTTCCCTATTGCGGTTAACTTTGCCAAGGCTGACGGAATCCTAGTAAGTATGGTGCAAAGTGTAAATCTGAATCAAAATTTTTTTAGTTTTCCTCCAATCAAAGTTTTTATGTTTTATGTCAGAGCAGATGATTGAACAGTAAAGTGTACCTCTGTAAGTGGCACATGTCCTTAAGCGGAATAGTTCAGTCCCATCAGTCATTAACAAAGTGTAAAATGAACTCCCTGTAAGTGGAACACCTAACAAACGGAACACTATTTTGAGGTACCAAAGGCATTCCACTTGATATACTGGAATCACTGTTTTCACATAACTTGTAGTCATTGCATAGTCATTGGATAAATTGTAGTGAAGTCATTGCATAACTTTGTAGTCATTGCATAGTTATTGGATAAATTGTAGTGTAGTCATTGCATAACTTTGTAGTCATTGCATAACTTTGTAGTCATTGGATAAATTGTAGTGTAGTCATTGCATAAATAGTCATTGGATAAATTGTTGTGTAGTCATTGCATAACTTGTAGTCATTGCATAAATAGTCATTGGATAAATTGTAGTGTAGTCATTGCATAACTTTGTAGTCATTGCATAAATTATAGTTATTGCATAACTTATACATGCATATACTTCTTAGGGTATAAGTGCCCATGCTGAAGAGCTCCTCAATGACCAGTCACTGATAGATATAGCCAAGGCTGAGAAGAAAGTGGTCATAAGCTGGGGAGAACAACTCAATAACAGAGAAACCCTGGACAAGCTTAAAGACAAGGGAATTGATGGACTTATATATGATAGGTATGCTGACCAATCAGGAATTTTTTGGAATTGGAAATGTCAGTGTTAAAAATGTTTTGTTTTCTTAAAAAGTATATTGATTTTATAGACTTAATACATATCATTATAATAGCATTTCGATTATCATTCATTTCAATTTCTTTATAGCTCTATAATGAAAGTGAACCTTTATCATTCCTTCCAAAAGAATCTAGATTTAATATTCATAAACACAAAGATCTTATGGTGAATTAATATATCAATAAGTTTTGTTATATTTTATCAGTATTTCATTGATATGTATGTTATTGCTATCAAATACTAAAAACATAAAACATTGTATTTTTATTTCAGAATATATGATCTAAAAACAGACAAAAGCAATGTTTTTAAACTAGAATATGAAGCCAAGCTGAAGCTACTCCAAGACCTTGGACAAATCCCTAATACTAAACATGCACAGAGACAATTACTCGGGAGTACATCTTCAGAACCAGGGGATAACAAAGAGGACACTAGTAGTAGTGCTGAGTCTTCCCGATCGTCAAGTCCAACAGATAAAAAGAGACCCCTGGTGGTGTCATCAGACACTACACTTACTAAGGCGAAATTACCTCGTCAAATGAGTTGTATTTAATCATGTTTCATTGATATATTTATGATTTCTTAGTGGGTGTATCAGGGAAGTAAAGTTGTTATATTGAATCACAGGGTTTCTTCTCATGCATGTTAATTCCTTACTATAGGACCAAGTCATCCCTCTAAGCTGTCCCTGCACAATATAAAGACAGAGGCAAAGGATTGTCTTATTCCAAAGAGTCTACATGCAGTTTGCTTTGAATGATGCTAAGTCAAACTATTGTAAGGGTAAACAGTTGCCATCCGGAAAAGAGCTCCATATTTGACAAAACGAATATTTCCATATAAGGATATTATTTCATAAACAACCTGATCAGGAGTGCTCTTCCATATTTAGAATGGTGGTGTGTGAAGGAGAGTGAGGGATGGTGTCCAAACACCATATGTTGCAATTCAGTTAATTTTCTTATGGTTACCCCTCCCCTTTAACAAAATTTTGAAATGCTGGTTTCCCATTCACTTGTGGACTAACACATTAACTTACAAAACCTACATTTAGTGAATTTTTTACTCCCCCCCCCCCTAACAAAATGAACTGTGTTCTTCCACAAATGTTTATACCATCCCAAAGCGTTCAAAATACATTTAGCCATATGAATATAACAAGGCATGTCCTTAATTCTACAGTTCTGAAATCAGCTGGTCAGAATATTATTACAAACCAGTTGCATTACTATTTGCATTACTATTTGCCTTCTAAATTAATATATAAGCTGAGCCTCATGAAAGTAAGCAGACAATGACCAGTGGATCAACCCTAGCTTTAAAGACTTGAAAGTATTGCCAGGATATTATACAAATATTTATACAGTTCATATGTATTCCAAGGGATTAGAGTGTTGTATTTGTTATTTTCTCTCATGAAGTCATATTTGAATGGCCCTCATTCTAGAGGAGGCATATTAAAAACAAAGCTGAGGGGATATTCGCTCTTGCTGCATTTAGCAACAGGGAAATTTCACAGGATGTTTTATGTCATGTGATATGTGCTCAACCAATCACAGAATGGCAAAAATGACAGTGAGATAATGATGGTACCATATAGGGCCTACATTAGGGAGGTTAATTTACACATTTTTTAAGTGAACCTGTACGTGAGCGTGTAATATTTCGCCCCCTGGATTACTGAGCCGCTCTCAATTCACTTTTTCAGGGACCTAATTACACTCTGTATTCCTTTATACTCAATCAGCCATGTACCAATTGGAGGACTAATTCACAGAGGACCATAATTCCACACATCACGTACAAGATTTTGAGAAAACGTGTATCTTAACCTCACTATTGTATGCATATATCTGTAGAAATAGATTTATTGTTTATTGTGGAAGAGTGAATAACTCATTCAATACTGGGCCAAAAAGCACTAAAATACTGACAAATTTTTGAAAATTGCCATATATGGTACCTCTGAAATAATATATGTAGTGTATACATGGGCATACATATATCTAGTGTTGTATATCATTTTAAAGCATATGATATACTCTTTCAGAATGAACAGGTTTTTTAAGTCCCATTTTATAAGTTGTCATGGTTACAAGATTCCAAAAAATACATTGAGTTTGTGCTTGGACGTGATATCACGTCCTTAGGAGTCAACGTATGTGCTTTATGACGTCATATCACATCCTTCGTGGCGAATGAGTTAATGTACATAATAAAAACGTCAATTCTAATTCTATGAATTAAAAAATATGTACAGTATAAAAGTGTATCACTGGCAATTAAGATGCATAATACATTTAATAAATGTCATTTATATCACAATGGTGATATTTTATTTATTAGTATATTTGGGTTGGACCATTTAATTTTAATTTTGGGTAGAGCCCTTACTATTTTGCCATAAATCAAAATATTTTCATTGTAGTGAATGATCTTCATATTTTTTCACATAGCAAAGGATTTCATTTGCATATATATGATGGAAAAATAAAACAGCTCAGACATGTCAGATGAAAAGTAACTTGCTCTCTTGGCTTCTAAGGTAGCTGTTACTGTGTACACTGTATGTCACACAAATTCATTGTTCATACAAGCATCACGTTTTAGTATTTTGTTTTGTAGTATAATCCTAATATTCACATTTAAGAAGATTAAGCACAAATTGACAATCAATAGTATTGATTGAATTTCTCATTGTAGAATCACAATGTTTTGTGAATTTAAAAATTCCCCCTTCGAAACATGCTACTAAAATATGCTACAAAGAATAATAACATATAATTGTATATAAATGGCTTTAATATTTATTCATGTGATTTTTGTTGTTTGTATCTACACTAAATGCACAATTTGCAGAACCAATAAAGTATTCATATATGATATGTATTAATAATACATAATAATAATAAATATATTGCAGTTGTTTGTTTTTTTATGTGTCTTTTGAGAGTTTCAACCATAGCTTCATGTACTTCTCCAAAAGACCAGAACTGTTGAACAGAATTTTCAAACCATACCTTTTAGATTGCCTTCCCCTATAACTGTATAATGCCCCTCAGATATACATTTCTAAATGTCCAAGTTCATGCATTTATTTGATCTCCTGAAAAGTATTGGAGACCAATCAATCAAAGCCACAACTCATTAATTCTACATGTACTTCATCATTTTGCACGATCTCAAACAAGGTACATGTTGCCTAATGAATTATGGGATTGTGTTCTTATCTGACAGTGTAAAATATAAAATAGTAATATATTACCATGGGCTTTCAACTAGATAATTGAAAGCCCATGATAGTACTAAAATAGATGTGGATGTCCTGTCCTGTGTAAATAGGCCTACATGTGATGATTTCCATTTGATTGTGACAGAAATTGAAAGGAATTTTCTTTATTGAAGGCATACAGTTAACAGAACATGAACATTTTGTAATGATTAACACAATCAATGTAACAATCTCCAACAACTATAATCATCTTACACAAGCTTGGATTGTGCTAGGAATTTAAGGCTGAGAGACCTGCAATGGTATGGTAAGGCTGGTGTCCGTGTGTATAGTAAAAATGGGTCATTTTGCATTAAAACCATTATGTGATTCCCTATTTTACTGAGTAATGCTGTATCTCCAGCAACTACAATGTAAACCAAGTTGTAACTCACCATTGGCTCTATCAAACCATGGCCTCTATCACCACTTACACATTAGCTCCAACCTGAAAGGACGCGTGTAGGCCAGGGTGAAGGGCGTTGGACTTGGTGTAAGATTTAACGCAGTGTTAAATGATTCCAGGAACCATCATGTTGATTTTGACCCAATGCTTGGTTTCCTAATAATTTTTTTCTCTTGTCCTCACAATGGCACAACCCAAACGTCAAAACACAATTGGTCATCAAAATGAATAAATGGTTTAAATATGATTGATTTGCTTTTTAAATACAATCCAGACATAACATTTCCTAATATGGTATCACCAGACAGTGATCGGATAAACATACAGAACCATAAAACACATCAACTTGAGGATGCATATTATCTCAGATTTGACATCCATTATTGACCTACTTTCTTACATAGCAATTCAATGGAGAAAGTTTAGTTCTAAATATGGGACGTTTCGCATTGTGTCCAACGCCTGTGTTGATAATTTATTAAATCTGGATATAGATGTATTGTTTAAATATGTTTTAATAACAATTGAGCATGATGTAGAGGCGTTACAAGCAAACTTATATTGAAATATACGCGATCTTCGTTGGTACAATATGGCGCCTCGCTGAAATAAAGTGTGTTTGTTAGCAAAAGTCAACATTTAATTTCTTTACTTTTAAGGGCTGCAACATAAAAGAACAATGGGTATATCTAAAGAACATACATTTAATGTATCGTTGAAATTTTAAATTGGGTAAAATAGTGTTTATTTTATATAGAAAAGCCATTGTAAATGTTGAATTATATCATTTTTTAAATTAAAAATCGAAGTTACACAGTATTTTTGTATTTCCCGACTAATAGATTATTCTTCTAATTATTTTTCATAAAAGAATAGTGTCATGGCTTATGATGTGACTTATGAAATGATGGATAAATCGATTAGAACGGGTAGTAAATAAAATTTAAAATAGGGTAACTAGCACACTTGAAGAATACATCGGACATTTTGATTCTCCAAAAGCTAAATCCGGAAGTACGTTCTCTAACGTCCGCGCGATTTGTATAAATGAAGGAATCATTCCGAGTTATTCACTCAGTTTCAACTGAACTCTCAACTTCGAAGATAAATTCAGATACTCACAAAGCGACAAGCAACGATGGCAGACGCAGCAGCACCCGCACCCGCAAAGGCAGCCAAGAAGGCAAGCAAGCCCAAGAAGCCAGCAAATCATCCCAAATACAGCGAGATGGTCAAGCAAGCAATTGCATCACTCAAGGATAGAACTGGATCCAGCCGTGTTGCCATTCTGAAGTACATCCAGGCCAACTTTAAGGACCTTGGTGGTGACGCATCAGTTAACTCTCACCTGAAGATGGCTCTTCGTGCTGGTGTGAAGAATGGTGCTCTCAAGCAATCCAAAGGAACTGGCGCATCTGGTTCCTTCAAGATTGGCAAGGTTGAAAAGCCAAAGAAGGTCAAGGTAGTAAAGAAGAAACCAGCAGCTAAGAAACCCAAGGCCAAGAAGGAAAAGAAAGTGAAAACACCCAAGAAGGCTGCCAAGAAACCCAAATCACCCAAGAAGGCAGCAAAGAAGTCCACTCCAAAGAAGGCAGCCAAGAAACCAGCAGCTAAGAAAGTTGTTAAGAAAACACCAGCAAAGAAGGCAGCCAAGCCCAAGAAACCAGCTGCAAAGAAGTCTCCCAAGAAGAAAGCAGCAGCCAAGAAACCAGCAAAGAAATAAACAAACTTTCCACACCAAACCCCAAAGGCCCTTTTCAGGGCCACCCATTACTTACAAAAGAGCTTTAGGTTTATGAATTAATTTTTTTTGAGTTGATGTTTATGTGACCAGTGTAGAGTGAGTACAGGTAGAGTTGAACAGGAATGAAATGTTAATTCAAATTTTAGAAAAAATTGCAATTGGTCATTAGGTCTCAAGGTTGTCATCAAATATTTACACCAAAAAGGAAATGAAATGACATGTGCATTTCTGAACTAAGTCACTGTATTTCTAATTTGATGATTTTTGCTATTTAATTTGGCAGCTTTTCACGGGGATAAATCTCATATCTACAGCTACATGTATCATAATCATATGCCCCCCCCCCCGTATACTCCAGTTGAATATTTAAAGTGGTGGTCTAAATTATATTTGAATTCATTCCTAGATTATTGAGAAAAAATTAAAACTGATTTGAAAGGCAATATATATTTTTTCCTTTTTGGGACCACAATTTTTGATAGTCCGGGAGAGCAACTATGGTATACTGCATCTTTGTGTGTCGTGGCTGACTGCCTTGGGGGTTCACTGCATGTTAAGTGTAACATCGGATTTCTTTGTTCTTGCAGTTAAATAGTGTACATTCATTCAGGAGGGCTAAAAATCAATATTTAGCATCATCAATTGTCCTTCAACAACATTTGATCACCACTCCTTAGTAAACAGAAATAGTATTTTTATCATTTAAGATTGTATCATAGTTCACCATTGCTACCATTTGACGGTAGCAGGCCTGTAGCTCTAACCTAGGGGGGGGGGTTCCAGGGGTTTAAGCGAACCCACATGGCCAAATATTCTTTCAAAATCAGGCAGTTTTTCATGATTCTGAGCATTTTTGGGCCGAATTTGTCAAAGTGAACTCCCCTGAGACTTTTCTGAAAAGTGAACCCCCTTGGAAAAAGCTGGCTATGGGCCTGAGAAGCATTGTCGCTTTCCACTGGGTCTAGAGACTTGTGAATCAAGATGCCTGAGAAGTACGAGCCATCATAAAATAAACATTAGAATGACATCAATGCTGGTAAGCAGACTGCAGACAAAAGCAATATAATTATAATTACAATGTTTATTGTTTAACCTTCTCAAATAGACATACATTTATTTGAAAACAATGGGTCAGCAGTTGCATCAGTTGCATTACATCAAAGTACATAAAACAAAGTTCATAAACTACATGATATTAAAGTTTTGATATTTCCATGGTACTATTACTTTTGAATATCATGGTTATCCATACATGTCCAGTGTTTTATCTCTAGGTGTTTTTAATTTACAATTCGGTAAATAAATTAATTTACAAGTTCTGTTCTGGATTTTAGAATTCTCTATTGTACATTTTCAAATATCAATTGAGTATACTGTGTATTAGAGGTTTCTATTATTTTTGCCTTAAAGTTTCTATTGTATATTATAGGTTTCTATTGTACATCCTGGATGCTGCTATTGTGCATCATAGAGGTGTATATATTGTATGCTGTAGCTCATTATGTAGAGATTTCCATCCTGAATCCTTGATGCTGCTATTGTTTTTGTTCTTTCAGTGAGGGGTAATACTCAGAATAGTCAAATTTTCTTGATGGCAGTGGCTTCTCGATATAACCTGAAAAGGATTTAAATATATTTGGTATACAAGATATCACCCTGGGGCCAGAGGCTTGAACAGTAGTAATCACTACCCTCTAAAATGGCATATCTTATTAGGAAAAACATTCATATTCTTTGTGTATATTTTTGTTACTGTATTTTTGTTAACAAGGATAAATCAAGTAATTTGGCAGGCATTCTCCACCTCTACTTCGTTAAATCTTGTACATGCACCAACATGTGTACTCAATATATAGATGGACCAGATAATAATATTAGATCACATGCAACATACATTAAAGGCTATGGTGTTTTGTACTTCATAAATAATATTATTGTTACTTACCATAATCCCAAGCTTGTTCAACTGCTATTAATAAGTTCCTGAATTGTTTCTGACATATATCTGGAACACAAAAAAGCTAAGTAAAACCCCAATATCCAAATATAACACCTGTCATTGACAGACACATTAAAAACCTTGAAATGTAAACACTGCAAATACGAACACTTTTTGCTGGTCCCTGTGTTGTTCCGATTACACAAGTTTTACTGTACTCTTTAGGTTTAGATGTTTTTCTAGTACAGTAGATCCATAATCAATGCATTCTTATAATATACTACATGTACTAGGCCCAAGGCAATTCCAATATTGCCCCTTATAATATACTACATGTACTGGGCCCAAGGCAATTCCAATATTGCCCCTTATAATATACTACATGTACTAGGCCCAAGGCAATGCCAATATTGCCCCTTATAATATACTACATGTACTGGGCCCAAGGCAATTCCAATATTGCCCCTTATAATATACTACATGTACTGGGCCCAAGGCAATGCCAATATTGCCCCTTATAATATACTACATGTACTGGGCCCAAGGCAATTCCAATATTGCCCCTTATAATATACTACATGTACTGGGCCCAAGGCAATTCCAATATTGCCCCTTATAATATACTACATGTACTGGGCCCAAGGCAATGCCAATATTGCCCCTTATAATATACTACATGTACTGGGCCCAAGGCAATTCCAATATTGCCCCTTATAATATACTACATGTACTAGGCCCAAGACAATGCCAATATTGCCCCTTATAATATACTACATGTACTGGGCCCAAGGCAATTCCAATATTGCCCCTTATAATATACTACATGTACTGGGCCCAAGGCAATTCCAATATTGCCCCTTATAATATACTACATGTACTAGGCCCAAGGCAATGCCAATATTGCCCCTTATAATATACTACATGTACTTGGCCGAAGGCAATTCCAATATTGCCCCTTATAATATACTACATGTACTAGGCCAAAGGCAATGCCAATATTGCACCTTATTATATACTACATGTACTGGGCCCAAGGCAATTCCAATATTGCCCCTTATAATATACTACATGTACTGGGCCCAAGGCAATTCCAATATTGCCCCTTATAATATACTACATGTACTAGGCCCAAGGCAATGCCAATATTGCCCTTATATTTCACTGTATATTCTAATAATGCATATTCTACACAGATTCAGCATGATACTTGACTTCAGTTTTGATTAAAGCTTTGAATATTTTATGTGATGCTACATTATTCTGATGACAAGCACAGTCATTCATTCATTGCAGGCTCTTCTCGAATGTGCAAATAAGTTGAGATTGTATGAAAGTGTTACTTTTGGAACACTCTGTATTTGCATCTAAGTACATTGAAATTGAATAAATAAAATGTTGTGCATTATGATGAAAATTGAAATCAAATATTTATGATATTTGACAGAATAAGATTTATTATTCAGAATGGTTTAAGTTAAGCACACGGAGAAAGTTCATGGTGACATATACTCAGTTTGTTAGCATTATTAATTTATTCAAACTCACTTGTTTTAGTTGTTGGTAGAACATCTCCAGAATTAGGCGATAAAAACTGCTTTAGAAGTTTGGTATTCTGCAATCAACATCATTTACATTTTAAGCAAGGTGACATCTCATTCTGAAGGAGCAATGGAATACATGCAAACAAGAAATTATGACCTTCTATCAGTTTCTCTCTACATGTTCTATAAAGAAATGAGTCAGTTTAAGAGTACTAGATAGATACAGCCTGTACAGTTTTGCTGAAAATGTTATGGGCCAATTAAATAAATTTAATAGATCAACGGACCATGAGTATCAGGCCCGTAGCTAGGGGGGTTCGCAGGGTTCGGGCGAACCCCCCCCCCCCCCTAGCCAAAAATCCTTTCAAAATCATGCAGTTTTTCACCATTTTGAGCACTTCTCAAGTGATTTTAGTCATATTTGGGCCAAAATTGTCAAATGTAAACCCCCCCCTGGAAATTTTTGAAAACTGACCCCCCCCCCCCCCTTGGCAAATCCTGGCTACGGGCCTGAGTATCATGGGAAGGGATAGCCTGGAGTAAGGCTCCACTACTTTTGAACTCATTGCTGGCAAACTCTGAGATATCTCAACCCGTAATATCTCGGGTGCTGTCGAATAATGATCAGAAATTTGTCTCATTAATGTTACCAAACATTGTAGGGGTCACAAGGGGAACATGGTTAAGTGCAATTGGAATATATTGTCATTGGCTTCACAATTGCATGAAAAATAGAGGGTGTTGATACAGTCTATTTTATGCGAATATGAAAACATGCCATTTTGCCCAATTTTTCTCACCAGCAGAAAACCTCCAAAATAGCTTTGGCAAGCAATAAGATCAAATAATTCTGACCCACCTCACGATGTAGCACCAAATATTCATCTCTGCATACTGGACACGGGTTCCCTGATGCTATCCTTCCTCCTCTCTGTAACATTATACACTATGTTCATTTTACTTGTATTTATTTGAATGTTTCTCAATTTCAAACACAAGTTTTAACTTTCAATCTAAGAATAAAAACTATTTTACTAATTGTATATCATAAAACTACTACCATCATGTTTATCTAATCAATGGATTTAATCCAAGCATGAGCAAAGGTACAAGATCAGGGATTTCCTGCCAATTTTCTTGTACAGTAATATATCTTATTTACAGCAATTATATAGAGTAAGTTGCCTGAGCAAACCAACTAGGCCATGCATCAAATAGAAACAAAGTGATTCCTATTCCATTTTTGTTGTTTTTGGCCCACCCTGTCTGTGACTTACAATGCATGTTGTTCTTGGTTTCTTTGGAGGGAAGCCTCCTGAATAGTTTCTTCTGTATCTTGTCCATACTGGTTCATCCCCATATGTTTCTGCATATGCTGTAAAAATCAGAAAACATAACAATATAAGATTGGTCCCATTTTATCAAATATTGTTATCATAAAAGTAACATCAAATTACTCATCATGTAGATCTACCTTAAAGGCTAACATGACAAAATGTAACGACTTGGTTGCAATTTCCAGTGTAACAATTTGTTACAGTTCCTGACTCTGGTTGCCAGGCAACAGTATAATGACTCAGCACTTGGTGCCATGAAAAGTAAATCAATCAAAATAAATGTCACTCACAGTCACTACAAATCTATAGCCAATGCCATAGTAGAATAACATGTTTAAAGGGGCAATTTTCAAATTTTAATCCATGAGTTTGTTATTTTACCTTTACTTTCCATATATCTAATACTTGTGTGTGGCTCTATGATTGGCACCTTTCCTTCATTCTCATCAACTTGACTTTCCTCCTGCTCTTCTTCTTGATTCATACATGATGTTGTGGTGAACTGGCGACATTTAGCAAACTAAAATAAACAAGAATGTCATAAAATATGTGTAAATTAGTAAAAAGTTAAAAGGGACCTACATAAATGGTGCCATGACATAAAATGCTAATAATGACTTGCCATTAATTCCAAATTATGATTACAGAATCGCTCAACTTTGGATATGAATATTAGAACTATGATATAAGTTTTATAAGATACTTGGGCCTGGGAACATGCATAAAACAAGGCATTAACCTGACAAAATGTCACCACCTACATGTAGTTGCTCACAATATTATAAATTTAATTTAAGGTTATTCTTTTCATTCAACATTTTTGAAAAAATTCCTATACCTGCCCATGTTATTTTCTGGTACAAAATAAATTATGAAGGCATGTGCGTATTTCCTTGCTTTTTTCAGGAAAGTATTATTACATTGTCTTCTCTAAGTAAACCTATATGGTCATTGGAAATCCAATGTTATGGAGAAATTTGGAGAATAAATTTGGAAAATTGAAAAGGCGGCCATTTTGAATGATTATCTTGAAATATCAGCATTTCCTGAAGTTGCCACTGACCTATTACTACGTTTACTAAAAGAAGACAGTACAATGATACTTTCCTGAAAAAAGCATGGAAATACACAGATGCCTTCATACTTTATTTTGTACCAGAAAATAACATGTGCAGGTATAGGATTTTTTTCAAAAATGTTGAATGGAAAGAACAACCTTAAGTCAGATTTGAACTTCTGAGAACTTGTAGATGATTTTGAAAAAATAAATTGGTCAATTTGAAGCAAGTTGAAGAAAGACCTTTTAGACCTTATTTTGACCTTGAGAAGGTCAGTGAAGGCATGGGCTTTCAACGAAAGCCCAATGGAAAAGGTCAAATCTCAAATCTTAAGTCAGATTTGAACTTCTGATAACTTGTAGATGATTTTGAAAAAAAGTCAATTTGAAGCAAGTTGAAAAACTACCTTTTTGACCTTTTTTGACCTTGAAAAAGTCATTGAATGTCAAATCTAAATATAAAGTCAGATTTGAACTTCTGAAAACTTGTAGATGATTTTGAAAAAATTGAAGCCTCTAAACAGTAGTTGTAATAATTGGAAGTTGTGAGAATTTGTTACAGGCCCCAATCGCCAGCCGCCAACCACCAAGCTCCGTCAAAAAATGGAGGCCATAACAATATGTCACCACTTTTTGGTGGTGACATAAAAATGAAGTCGAATACACCAAGTATACACCAAGTAATTTGGTGTATCCGACTTGATTTTTATACATGTTCCCGGGCCTATGTAACAGCTTCTTCTTTGAAAATGGCTAGTCTAAACTGCTTTTGTTCTCTCCAGAGAGAAAATGGTCAAGGTTACCATTATTCTTTCAGGTTGGTAAATGTAGATGTCGGGAATTGAAGTTGCTGTAAAATTACACCTACATATGATAATCACTCACAAAATACAAATATGTAATGACCTTCGATATCACTTACGACGGGACATCGTCTTCTAGGGGGGGATGGTGTAATGACCTTCGATAGCGAGTCGCTACTACAGTCTCAGCTGTAGTGGCTAGCCTTTATGGCTCAGGGGTAGAGCGTCTGACTCTGAGAGCGGAAGGTCCTGCGTTCGATTCCCGTACGGGGCATTGAATTTAGCACATTCTCTTTCGAGTCTAGTATCTGGCTTGGTACACTACAGCTCCCCGAGGATCGTGCCCAAGGGTCGTTACAAATATTTCGAACCTTTCAGTCTCCCAATATTTGTAAAAATCATCTCTATCTATTAAAAACCAACACATGATATGTTACATAACCTAAAATACTCACCTGTTTATTTATGAACTGTTCTTGTATAACTGGGACCCTAGTTTTAGCCGAAAACACGACTTTTCTGAAAATATCCATGATTTTACCCTAGAAAGTATTTGTGGTGTGTCAGACTGTATTGTAAGCACGGGGAGCACGAGCTAAGAAATCGTCCTAAATTTGAAGATTAATCAATTGAAAAGTTTGTGGAAATTAAAAAAAAACATAATGAGGAAGAATAGTCTTAGATTCCCTGGATAAATCTTTTCGAAACAAAGACAGTCTACCTAAATTCTATTTGAAATATATTTGCGCAAATTTGATCACATGCAATTTGGTCTCTGACGTCACTAAAAGTAGCAGGTAAAGTGATCGCCATGTTTGTGAAATATTGATCTTCTTTTCACAGTAATTTCACCAGGATATCTCGATTTGACGCATTGGATTTTACAATCGTAGCATACATTACAACACAGTGGTTCTTTTTGTATGTTTCAGGTGCTGCTACGATGTGTTCCCACGCTATGATCCCCCTCTAAAGTTTGACCTTGTTGAAGATTGGCGACGCCATTTTGTGCGAATGGAAGGATGGATCGAAATCCTTGTGTAAAAGGTCCTTATACTCGTTAAATCTTGGCTGTTTGAATAAAATACATTATTTTATTTGTTATCAGTGATGGATGCGCATGATAAATAGTTCTGAATGACGTGAATTTTATGTATAAGCGTGGAATGTGAGTGAGGTCAAAGGTCACCTTGACCTATGTTATCATTCATTGATCAAGTGCACGTGTACTGGGAAATGTTTTATCATGTGTGTATGTAAGTAACCGTGTGATGTAAATTGTAGTAGTGATCTTATTTTGTTAATCTATCAGATTTGTCACTAGAAAGAGCATGTGTTGGTGATCGATTTCAGTTTTTTACTGGTAAAGAGCTCTTATTATGCTTATGATGAGCCACATATTTTGTATTTAGTTGGAAGACTTCTAGTTTTGGGAGCCATCGAAATAACCTCACGTTCGATTTTTAAAGTAGAAAAGCAGTGTTAGCCATGCACATATTTATTGCAATCAATTCTAAACACTCGCCTAAACATTCTGTCAAAGCCAAAAAAGAATCTGCTCTCAAACTGCAGAGATGAAGGGTTCAATCTTTAAACTGTAAATCTGCCAGTATATCAATATATTGAACACAGGGATTCTACTAACAAAGTAAAATAAAAGTAACTAGTATGAGTTAAGTAAGAACTTTTCGAATTTCAAAACTATTATATTTCTCGAATCTTCCAAAACTCAGGAAATATAGTAGCACATGAAAATTACTGGGAGTACAGATTTCATATAAATGAATCATGGGTTAATATTCGGCTTATAGCAGTTGGCACTCCACTCACCGCAGGTTGTATTTTTACCTTGCAACATGTCAAATACAACAGTTATTCTTAGTGAAATCATCCAAATATATCCTTATTTTTATAAGGCTCATGATTTATCAATTTTGCTTTACTAGATTCCTTATTTATTGAGGGGACTGATTTTTCCAAGCTTGTACGGATAATGTTCCCAGGAATAAAGAGATGTAGAAAGATAAGTCCTGGATGAAATGTTCATGGCCCCTGGTGGCGGATATTTGAAATACTGGCCAATTTAAAGTTTAAAGTGTTTATCTCTGCAATCTGAGACCCACCTCTTTTGTGACTTTGAGAAAATGTTAAGGGTGGTGTCGAGAATCGATTGAGGTAAGAAATATGTGCATTGCTGGCGCTATTTTTTTCTTTGAAATCTAACTTGAGGTTCCATCGAAGGTTCCTAAATAAATTTTGTGGTCATGGAAACATTGATGACTCCATTCGTCAAAACAGGGGATGGAAAAGTGGTTAGTTTCTTTTGTCAAGTACAATATGAATACAAAAATCATCATTTTATTTTAAAAATTAGGTAGGTGACTGTGAAAGTTTTTTTTTAGTAGAGCTGGCATCAAATGTCGGAATGGTCGATTGTCAGTCGAATGCTCTCTGCGACACCCATGTCGACACAACGCCTCTTGATCGACAGTCGGAACTCATAACATAATAAGCTATTTCCCTATGAATTCAAATCTTTGTTACTACCTGCTGTATGGTGTATTTTAGTGAAGTTTTACCGCCTACATTTTCAAATTTTCTTTTTTTTTTGATCGACTTCCTGCTCTCGAATTAGGTCTCGGTGCCCCTCGAGATTTACCCTTGAGATTTATTTTCAATGGCTGCCCGGAAATAACAACAGAAATCGTAGTTTTATGTCTATTTATTGCTTTTTCGTCAAAGTCTGATACTTAATCATGGTTTACCAGTAAGTTAGATATAAAACATACAACTGAGGATGACTATTGTGCATCGTATTGCTAATTACAAGCCTAGAAAATCTAAAATTCAGACGGATTTTCTTCAAAATTTTTTTCATTTTTCGAATATCATTGAACCCGACAATGTCGATATCGTTGTCGGTCGAGAGCTCCGACATGTCGACATTAAAATCCTATTCGATGCCAGCTCTAGAAAAAATATTTCATCACGAGCTCACCATTCAATCATTATGAATTGACACCCAAATTCTCATTTTCTAAAATCTGGGGTTACCGCCTTACCAGGTCACCTAAGTAACCACATAATTTTTGTCCAAAATCTAAATATTTCTTTTGTTAGGGCCTAACCCCACATTTTAGAAAAACAAAGATAGATGGCTACTGGCTAGGTTGTCAATTTATAAGAATTGAATGTTTTCCTGATTTACCTTAGAATGTGATGAGTTCTTTGGGGTGTATTAGCAGGTGAGGAAACACTACAAAACGTTCACAGACTACCAAATAAAACTACACCTACCCGCTTTTTGAACAAAAACGCCACATTTCCGCCCAATGAAAACTAGAGTGTTCTATACACAGAATGTGCAGAAATCTCTTACAAAAGTACTAGAGGATTTGGAATTTCTGATGAGAAGAGAACAGTAGTTATGTTTACTCAAAACAACAGGCAATTTCAGAAAAATTTTATAGCTGCAAATTAAACCTCTGCATTGATAGATTCTATGGTGTGGCTGTAGATCTCTATTCTCTAATGTTGGTCATTTGATCTTTTAGTCAAATTTTTTTTATTTGTGTCGTGCATATGGATCATTAAAACCTAAATGCGTATTTTGGATTGTTGTCTAGCTTAGAAATCTGTCGCTATAAAAATTAGCGTTTCTTTGATTGCGATGGAATTCCTCAAAATCAACTACTAGTATCATTTGCAAAATTCCCAATCTGGTGCAAAAAAACAGAAAAAAGTTTTTTTACTGGAGTGACAAGTTAAACAGCAAAAATGAAATATTTCATTGCCTACTTGAATGCTTTTCATTCAAGAGAGTTATCGGACATCCATCTGTATTTGTTTCAATACAATAAGTTTGTATTCCCGTAAAAACAGATAAAAGATATTATAAACAATTGACCCATTGTTACTGCTGAGTGGTGTAGTAGTTTCAATTTTTCGATTTTCAAACACCTATACTGCAAATACATGACAGAACTAAATGTATGATACATGTTTATACAAAACTTTTTAATCTAAAATATGAATGTTGTATTTTGCGTGATAAGATTCAAATAGTATTTCAACTACTTTGACTTGGCTTGAGAAGGCAAACATTTCAGAATAGCCTACTGTCCTTTTACTTAATTTGGCAGATTTTTCTAAAAACAGTGTTACTAATATTAAATTGCAGTTTGCTTCGGTTACTCTCTGAATTAAATTTGGAAATTCTCTCAGGATCTGATGATTGTAATTTTAATATTGAAAATGCTTGTCATTTTCCTTGTATGAAAAGTAAAATCATTCTTTCTGTCATAAGAGACAGCGCTAGATGTTGGAAACTACTGCGAAGAATTCAGATATTGTTTAGAATCAATTGAGGTAAGAGATTTCTGTTTCAAGGCATTCTGGTTTCTTTGGCTTGTCTTTTGTGGGTCAGTATACTTCCCTACAACCCCAAATCAGAAAGAATGTGTGGCTCATTGTAAATTGTTTAACAGTATTGCTTCATCAGCTCGGATATTGACAGTGTGAATTGTTGAGTATGATTATCACATTCATCTATTACTACAGCTGGTTTCTAGTCAGCTAGTATGCCACTGTACGAAGTGTTATATAGAGAAGCCACCCATTTGTGTGTCTGTTTGTTCGTCCATTTATCCTCAACCCAGTTGACAAATTTGACTCGGTTTATGCCCTTTGGGTTTACAACCTCTCTTCGAGAAGGAAAATGTAATCTTTTAAAACTCAAATTCTAGTTGACAGATTTGGTTCAAATTCTATTTTGTATGTGGATGCCTAGGGACAAAGGAGTTTTGCTCAAGAAGAGATTTTCAAGATGGCTATTGATTTTCAAAATGGACGCCATTTTTGTAAAAAGCAGTGATGCGTTTGGTTCAAATTTTATATGCTGTAGTCTAGGGACACAGGAGCCCTGCTCGAGAAAGAATTTTCAAGATGGCAGCTGAATTTCAAAATGGCCATCATTTATTGTAAAAAATGTAAATTTGATAACTCAAATACCAGTTGACATTTTTGGTTCAAATTTTATATGCTGATGCTTAGAGACAATGGAGCTCTGCTCAAGAAGACATTTTCAAGATGGTCACAAAATTTCAAAATGGCCACCTTTTTCGTAAAAAACGCAAGGCAATCCTTGATAACTAAATACCAGTGGACGGATTTGGTTCAAACTTTATATGCCGATAAAAAGGAGCTCGGTGCTGAAGAGGAAACTTCTAGTGGAAGGAACATAGTTCGCGTGGTTGGAACTGATTATCACGTTTGTGACAGAATGTAGGAGGCCTGAAACTGTCATACCAGTTCAGCAGTAGGCCTATGACTAATTATCTGATTATCTACATTCAGATGATGCCAAAATCTTAAAGAAACCTTTATCTAGGCCTCTTACATTCATTTTAGTGTTATATTATCCAATAGCAAAAATACAATGAATAACACAGGGAGGGTGTTGAAGTGGCACACCCTTTGAATTTGTGGTCATTTTTTATGAAGATAGTACTGAAGCTGAAATCCTTGTCATTCTATTTTCAAATCAAAACATTTTTAAGTTTTCTGTCATTTGGATTCATTGGAAGTTGCTAGTAAGCATTTACATGTATCATGTTTATCTTGCTTTTTGTTGAAAATTCACCTCAGGGAGGAGTTTATTAAAATTACTGTGAATTGCTTTCTAATCTTATTATCTGGTAAATTAAAAATTGCATTGACTAACTTTCTGACACCTTAAGTGAATGCTACATCCTATTTCATGTATTTGTGTTTCTAACTTTGACTTAAAAAGGAAGCTGTGTTTACTTTTAATAGAAAAAAATATTGGATCTTACATGTCTTATGCTACAGGCTGGGAAAAAGTATTGATGTTCATCTGAATATGTTTGAAAGTACAAGGTGTTTCCAAAATGCAACCCACCTAACAATGCATATTTTATAACAGATCTAGAGAATGGCAAAGCTTGTTTGGCATAATTAAAGTTGGTTCAGTGTTCTTGAAGTTGACAAACACTTCTGCAAGCAGACTTGCACACTTTGTGCAATGTTATTGATGGAACATGTGCATTCATTGGTAGATAGGGCTCTCATTCTGAAAGACAATGCGTTAGTCAACATCCCAGAACTAGTCTACTTCAGAGCTAAAACTAGGGATGGTTTCCATGGAGCACATTTTTATATGGGCAGCATATAGGTGTCATACCCTACACAGGCCACGGTGATTAAACTTGCTCAGCCTAAAGAAAACATTGAACCAAAAAAATATAAGCTCCATTGGTTAAAAGGATACTAGTATGCATTGTTAGATACATGTGGGTTGCATTGTTTCTGAAACATCCTGTAAAAAAGGCCATTGCACAAATGTGTTGATTTAATGTTTGCCAAATTAAGTCCCCATCCAGATATCTTAATACCCAAGGGATTGAAATTGTTATATACCAGGCCCATAGCCAGGGGGGGGGGTCTGGGGGCCCAGAAAAAATGTTGGCCCAAAAGTATTGACGGGCCTCTTCGGGCATTAATTGACCTTTTTGGGCTTTGTTTTGTCAAAAAAGGGCCATAAATTTTCGCCCGAATTTTGGTTTTAGGGCCCTAAACATTTTACGCGCGGCCCTGGGATTGGCCTAGAAAAAAAATGTTGGGCCAAAAATATTGTAGGGTCTCTTTAGTTGGCCTTCACTTGACCTTTTTGGGCCTTATTTTTTCAATTTTAGGCCAAATTTTCAAAAAAACGGGCCATAAATTTTCACAATTTTGGTTCTAGGGCCTTAAACGTTTTTCGCGTGGCCATAGGATGGGCTGAGAAAAAAATGTTGGCCCAAAAATATTGTAGGGCCTCTTTAGTGGGCCTTTTTGGGCATTACTTGACCTTTTTGGGCTTTATTTAATTTTCAGAATTGTTGGCCCAAAAATATTGTAGGGCCTCTTTAGTGGGCCTTATTTTTTCAAAGTTAAGCCAAATTTTCAAAAAACGTGCCCATAGATTTGCTAAATTTTGGTTTTAGGGCCCTAAAAAGTTTTTTCGCGCAAGCGCGGATATTTTTTCCTGACTTCAAGTGTTAGGGGGGGGGGGTTCCAGCCCCCCCTAACAAAAAGCTGCCTACGGGCATGTACACAAGCTATCAGGTTATACTACAGTTGACAAAAGATATTTTGAACTTAGCCATGGCCAAATTTATGGACTGTAATGATGACTGGTTATGCCCAGTAGACTACTGAGAAATTAGCTTTTAAACATAAAAGACCTGATAGCCTTTCACTAAAAACGGAACTGCTAGATCAAAGAAGACATGACTAGGAGATTGGAGAATGCAGATCATCAGCAACATATAAGGGTGGGCAATCAATGATGATTATGGATATGTGCACTTGATGATTGTCAATGATGACTTCAAGATGTATACCACCATTTACCAATGATGATTGATGAGGTTATACACCATCGCGGATGATTATTAGGAATGTAGGGCTATACCAACACCTGTAAATGATGATGAAAGAGGGTATGTGCAATCAATGATGACAGACATCGGAACTCATCGATGATTACCACTGAAAATGTATACCACCACTCATCAATGATGATAAAAGAGGATGCACAACATCAATGATGACAAACATTGAAACTCTTCAATGATTCCATTGAACATATACCACCACTTATCAATGATGATGAAAAGAAGATGCACAGCATCAATGATGACAAACATTGAAACTCCTCAATGATTCCATTGAAGATGTATACCATCACTCATCAATGATGATGAAAGAGGATGCACCGCATATTTGCAATCAATGATGACAAACATTGAAACTCATCGATGATTACCATTGAAGATGTATACCACCACTCATCAATGATGATGTACATGTCAGTGACACTCATCAATGATGATGTACATGACAGTGGCACTCATCAGTGATGATGTACATGACAGTGAGACTCATCAATGATGATGTACATGACAGTGACACTCATCAATGATGATGTACATGACAGTGAGACTCATCAATGATGATGTACATGACAGTGAGACTCATCAATGATGATGTACATGACAGTGGCACTCATCAATGATGATGTACATGACAGTGAGACTCATCAATGATGATGTACATGACAGTGACACTCATCAATGATGATGTACATGACAGTGACACTCATCAATGATGATGTACATGACAGTGGCACTCATCAATGATGATGTACATGACAGTGACACTCATCAATGATGATGTACATGACAGTGGCACTCATCAATGATGATGTACATGACAGTGGCACTCATCAATGATGATGTACATGACAGTGGCACTCATCAATGATGATGTACATGACAGTGGCACTCATCAATGATGATGTACATGGCAGTGACACTCATCAATGATGATGTACATGACAGTGACACTCATCAATGATGATGTACATGACAGTGACACTCATCAATGATGATGTACATGACAGTGGCACTCATCAATGATGATGTACATGTCAGTGACACTCAATAATGATGATGTACATGACAGTGCCACTCATCAATGATGATGTACATGACAGTGCCACTCATCAATGGTGATGTACATGACATTGACACTCATCAATGATGATGTACATGACAGTGACACTCATCAATGATGATGTACATGACAGTGGCACTCATCAATGATGATGTACATGTCAGTGACACTCATTAATGATGATGTACATGACAGTGACATTCATCAATGATGATGTACATGACAGTGACACTCATCAATGATGATGTACATGACAGTGACACCCATCAATGATGATGTACATGACAGTGACACTCATCAATGATGATGTACATGACAGTGACACTCATCAATGATGATGAACATGGCAGTGACACTCATCAATGATGATGTACATGACAGTGGCACTCATCAATGATGATGTACATGACAGTGGCACTCATCAATGATGATGTACATGGCAGTGACACTCATCAATGATGATGTACATGACAGTGACACTCATCAATGATGATGTACATGACAGTGACACTCATCAATGATGATGTACATGGCAGTGACACTCATCAATGATGATGAACATGACAGTGACACTCATCAATGATGATGTACATGACAGTGGCACTCATCAATGATGATGTACATGGCAGTGACACTCATCAATGATGATGTACATGACAGTGACACTCATCAATGATGATGTACATGACAGTGACACTCATCAATGATGATGTACATGGCAGTGACACTCATCAATGATGATGAACATGACAGTGACACTCATCAATGATGATGTACATGACAGTGACACTCATCAATGATGATGTACATGACAGTGGCACTCATCAATGATGATGTACATGACAGTGGCACTCATCAATGATGATGTACATGACAGTGGCACTCATCAATGATGATGTTCATGGCAGTGACACTCATCAATGATGATGTACATGACAGTGACACTCATCAATTATGATGTACATGGCAGTGACACTCATCAATGATGATGTACATGTCAGTGACACTCATCAATGATGATGTACATGACAGTGACACTCATCAATGATGATGTACATGACAGTGATACTCATCAATGATGATGTACATGACAGTGATACTCATCAATGATGATGTACATTACAGTGATACTCATCAATGATGATGTACATGACAGTGATACTCATCAATGATGATGTACATGACAGTGACACTCATCAATCAAATCTGACTATATATTTAATATTTTTCAAGGTCTTTTTTTTCAAATTGACCAATTTTTTCAAAATCTACAAGTTAGCAGATGTTTAAATCTGACTAGATTTGAGATTTGACCTTCAATGACCTTCTCAAGGTCAAAATCCAATCATGTTATGTGTGGCTGAGTGAATGTATTGCGATATAGTTATATGTAGTATGTATGTTGTTTTGTACCTTATATTAATGTGATGGATGATAATGATTATGTGAGAAGACAGGAATGAGAACAGTTGAGACTTATGGTTGAGCTGAAAACTAAGTATGATTGTGATGGTTGAGACTTCTTGGGAAAAAAGTCATTCGTCTTTGAAGATGAATGTTGAGAGAAAATTGCATGCGCTTTTGTTAAGAGTTAAATTCCTAAGTCTTTTTGAAATTGATATCTAATTGAGAAATTATGCTGTGGCCCAGTTTTTGGAAAGTTTGCAAATATATTGCCAATTAGAAACTGAAGTTTGCAAATGTGATGACAAAATAAGTATTTGTTTATTGTTAAATAGTTCTTAGTCTAAGAAACATCCTTACATCATTAGCCTCACGACTGCATAACTTGAATTGAAAATGATATACTAGTTATTGTAGAATTCTTGTACATGCATATGTAATATTTATTGACAAAATGTATTTCTATATTTGCAGGATTAAACGCAGCATAGACATTCAACTTTAGTTTCCAAGAAAGAGATCAAGAATTTGGATTATAAAAATCTTTGGATAAATATTTATCACACTACAATAGACATTGTATGGACTTAAAGTGCGCTAAAATAAAGGGAAAAACGATTGAATTATCGGATAGCAGTCCAAGAAAGAAGACCACTATTCCTGACTACTCATCCCACTAATGAATATGGTAAATATAATTATTTAGAGTCCATTAATTATTTAGATTGGTGAAGTCAAAGAAACTTTATGCGTAGGAAAGCAAAGTACATGTTGGAAATGGAAAAGGTCTTTTTTCAACTTGCTTCAAACTGACCGATTTTATTTTCAAAATCATCTACAAGTTCTCAGAAGTTCAAATCTGACTCGAGGTTTGAGATTTGACCTTCAGTGACCCTCTCATAGGGAATGCCTCCGTCAGTCTGTCCGTACGTACGTCCGTCCCTACGTCCGTCCGTCTGGGCAATTACTCAAATACCGTTGGCCTGATTTTGTTCATATTTTGTACACATATACCCTATGGGGGTAGAAGTTCTGCTCGAAAGCCTATTTTCAAAATGGCTGCTCATTCAAAAATGGCGGCCATTTCAATGCAGATTTTTTAGCAATATGTTTTAAATGTAAAAAAATTATATAGGACATTTATAAAGCTAGAAATGTAGATATTAAAGAAGCACATGGCAGCCATCTTGAAAAATGGCGGCTTTAGTCGTTATTTTACGATTTTTGTGAAGTAGTGGAGCGATTCTGTTCATATTTGGTGTGTGAATACTATAAGCATGGCACACTGTCTAATGACACTTTTGGTAGAAAAGTAACATATTTTACTATAACTCGAAAAGTGGTAGAGCGATTTTGTTCATATTTGGTATGTGAATGCTATAAGCCATTTTTGCTATATACTTTGTAACAATGCCAGCCATGACTGTTCGATGGGATTTGCTATGCTTTGGCGTTGCTGTTGTCTAGTTTGAAGCAAGTTGTAATCAGTTTTGAACAAAGTACTATAATCATCTGGGCACCAGCCATTGAATCGGAGCAAATGTGACCTGGTCATAAGGTAAAGGATAGTGCACTGTATGATGTAGGAAAGAGTATTGTAAGCTTTAGTAAAGTGCGGTGCACTAGCAGCAAAAATAGGATAGTGCAGTACAGTGTAAGGATAGCTTAGTTCAGTGTAAGGTAAGGGAAAGTGCATGTAAGGTTTTGTTGGATACTGCAGTATGAGGTGTGAGACAGGGCAGTGTAAAAATAGGAGAGTTCAGTGTAAGGTTTTGACAAGAGCTCTGTACTAAGGTAAAGGAAAGTGCATTAAAGGAATATTCCTTGCCAGACCCTTTCTCTCTTGATATGGTAGCTATAATCATATATATATTTTCCATATTTAGCAAAACATGGGAAAATGTTTTAATATGGTCAATATTGATCATTTAAAAATCTAGTGCTTATTTCCAGTGAGCTGCCATCTTTTAAGATTTCTTGCAGGAAGTGATGTCATCAACTCTCAACTTCTATAACCTTGCATATAACAGTATAGGAAAGTAGCACAACATCACTTCTAGACAAGTGATCATTACTTTCTGTGCAAAAACATTTTCAGGGCTTGTCAACTTAGAATAAAAGAAGAGATTTTCAGAAGGATTAAATAAGATACAAAGTTGAAAAAGAATATTTAGCTGGTTTTGTAATTCTTAATAGCTCCTCGCCTAATGCTATATGCAAAGTTGAGAGTCGATGACATCACTTCCTGTGTGAAATATTAAAAGATGGCAGCTTACTGGAATTGAGCATCACATTTCTAAGTGATCAAATTTGACCATATCAAAACATTTTTGCGTGTTTTGCTAAACATGGCAAGCATATATATGGTTATAGCTACCATATGAGGAGAGAGATGGTTTGGCAAGGAATATTCCTTTAAGGTATTTTGGGATAGTACAGTGTAAAGTATGGTGAAGTTCAGTGTAATATATAGGATTGTGCAGTGTTAGGGTATGATAGTGCAGTTTATGGTATATAGGATATTGCAGTTTACAGTATAGGATGAAAATAGGATTCATAGTGCATTGTAGAGCTCGAAACAGCATTGGAAAATGGTGCCGGTATTACCGCATCTTGAAACCAAACCGTTACCGATTAATCGCTGGCGTAGAAAAATAATCAAAAAAATCTGAAAATTGAACTTTTTAATTTTTTACAAACATTTTGCTATTTACCTCTTTAATTCCGCCTCTTACATCACGTTTGGGGAACCGAGTGTTGTATTACAGCTTCATAAGTGTTTTCTTGTGTATATATAAATCGTATTCATGCTGATTACAATCAATAAACAAAAATAAATGTCAACGTTTTTTTACGTTCACATTCACAATAGATGGGGCGCTTATACTTTTGGCCTCATTTTGAGTCGCGGCAAAATAACAAGTTCAGGTAAGTGTTTTTTCAATTGTGAATTTCCCCGGGGATTTACCGTTTGATGTCAGTAATAAATTCAGTACTGGCATCCACCAATAACCTTACCTTTGAGGCATTACCGACAATACCTCCGAGCTCTAGTGCATTGTAAGGGTAGTATAGTACAGTGTAGGGTGCTGGATATTGCAGTGCGCATGTAGTACAGTGCAGTGTAAAAGGTATGCTAAACAGTATCTATGGTGTAGTATAGTTCAGTGTAATATGTATGAAAGCAGTGTAATATGTAGGAATTGCATTGTAGGGGTGTAGGATAGTACAGTTTAGAAGAGTTGAATAGTGTAGTTTAACTTTTAGGAATTAGCAGTTTAAAGGTGTCATTTGTTTAACTAATGTGTAGGATAGTGAAGTATAAGGTCCTTTTACTTTCAAAATATAGGATAAGGCAATGTGAAGCAAATGCCATTGTCCAGTGTTATATTGTCTAGTTACTGCGTATTGAAAACTAACATGACCATTTACCGTATCATAAATTTCCAGTTACTTTTCCTAAGCGTTGGGAGATATTGAACTGCAGTACCCATGCACAATAGACAATTACAGTCCGCCATCTAAAATGCAAAGATTACGGCCATTACACTTGATACTGACCATTGACTCTCATATTTTTTTTTTAGTTTAAATGAAGTTTCATGAAAATGTGTCAACTCTTTGGGACTGACCAGTGATAGTGGGGGAGTCTTATTACTCATTCAATGCATTTTGATACAAAAGAAGATTTAAGCCTCACAAACTTGTGGTTTCATGTTCAGAGGAGTTATCAGAGATAACTCAGCTGTTGCCAGAGTGAAATGATTCAATGTCCCTCCTAAGATACCTGCACATCCAAGAAATGAACAAAAATAGCTTAGTGAGAGCATTGTTTCAGTGTTGTGCAATATTATGTAGAACAGTCAACATTCTGTAGCATAATGGACTGTGCAGTGTAAGGGTTGTGATGCCATAGTGAATATGTACGATAGTGCACTGCAAAGTGTAGGATAGTGCAGTGTAAGGTGTAGGTTAGTGCAGTATAAGATTGAGTGTAAGGTTAAGGTATAAGATACTGTAGTAAAGGTATATGATAGTACACGTTGGAGATTGCACATTGCAAAGTGTAGGATATTGTAGTGAAAGTGTAGGATGTTGCAGTACAAGGTAATCGATAGTGCATTGTAAGATGTAGGATACTATACTATGTAAGTGTAAGGTGTAGGGTAATGCAGTGTATGGTGTAGGATAGTATAGTGTATGATATAGGATAGTATAGTGTAAGGTATGGGTTAGTACAGTGTATGATATAGGATAGTGTAGTGTTAGGTGTAGGGTAATGCAGTGCAGTGTGGACTGGTGTAGGATAGTGCAGTGCATGATGTAAGATAGTATAGTATAAGCTGTAGGCTAGTGCAGTGTATGGTGTAGGATAGTGTAGTGTTAGGTGTATGGTAATGCAGTGTATGGTATAGGATAGTACAGTGTAAAGTGTAGGGTAATGCAGTGTATGATGTAGGATAGTATAGTGTAAAGTGTAGGGTAATGCAGTGTATGATGTAGGATAGTATAGTGTAAAGACGTGTAGGGTAATGCAGTGTATGATGTAGGATAGTGTAGTGTTATGTGTAGGGTAATGCAGTGTATGGTGTAGGATAGTGTAGTGTTAGGTGTAGGGTAATGTAGTGTATGGTGAAGGATAGTATAGTGTAAAGTGTAGGGAAATGCAGTGTATGGTGAAGGATAGTATAGTGTAAAGTGTAGGGTAATGCAGTGTATGATGTAGGATAGTATAGTGTTAGGTGTCGGGTAATGCAGTGTATGGTGTAGGATAGTATAGTATAAGGTGTAGGGTAATGCAGTGTATGGGGTAGGATAGTGTAGTGTTAGGTGTCGGGTAATGCAGTGTATGGTGTAGGATAGTGTAGTGTTAGGTGTCGGGCAATGCAGTGTATGGTGTAGGATAGTATAGTATAAGGTGTAGGGTAATGCAGTGTATGGGGTAGGATAGTGTAGTGTTAGGTGTAGGGTAATGCAGTGTATGGTGTAGGATAGTATAGTCTAAGTGTTAGGTGTAGGGTAATGCAGTGTATGGTGTAGGGTAATGCAGTGTATGGTGTGGGACAGAGTTTCAGATCCTCAGAAAAACAATACTAGTATGAATGGCAAGTATTTTTGAAAAATTACTAGTATGAGTTTTTACTAGTATTTTCAAAAAATTACTTGTAATTGAAAGTAAATAACTTGCGGGAAAACTCCAGGCCGAAGTCCAGGGGCCTACAGAGGACCCCCTTGGTTTAGGCCTTCAACTTCCTACTGACTCCCTGGACTGACACTTCCTCTGCTGGAATTGTCCTTTTTACCAGGAATTTATCCATTTACATTAATTGATGTATGTCACATTTGTGCACAATATTATAATAAATATGCAATACATATTCACAATTCTTTAATTGAATCACTGCAAACACTAGAATTATTATATTCATGAACTCAGTCTGATTCTGAATTAAATCGTGCCGAATTGGCAAGCCATACTCTTCACTTCCGGTTTTTCGGCAAGGATAAATAACTCAGTATTTCTCAAATACTGTTGATTATCTGTCATTTTCACTTCAGATTTATCTTCTCTAAGGTAGTTTAGACGGGCAGGGTTTAGTCTCCAACTGGTTCAAGCGCTCAGTAAAAAGGGTTTTAAGAGATCACAGATCCCAGAATTTCACCGGACACTGCATAATGCGTGCATAC